TTTCTTCAACCAATTTAAACCATGGCAGGATAATTCTGGGATCTTCAGAAAGAGCTCTTTTATAGTCATATTTGCGAGATAGACGTGTCATAAGATTTGGACGGCGTTTAACGAATTCTGTAGGCCAATTTTTTCCAACAGAAAGGGTAGTGGTAGAGGTCGTCTTTTCGCGCGATTGGAGTAGTAGATCGGCCATATTTCGCAACATAGGCAAATTGAAAACTGCGCCTCTCGAATCTATAGAGACTAACCAATCTTCAATTGAACTTTCTTCAAGCTGGGTAAATTTATGGCCATTTGACCACATATCATGCTGGTTTTGGCGACCCTTTATTCGAGCTGAGAGGGTAGTGCGTGGTACTTCAAAAGAGCGGGCAGCAGCAGCAATAGAGGAAATCCTGCCATTTTTAATAGCCTCTACAGCAAGTAGAAGACGACCCTCTTGCTCAATCAAATTTTGTGTTTTCTGGAGTCTTTTTGGAGGCATGGTGGTGGTTTAAAAAATGTAAACAATGGTTGCTAAGGGAAAATTTGATAGGGTGACCGGTCGGCCGGGAATCACGTTAAGATATCTAGCTTACTAAGTGATGACTAAGCGAGCTCGAACCCCAGGGCAGGCGGAATGGTACGTCCCGATGTTCCAACAATATCCTTGTATGAGAGGATACGAGTGACGAAAGCGGTGCTGAGTTAGTCAGTGCACTATTACGTTTCAATACAAAACCTGGTAAAAATGTCCGGAAGAATATTTCCAAAGTAGTTTAGCGTAAACTTCATCAGGGCTTCTGAAAGAAAAGGAAGAGTATAAACGTTTGCGTCATTTTTGCAACCTAGTGTAGCCGTTGGTCAGAATTTACTGAAGAGGGACGTGTTCTCTCGAGAGAATTCTTCTAGATACATCAATATCTACGAGTGAGTACACATTTCAAGAATTTCTTTACTTATGCTCATGAATTGTCAGGTTCTTACGGCCGGAAGATCACTACCGCGGGTTTGCATACCTTGAGCTGAACGCAATATTCATCAGAGAAGACAAGAGACTATTCAGAATTACTCTCTTCATTGTTACTACTACCGCTTTATTAACTTACACGGGTAGCAGAGTATTCAATAGCTGGGAAGCTGGTGTTGGTCTTGGGGCACTATATACGTCTTTGATAACCTTACGGGTCATGTTGGATGAGTGACATCTGTCGTGGTTGAAATGCTACATTCTGTCCACTTCTGCGTCTCCTTGCCTTGGACAAAAATTGACGACTTGTGATACTATGATGACGGGAAACAATGAGATTGGAGATCGTTACCTTCTTCTGTCGCGATGCGCGATACATGGTATCATGAATGGCTGCGGTGCACTGCGGCATGGGGCCCATATTCTGCGGAAACCTACTTCGATTGGCCGCTTAGGCCCCCGTTCAGGAGACGATCCCACACACTCTGTGATATGAGCCAATGAAAGCTGCCTTGATAGAGGCTAGCAAGCAGCTGCCAGCTGAGAGGAAGGATAATCAAGTAGGAAAACTCCTCAGGCTAGATAGAGCCCGATAAGAGATTTAGAGCCAGATCAGTAGCTTGATAATGATAAAGAATCCGGTCTCCGAACTGCTGAACGTCCTTTGAGAAGAAAGCTATATATCTATGGAAGAAACGAAACGATATGCTCTGGTACAAGTCCATTGTTTGCATCAGAGAACCCCTTAATCACGAGCCCTCATTCACGCTGGCGGCTCTATGCATCCTCTGAAAAGAACATCCAAGAGTCATGGCAAATTCCCTCACCACTTACTCACTATTATTCCGGCAGTCATTACAGGGGCTATGTAACAGTCGAATGCATATCAAATGCGTGCCGCTGAAGGTACATTTTGCACAAGAAGATCTCGTCGCAAACATTACACCTTATCTCAGATTGCGTAGAGATATGACAAAGATATTTTCGTTTGATGTGCTTGGTAACGTTTCCATAGCTAGAGAATTTGTACGTTCGTTTTCCAATATCTAAATCTTGCTAACCAAGACAGATAAAACAGAAGAGAGGTCTCTCAATACCTTTCTTAGAGGGCTTGTCCTTCACTACCGATTGAATCGCAGATACCAGTCTGTCATTCGTCGGGAAAGAAGGCCGGCGAACTAGGTCTGCGATGTCCGGATCTTGATTGACGGAAAACGATTGGGCGGTAGTCAATTCTTGGGAGCGATTCAGATCGATAGACCGGCTTATCCGGCATGCGGCACGCATAATATCGTCTTCAGGGTTAAGACCACGAATGATGGTAGGGAGGTTTTTATTGATCCTTTTGCTGAGATAATAGCGCAGAAAGGTGCGGGTATCGGCATGATGCATAATAAGATTGCGCAGTGAATCACTAACAGATCCTACGGTGCGTTAGTGTCGCCGCGGATATACACTAGAAATAAGCCCTTACTACTAAGGGTTGACCCTTTTTAGTGTAGCGGTATTTTTTCTGCCACAGTTAGTTAGTGTAAAATCGAAAGCTAATATGCTGGGGTAACCTACCGCTGCTGTCTAATGCTGTCCCAGCCCCATATCGCAAGCTGTATGGAAGGGCTTGTTAAAAACATTAATGAGTCGCCTGTCTCACCGGAAAGCAAATGTATTTTCTGGCTCCCTAATTTACGTGGAACCGGCAAGACCACAATATCATGATCCGTGGTAAATTCATTTTTTAAAAGCAACTATCACTAGAGGTAAGTTTCATCAAAAGATGTGAAGGGCATTGTGATATGTACCACCGTTGGAACCCGTAGAAAAACTCGGAAGAGACGTGCCTTTACCCCATCGGATCCAGCCGGTCGAATCACCACCAAAGAAGTATAGAAACTGATCGGCACGCTGAAGGACGTCATCCGCCACCAAACTGTGGCCATCACAGCCACCCAGAACGAACTTCGGGAAATCAAACACAACCATAATATCCTCCAGGAACAGAACGAAAAGCTTCATGAGGAAGTGATAGCACTACCTGTTGTGAATCGAGGCTCTACATGAGAGATGATAAGGCCTCGTATACGGAATTGATTCCGTTTGTTCCGTTTCAGTCCAGACTGATTGGAAATCCATTTAGGCTTCACTCTATGTGTATATATCCTGTTCCTTTCGGACGAGAATGAATACAACCAATCTTCTTTCTGAATCACAAAACTACGAGCACAGGTCGAAAGCACCCCAACAACGACAGCGATAAAGATGTGGGCAGCAGTCGCAGCCAGCGGCGGCGGAACCGTCACCCCCTCGCTGAACCACCAGTAACCCGGGAAAATCTTTTCATGGAGGATAATGACATGGAAAGAATAGAACTTCTCTCGAGAGTGCATTCCCTCTGATGTGTTGGCGCGGCTGAAAGGGTAGAGAGTCCAATTATTGACCAATAATAAGCTGCCATATGGCCGCGGATAACTCCGAATCCTGATCATTATGATCAGCTTCCTCCCTTCCATCGATGCTTACGTATCGATCGTGCCTTGGAAAATCAGGGTTAGTCAGCACCAGCCAGACGCTAACTTTCATTCCTACTCAGATCGAACCTTGGGATGAATATGGGACGGGCCGGGAGGTGCCATTCTATTGTTTCGCGAAAGGGGGTTGTGAAACCCTCTAGCAATACAATGTGGGTTTTTACAAGGTGCGAATAACACGTAGATGTAGCTTTCGGTTTCATTTAACTCAATTAAGCATATAGTAAAATAAGTGTGACGTCCTAAGCATAGAGCAACGCCCTAACTATACCAGGGTGTTTACATAGTTTGCACTGTTTGATTTGTTTGCCCTACGCAGTGGGTTTGTTTACTGCTTCATACAGTAAATCGCTGTGTTCTTCTTCTTCTTTCCTCAACCTAGTGTTTTGTAATTAGCCTACAATAAAGATCATTTCTTCATTCCTGAGGTTGTCACAATAAGCAATTCGTGGTTATTAAGCCATTTCGTTTGCCACTTCAGATAAGCAATATAAATATAATTGATATACTGTATAGTGTCGTAATAATACCTAATCAACTGATTGCGATATATGGAACTCGGAAACCACTATAGCCACATAAACAACTAACAAACCCGTACTCATGGTCATTTCGGCATCGCGGAAGCACAGTCAGGTGTGTTTTGTTTTCTATGGCGAAGGTAGAATCGCCATTTATTTTATCATTCCCAATGGTTTCCGAAAATATTACTGAGCCGACTGCAGAAACTGTTTCTTCTTGTTGGATGAGGCTTTTAGATAGTTAAGTTATGGCGAACAGTAATCAACCTATTTGGAAGGACTATGAGCATCAGACGAACCATGATCTCATACGCTTTGATCGCAGCGACCTCCGGCCCTAGGTGCACTGACCTGTAGACTGTAGTCACCTTTATCTGAAATCCGCAATGCGTAGTATAAGCCTTACAGAGTTAATGCTATCAATAAAAATTAAGTCTCGTCACCAAGATACTTCCCTCTAATGTATAACAATAATAGCATCATAGATAGAACGTATATAACAACAGTCTATAAAAAATTTAGGCATTGCCTGCTTTCATTTCAATGGGTCTTATGTAGCGAAACATCTTGCTTGGGGCTGCTTTACAAGGGCATGAGGCCAATCGTTACGGAACGTTAGTCAATTACAGTTCATTTAGGTCATATGATCAGCATACGTGCTCCCGGAGCGATCCGGGATTGCTCAGGGATCACTCAGGACACGCACATTTGTGCTCATCCCACGCTCCGGGCCGCTCAGTGAGCAAAAAGCGGCGCCAAGTCGGGCCTAAAGCGGAAAGGGAAAGTGACTTGATTTCCGCAGGAATCCAATTCGGTAGTCAATTATTAAAAGGTAGGGAGAGGTATAGTAAAATACCTTCAACAAAATTTTATGGTAGGAATTAGACATAATTGGTATGTGCAGACCAAAATTAATCAAACAATTCGAACTTTTCATTCGCATCATATCAACATAAATGCATAAACCGTTCTATAAACCTTGCGGTATCTATAATCAACTACCTATGAGCTTCCAACCTCGCTCTGTAACTCCTTCAAACGCGTCCATCCCTCGGTATCCTCCCAGAAATCCTTGCCCTTGCCGAGGATTCCCCGGACGGCGCTACGGGACTTGAATCGCCAGTCCTGGGCCACCATTTCGGGCTCCTCCGCACCTTGCTGTCCTTCCTTATCCATGGGTCCGAACTTGGAATACCCGTTGCGCACCAGTTTCTCGGTGGCGCGCACGACGTCCATCCATTTCTTCTCATCTCCCATCTGGAATGCACCCTGGGTGGACGAGGCGACGGTGGCGCGCCAGGCCTTCTCGTGAGCTTCGAATGCCTTGGACGGCCGCTCGCAGAACTGCTCGACCCGCGCGACGAGAAGCCACAGCGGAGCGGAGTGCGTGATCAGCGGCACCACAGCGTCGTGGACGAGAGACAGGATCTGGCCCGGGATGGTTCCGCTCCGGACGACGTACTCTGGTGCCGCATCGCTGCCGGCGTTGACGTGGATCATGATTTTGTCGTAATCGTACGCCGTGACGAGGTGGTCCACCAGCATACCGAGGATGGGTAGGTCGACGCATTTCTCGCCCTTCTTGTCCCCAAGGAGCTCGATGAGTCGTCGTTGTGCCATGACGGCGTCCCGGAATGGGGTGAACGGTGGGGGAATGGAAGCGGCCACGGTGAGAACGTTGTCCCAGATGCGCGCGTCGGTGTGTTTGAGCGAGGCGGCACGGTGCAACGCCGCGAGGGCTTCTCTTTTCCGCTTCCAGGGATCCTCGGGTGCCTTTTCAGTGGTCGGATCAACGTCCTCGTCCTCGTCGGGCAGCTTCTGCGGAATCGCAGCGGCCGCTGGGGTCGTGTTTTCGTCGGGCTGGGGCGATCGGAGGATGGCTGCGGCGAGATTACTCCATCCTTCGGCATCGGTGTCATCGATCTGAACGGTGCGAGTGAACGAATAAATGGCATCATCCCAGCGCTGCAATTCGAGTTGCACGCAGCCCAGGGCAAACCACGCGCTGTGGTTCAGACCGTTGATGTGCAAACTCTTGCGGTATGCCTCTTCGGCCTTTTCCAAAGCAGGCGGTTTTATGGTGAGATAGTGGCGCGCGAGAGAACGCTGTGCTCGGGCATATCGATGACTCGAGACCTCCCAAGCACGTTCATACATGGCCGGGTCGGTTTCAATGTCTCCCAGGATGCAGAACAGGCGGGGAGCATCCGCCGGAAGAGGGGACAATTCCGGTCCTTCGAACTTTTCGTTCTCGTCGTCCGTTTCTTTGTTGATAGGTTCATATAGCTGTCTGCGAACCATAGACCTCGCCTTTGCCTCCCTCTCGGTAGCGGCGTAGCAGAGCGCAGCTTCAGCCCACATCTGCAGACGCTCGTAGATCTCCAGCGCAGTCCTCAGTGCCCCCAGCTCGACCCATCGCTTGGCCAATTCGGCCTCGAGATTCCATCGGGTGGAGAAATTAAGAATCCAGATATATTCAAGTCGTTCCGCGGCAGATGCAGATTCGGATTCTTCGGGTCTTGGAAGGAAGGTTGTGGGCTGCTCCACGGCATTGGTGGCCTGGGTATCGGGTGTGGCGGTGTCGGCGATGACTTGGTCAACCAGAGCCTGCATTTGCAGCACAGCACGCTCCACCGTTCGAGCGCGATAACCTTCGATGCGACTTCGCAACTCAAGGGCCTGCGTATAGATCTGCCAGTTCGAGCTACCACCCTCGAGAACGCGCGTAGCATACGGCTGGGTTTCCTCTCGGGTCAAACCGTTTTCGGGAGTGGTGTTGGTAATGGCGGACGCGAGTGCGAGGAGGATGGAAGAATCAATAGGGTTCAAGATGGGCTGGTTGCCGGGGTCCAGAGATGCCAGAGACGGCGACAGTTCGGATTCGTCCTGGACAGTCACAGGCTTGTCCTGCTCCTGACCGTCGGACTTGGTGAAAGAAATAGATTCAAGGAGGGTATCATCGTTGAGGTCGAGATTCTTCGGGCCGGAAGACTCTTCCTTCTTGTCCGCGCTGGCGGGCGCATTCGAGGCGTTCTCGTCGGCACTTTTAGCCAGGATGACTAGCTGACTGATATCGCGGTCCTGGAACTTGGTACGCTTGCCCATTCTACCGGTCAACGCAAACTCGAAATTCCGTACCGCGGCAGCTTGTTCCAAATCGGCCCTAGCCTTGGCATCGTAGCCGTGGTGGGTGTGGATGGTTGCGCGTTCCAGGAGAAACCGTCCCTTTTCTTCGGTGGTAGACGGATTGTTGAGCACGGCCTGGCCAATCTTCTCCAGGTCGGCATAGATGGCGTCTTGTAAGGTGCCAGTAACTTCGGAGAGCATTTTTTGGTGGAGGAGGTTCACTCGCATCCTGGCGGTTAGTGCGACAAGCGGAGGGTTCGTAAACAGGACATCGGAGTCGGCCAAGAGAGCCTTGGCAACGGCGAACAGTTCGACATTGGGAGTGAGTTTGTATGCGGCTTCGCCATCGACGGACAATTCGCGAATGATGTGAGCCCGGACATTTCTCAGGGTGGTCTGGTCGGATCGTAGGCCGGAGGGGAGGGTGACTTCGGCGGGGTTAAACTCGAGGGGAGGTCCGGTGACGTTAGACTGAAGGAAGCTGAAGAGAGCAGCCAAGGCGACGTGAAGCAATTGAGAACGCTCTTCTGGCTGGGAAACTCCTTGGGCCTTTTCAGCCACTAATTGGGTAAAGGAGATTTCGCCGCGCGCGACTCGGCTCAAGGCATCTTCGGCTGAATCATGTCCCAGCAAGGTGCCAGCCAAAGGCAACCGCAAGATCGGAAGAATCTCAGGGTCGGTTAGATGAATGGGATCAAACTGATTAAAGGATGGACCTTGATCGAATATCGTGTTCAATGACACGGGGGTTGTGGTGTCCGCCATGTTGAGCTGGAGTTTGGGGAGAGAAGGAGGGGAAATCCGATCCTTACCGTGGAGGGGTAATTTTTTTCTTTTTTTCGATTTTATTTTTCCCCTTTCAGGCCGTTATCGATAAGCATGGCAGAACCGGCTAGAAGGCGGTGGAGCGGTCAGTAAGCATTTCGGGGAAAGCCCCCGCGGCCGAAACTATTTGGCAGTAGATGGAGGTAGAGTAGTATACTCCGTAGAGTATAGAGACATTCAAAATAGAGCCGAATTAATAAGGGGTCTATAGCCTGCATTCAAACTATGTTGTTTCCAGTTAACACTGTTGTTCTCATCATTCAATGAGATCTCTAAGTCTCATTAGGTAAATATATTTATTCCCAGTCGTCACTTGAATCCTCATCTTGCGAGACAGGCAGATTGTGTTAAGCGCTCTAAATACAATTTTACTTATTTAGTATGATCGAGGTGAGCGTATTCTGAACACACATACATGGGTTATCAGGGCGAAGAAATATTTCGTTTTATTTTATTATAAATCTTCAATCATGAATGTGACTCAAGAAAGGTCCATTCTAATTGACGATAGACTTAGCCTGAGATTTTCAATGACCCAGATAGCAGTCAGTTGTCAGGGGAAAAGACGATGGACCAGAAATTCTAATCAAAATGAAACGATTGACCGATAATTGAGCACTAACAATCTAATGTGCATTCTCGAAAGTGACGCGCTGTTTACCGTCTCCTCCATTGGAAATCATTACTGATTCCGTGTTATGCAATACAGTCCTGCATGCATGCATATCCGTCTTCCGTGCAGGATTTCGGGCCAAGCGACTCGCGTGGGCCTAAGGAGCACGAACCCACTAAAACATACGAGCGCGAACTAGTGAACCGGTCGGCTGTCCGTGCCTCGGATGTCTTTGGTGCTCAATTGCTCATCCAGCCCCCCCCCCCCCTCCTCAATTTATCTAGATTAAAGCCAGGGATGCCGGCATGACGTTTAGCTTGTTTTTTTCTCTCCGATGGTGCCAAATCCTGCGGTTAAGGTAAGAATGTTTCAATCCTTTACACGCTTCGGATTATTGTTCCCCGCCGTAAATACTAGCTCAACTCGCTGGGCTGGAGGAGGGGGTTGAAGATTTGCTTATAAATTAACACGGGGCGTAGGCGATTGACTGGGTGATCGGCGTTCGACGGTCTTTCTGAGTGAAATTACCTTGAGAGAAACAGCCCAGCACAACACAGATTGTATCGCAACGTTGAACAGATCGCATTCACGGCCATGGTTCTCACAACCGTCCTAATCACCGGTGCCAATCGCGGTCTCGGTAACGAACTTCTGCAGGTGTACCTTGCACGACCCAATCACCTCGTGATCGCTGCGAACCGCAACCCAGAGCATCCCACATCCAAAGCTCTTGCCGAACTACCCACCGGCGAGAACACACAGCTGCTCGTCGTCAAGCTCGACGTGTCCGTGGAATCGGACCACGCCGAGGCCATCGCACAGCTCGCCGCCCAAGGTATCGATCATCTGGATCTGGTGATCGCCAACGCAGCCGTGGCCAACGTCTATCCGAGGGTTTCCGAAATCACGACGGCCGATCTGCAGGGCCATCTAACCCCGAATGTGTTCGGCGTGGTGTGGCTGTACCAGGCGACTCGAGGGCTCTTGGAGCGCTCTTCGGATCCAAAGTTCGTGTCCATGGGATCGGGTGCGGGATGGCTTGAGTAAGTGGATACAGCCGCGACCTTGTATTTGCTGGCATGGCAGCTTGCTAACCTTATTTTCTCCTTCCTCCAGGAACCAACCGCCCGTCCCGAATGCCGTATATGGTCCATCGAAAGTAGCAGTCCATTGGTTGACGAAGATGATGAATTTCGAGGAGGAAAAGATCAACGCTTTTATCGTGAATCCGGGGTAGGTTTCGTGTCTGAAAGTTCACGGAATTAGCTGACCATAATGGATACAGTTGGTGTCGAACCGAGATGGGCAATCGCGGAGCCCTCGCTTATGGATATGCTGAAGCACCGCTGGAAGTTGGCGAGACGATTCCCGGGATCGTGCGTTTGATTGATGCGGCCACGAAAGAGACGCATGGCGGAAAGCTTTGGAGCCACAGAGGGACACAGGAGGCTTGGTGATCGTGTTTAATTATTGTATACCCACATCCTTTTCGTGTTGAAGGGTGATCCATGGGGTAGGCTCATTCAGTATCAGATTCTATAGGCAAACCATCAGCAAACACCGTCAAAGTCCATCGAACAAATCACATTTTACTAACGGGATATCAACCCAAAGATCTACCCCAATCCTAGAAGCGCATTGATCTCCTTTCTATCCATCTCCGCCGCCGCAAAGTCATCAAACGACGACATCGTAACCGGAATAATATGCGACTCAGTGAAACCAACTCCCTCCTGTGCACAAGCTTTCTCAGCATCATAAAGAATCTGCGTGACCCACTGCTGTCGGGCCTTGGGGTTCCCGCGTTTCTCAGGGTGCGCGAATGCATTGAAGAGACTGTCATAGGCTGGATGCATGGCGATCAGCTGGCCCTGGAGGTGAGATGATAACTCTGTTAACTGGATCCCATGTCGACGGAACACATCGAGCAGCGAAGCACAATATTCTGGATCTATCGCGGCTCGCGAAACATCAATTAATCGAGGATCGAGCGGAATTTGAATCCCCCTGTATCCTAGTTGAGGCCCAGCTGCAGATCCCGTCTAGTGAGTTGAAAGGAGCTTCGTCAGAAAGGTACTGGGCGACAAAGATGGCTGGGCCTTTGATGGTTCTCAAGGGTGCCATTTTAGCTGAATGGGGGATAAATGGCGTGTTTGTGGTTAAGATAGGTATGTCAATGCCAATGTTAATGTCGAACAGTCCAAGTGTTCCAATATTCCGTACTTCGCACCGGAGCGGAGATGTCGCTCCCTCGGGCCCGTTGTATGCATATGGATACCGAGCCCGACGGCAGATCGGATCGACCTGCCAAATGTCTATCCACTGACGTCATAGTCACCGTCGGGTTTACTTTAGTTTCTCTACTTAGGAAATAGCTTCCAGATTCTCCCTTTAGTCCGGTGAATAGGGTCCAGACTCCAAATCATGACAGCAATCAATCCGAAGCTTCAAAGATCTAAAGATAATTAATTCGTACATTGTGGTATAATACTAGGCTCTAGGTAGATTAATAAAAACATGTAAGCAGTATATTAAATTTCACAGGAAACATGGCAGAACCATTACCCAAAATCCCTTAACTTCTATAACCCCATTTTAGTCTAGTATATATGCGAATGGACTTCTATAAGCCCCGTTGTAAATTCAAGCAACACCACAGACTGCAGCTCGGTGCCCCTTTCTTTCACTCGCGACAATGCAAATCTAAGCCGACAAGGCAGTCGCCCACTTGCTCTTCTTGCGTAAGGAGGGACCCCAGTGCTTTAAGATGTAGGGGATAGGCATAGCCACTGCACTGATTATCCCAAGCACTGTCAACGTCCAGTGCGTTCCTAGATTCCGGTACATCGGGATTCCGACGACCGTCATACCTCCAGCGGCCAGGTATCTCACAAGTGCAACAAAGGTGAGAGCAGAGGCAGCGTACTGCTGGTAAGAGTCGATGATATACATGTATGCAGATAGGAAGACGCAGATGATGCCGAATCCAATCACCACCGAGGCTGCCAGGGGCGACCAAACCGAGATCCATGACTAGTTCAAGGTTAATATTCTAATCGAAAACTTTGTTTCGCAGGGATCTTACGTAGTTAGTCCATCCCATCCAGAACAGACCGATTGGAATCGCGGGGGCGCCGATTTGCGCGAAGAATAGACGTGATTCCCGATCGAGCATGCGTCCCGAGCCATCATCTCCATCTTCTCTGAGCTGCTTGGCTGTTCGGCGGTAGAGGATTGGAACCAGGAACATTGTCAAGACGATACCGATAAAGAGTCCTAGAAAGCAGATATTGACGAGACCGTCGTTCAGGCCGTGGACTTCTCCGAAAATGTACGGATACCTGTTCAGGGTTAACATAGTCCAACCGTATCAGATCATGGGTTTATTACCCGTCCAAAAAGGTGAACAGCACAATGTACACCACCGAGAGATAGAAAGTGAAGAAGATCACAATCGGCTCCAACAAGAGGATCCACGGCCGGCTAAAGTCTCGCTTGACGACGGACAAAATGTCGCCAGTACCCGAGGCTTCGATGGCGGTTTTGAATCGGTCATCTCCAGTGGCTTGTCGGAGGAATCTGGCCTTGTAATAAAGAAGACGAGGAGCGAATGTTTCGCGTTTGAAGATAAAGATTACCGATATGACCAGACCGTCAAAGATGAGCATGATCCATTCAGACCATCTCCAACTGATATGAGGACTATATCCTATGTAAGCCCCAACCACCGGCCCTAATCACGGAAGTGTCAGCTCAATTCTGATTTCGGAACATAGGTGTCAAATAAAAGCGAGACAGGTCATACCAAGAATAGGACCACCGAAAGCGGGAATGGCAAAAGTAGGAAACCCGAAAGTTTTCTCCAAAGTGCTCCAGATATCAGAGATCGAGCCCCCGGCCACGGTCAAAGGAGCAGAGCCTGTAATTCCAGCAAGGAATCGAAACGCGATCTGCGCACCAAAGTTCGGAGCTAAGGCTGCTCCTAGGATCCACGCTCCAAAGATTATCAACGTGCCCAAGTAGACCGGGTACCGCCCGACCATTTCGGAGAGAGGGCTTGCAATGAGTGCACCGGCGCCGAAACCGACCAGATAAAGACCTGTCGCAAGGGACTCGGCCACCTCCGACACATTAAATTCTTTCGAGGCCTCTTTAATCACGGCAGAATCAATGGCAGATGCCATCGTGGTAACCAACGCCACAAGGCAAACCGACATAGTGGCAGATACTCGTCGAGGGTTGGACCATTGCTGAGGATTGAACAGATCATCTGGGACGGCCCAACCGACCTCGAAGTACTGCTCACCGTTACAATCCGATTTCAACGACACACCAGGAAGTTCGGACAGATTGGAGATCTTACCCGGTGAGGAGTCCGGAGATGTTTCTTTCTTTACGTGACCGGCATCTTCAACTAACTGGTTCACGTGTCGTCGTAGGGCGCGATACTGAAGTATGAACGCCATTTTGACGTGTCTGCAAAGGTATGAACTGAGCGCAATGGCTTGGTAGGGTGAGGAGGTCGTAGGAAAAAGAAAGAGGGAGAGAGGAGAAGAGGGTTAAAGAAGTGACTGAGGCGAGAATAAGAAAAATAAAAATTTTAGTCGGAGAAAATGACGAAAGATAAGAGACCCAGCCGGTTTGCGGGCTCCACAAGAACCAGAGCTCTCTACTCGGTAGCCCTGCAGTCAGTGATCGAGAAGCCTGCCAAAGACTCGGGGCGCTCGGGTGTATGGGAACAAGTCCGACAAGCTTTCGGGTTTGGATCCACCCGCGAACTCGGATCGACCTGCTCCACTGAGTAACCCCGACCGATTTGCATTTATAATATCGCCGGTCGAATTTCCACGGCCGTTTTGCCTCGATTGTGTACTGCCCGACGACTGTCGGATGACTCCTCGGAGGGATCACGCCTGACTCGGCCGACGATATCCTCTCGCCCCCTCCGCCCTGGACCATGGAGATCCTCCAGGTTGATCACTCCCAGTCGCAGAGCCCAGTCTGCATTGCCGTCATACTGCTCAATCAGGTCTTCACCATATGAAGTCGTCTCTTGTAGGCCTTGGTCTCCTCTTTGACCACTTCAAGCACGTACCCATGCATCTACAACCTGTCCGTCCACTGGTTTGCCACGGCGAGTAGACCTGCAGACACAATCAGCAGCAGGATCAGAAGGACCTTTCCCAACTGTGAAGCGTTACTGGTCAACGCTACATTGAGATACACCAGAACTATAGCAAAGCAGCAAGCCAGCTCTCCGGGGCCGACATTTCCTGAAGCCACTGGCTGGAGGAGATGGCTTTGATCTGATTGATGTCGCCTACGATTTTGATCCAACGGTCCTGACTCAGTAGGACGAGCAGATCCTCCGGTCCATCCTCTTCTCGGGCTCCGAACCATGTCGGTTTGCAACGTCGTCGCACGAGAACGACATTAAGCAGACCGAAATGGGTTGTGCGCCGACCGAAACGACATTTGCATTGTCCATCATGAAAACCACGACGACCTTCCACAAGGCACGTCAAAGATTCATCGAATGTTTATTGAAATTTCAGCCGTTCGGAGGATTGGCGCTCCTTTAGCTGCAGTGATCGGGCATTTAATTGGCTAGAGTCAGGCTTTCCCCCACGATCGGCCAAACGTGCATCCATAAAATACCATAGCCCCGACTCGTGTATATATGTAGTCGCCTCGTTCGTTGACGGTGGGTGTGTCTGATTTTGATAGGAAGCAGAGCTTTGGGTATCAACTTTAATGAATCTAATGAAATGCAGAATTTAAAGTAGAGGAACAAATCTTGATCGAAGAAAGGTTATATTGAAACGAGGGGATTGCACCAGCCGGAGAGAGGGAACTGTGTTCGAAATAGCCAGCTGTAGACTTTGCATTGGTAACTAGGTCCTAGGTCCTGAATAGTGGTCTCATAGCCAAGCAAACCAGAATGGCCAACGAATATTCTGTAGATTCTTCATGCCGAGTATCTAGCTGGGAGCCTGCAACACCGTGCTCAACGCAATTGCGTCAAACACAGGATTGGTAAAGAATCCGGATCTTTGGGTCACCTAAACTACCTAGAATAGCCTTGAATGAACCCAACCACTCATTATTTATCATCGCTTGCAAGATGTGAAATTGTTCCGTCCCCTTCTTAATCGCCAAAGTTTAACAACGGCTGTTCCACCAGGTGCTGCCACTATTTTCCAGCCACCCGAGCGTGTTCCCTCAAAATATCATTCAACCCTTCTCTCTGCGCGCACTCATCAAAGTGGAAGCTGTGCGCCAAAGCCTCGAGTTCCGTCTCGTCCATCCCCCTAAACAGTTCCGCAAACTCGTCCACAAACGACGCCGCTAAAAACGTCTGAAACACCGCCCGCAGCATATGCCTCTCAGTATTCCACGACGTCGGGTATGTCTCCTTCGCCTGCGGACTGACCTGGTCGATCCACTGCACCAACGGCTTCAGCACGGCCTCCGGCTCCGACGAGGGCTTCCGACCCCAGTTATCCAGCCACAGACGGTTCTTCTTCTCCAGGAATGGCTGGATCGTCTTATTCCACTTGCTGTTCGGACTGGTGTGGATCATCCCCTGCAGACCGATGTCCTTATACAGCCAAATCGACCAATGAATGTTATACTTGTCGTAAATGCGCAGCTGCTCACCAAGCAGGTTGTACCGTTCCTGGTTGATGGCTTGGGCATCGATCTCGGATTCAGAGGCGTATACGGGTCCGAACTCGCCGTTCCAGATTGCTGTGCCATTCTTGGTCATGAATTCGGCTTTGCGGAGGTATTGTCGTTCGACTTGTTCTTTTTGTTCGGGTGTGCCTTTGTAGCGCTGGCCTGTTGGGAAGCCCATTGACTGACATCTATTAGTATCAATTGGGTATGTATTGGACGGAGTGTGGAGAGCAAGAAACATACCGAGTAATCATGCATCGCGTACACACAATTCGGCAGAACCTTGTCGAACCCCTTCCACTCCATCGAGAACGTATTTCCGTCTAACCAGAGGATATGGTCCGGGTCGATCGCCCGGATGGCCTTCTCGATGCGGTCATAGAATGCCGGTAAACGCACATGCTGTGGATCGCAGGGCTCGTTGAGCGGGTTATATCCAGCCACCCAAGGGTTACTTCGATATCGAGTCGCGATCTGCTCCCAGAGCCAGACTGTCCGGTCCTGGTGGTCTTTGTAATCCCAAAATGCGGCATAGTTGGACGGGTTATCGGAATGCCAGTCGCAATTCTGGCCGCCGGGGGCAGTGTGCATGTCCAGGATGGTGTAGATGTTATGTTTTGCGCACTTGAGTTTCACGAATGTCAGCATGCAGCAGGAGAGGGCGCATATTGCGAGGGCCGTACCAAATCAACAACCCGATCAAGATGCTTGAATCCCGATTCCTTCAGCACGCGAGGATTCATATCATCATCAAGGTGCCGATGGTTGAATGGAATTCGAAGACAATTGAGTCCCAACCCAGCGTAGAATTTGGCATCCGCTTCCGTGAAGAAATACTCCAGCCATTTGTCAAAAAAGAATTCATATTTTTGGTCGCCGAGGACTCGACGCATGGCGGCTCGGTGCTGCGACTCGTGTCCGGGGTAGCCAGTTATGAAGTTTTCCATGCTGAGACCAGGTTAGTTTAACCTTGACCCTAGCTCTATCTCTAACTATCATATGTAGGGGAAATGAAATGGAAAGCACATACTTGGCCCAACCCCCAAGAGCTGCACCGCGAAGCACAACTTCGGTGCCATTATTATTGACAACTTTGCTGCCGATAACTTTGAGAATTCCAGTGCTCATGATGGACTGGATGCAGCAGATTTGACGAGTTCCTGGGTATCAATAGAATTCAATTCAAGATCAGACTCTCCCCAACTGTTACCCCGCTGGAGGAACTACCTTCTTATGCACCGAATCCACGGCAAAATACATCCCGCGCAGCATCGTGGGACACGTCCATGACGCAGAAGAGGTGGGGTAATGTTAGACAACGGACGCGTTGATGCCAATGCCCAGCACGGATAAACGGGCTCATTTAGCCTGATTGATGGCATTCAGCCAAGGGCCAAGGCCAAGGCTTGGGCGCTCAATATGAGTGCCAATTGACTAAATCGATAGTCTTCCTGCTTCTTCTGCTCCTTAGGTGGATTGAATCAACGACAGAGACAGGTTTCCCAGCATGGTATTTGTGGCAGAGCTAGTCAGCGACCTTCAGCAGGACAATGCGAGCTAGATAGGAGCCAATGGCGAGGTTGAACTGATTTCATTGGCAAGACTTCTAGAGGTTAACACACATGTACTTTTTTTTACACCCAGGTTTTCATCGTTGAATTGCTCTACTGCCAACAGAAACATGCCTACACGTCCTAAACACGATAAGAATATGTCTTTACGATTCCAGGTGACGGTTTCTCTACCTTCCACCATACATTCATTGCATTTCTAATATATGGTCGGTCTCAAAACAGGTTCTCATGTCCCAATCGCCACTTGGTCTGCCGACTGATTAGACGCGAAAACTCGTGTGTAAATCACGAAGCCGAATTTGTTTCTCAGACTTGGTCTCAGTCAACAAATTAGTTGCCTTGCGAATCATCTCGGACACCTTGAGGATGTCCTCTTGATTGATCATCTCCCCTGATCTGGCCCATCCCAGGTTGAACGGCAACCGTTCATTCTCTGTACTCTGTGTTAGGATACCTATTCATTCAACTCCGACACAAATCGTGTGTGACCTACCGAAGAAATACTCCACCAAGGTCCGATTGACCGTCCCCGACTCAATATTGCCAAACACGATGATCGGAGCGGCGATCTCTCCCAGGCTGAATTCCTCCGTCATCTTAGGGAACGTGTATGTGGGATTCGTGGCTCTAGAATTAATCTGCCGCGCCAGCTTGCTGTTGGCTAACATCTCGGCAGTGAGAACGGGCTCGGTCCAGTAGGCCCTCGACTCGTCGAAGATAGTGCGGTTGAAGATGTGGTTGCTTCCGAAGAAGGCGTCTGTGCGGCTGGTTTTCAAAATCAATGAGCTTGCGGGTTCTCACATGGCATACTTGATGAGTTTACGGGTCTATTCAGGGGGGCTTTGGATACGAGTTAGACTAACCTTAGGCTTGCATCGTGTTCCAGGACGTTATGCCGGTTGAGATGGTCCCTGGGGGCAAGAATCAGCATGGGTCATGTGTTGTGTATCTGACGGACCTCACAGTGTGAAGTAAGTTGCGTTGGGCTCTGGATTAGCCACGATAGCCATCTCAAACATCAGATTGGCAAGAGAGGAATTGAAGTTCAGACCCGCTCCTAAGCCCTCTACCAGCTTCTGTTTGGTGATTTGTCGTCCATCGTGAGGGAGATATCCGTGGTTTGCGAGAGTGTTCATCATGGGACAAGGACCTCGATCTTTGACTCCGCTTTAGCATGACATGAAAAAAGAAAGTACGACATAGCTGCACATACAATCATCCTTTCCTGCTGGTTTCCAATGTGCTGGGGATCCATTTCCAAAAGATGGTCTGGCAGCGGCCAAGGCAACGATTAAGGCCGAAGAAAAAAAAGTCAACTTCATATTCCTGGATAATGGTAATAATGGAGAGTATATGATGGAATGGAGCGAAGAATATTTGACAGCAGCTGATATTGCATGCAGCCGGTCCAACTTTATACGGTGTCCAAACTGCGGTGAGGCAGCACAATTTTAGCAGCATGCCGATGTCGATGCAATATGCATATCCTCAATATGGGTGACTCCACCATAAACTATCCAATGTGAAAGAAGATTATTCAACCCCTGTTTCTGTTCTGCGGGCCAAGGGCATCCAGTGATTCAAGTTGAATTGATAAACAAAGCCGGAAATATGCACCGTCCAACCATAGATAGCGGTCGTACTCGTATCATATGCCACATGGAGATGATATCGTATTTATAACTCAATTGGGCGTTGAAAGCGAACCTCAGGATTTGATCGGCGCACCTCGGTTCCAGGTTACCCACGTTGCCATGCAAATCCAAGGGGTTCAATTTCCTTGATTTATTTGGCTGGCTGTGGGGGCGTATTTGAGGAATTGTATACATCAGAAGCCTCGTTTAGAAAGGCGCTTTCCGGGTAAGTGTTATTGTCTCTGAGTAGGCTACAGATAGACTCGATTATTTCATTCAATTATAAATCCATTATGTGCCACTGGGGTATTTGCAATACAGAAATGGATGCATAAACATATGTAGTAGACCAAAAATAAACACCTAAACCCCTTTGTATGAACATGGCTTTGTGCTAGATTCAAAAATAACACCTGGAGCAAAAATTGCTATGTCGTTAACTCTCCCAAGATCGTTGAGAGTGGCGATATGCATAGTATCGGGTCAATTACCAATCTTGACCACGGTCTTTCATAAGAATTTCTATAGCCTCGTCTTCGGGGACCGGGTGCTCATTCAGTTCTCGTACGCATTGCGTGAGACCGTCGGCAGCTTCGTCCACCTGCTCGGCGCTCCAGCCGGTGCAAGCCATGACCATCCGTCGATAATTCTGGCCTAATACCACGTTTTTGGACTTGAGGAGATCCACTTCGTTCAGTATATCCTCATTGAAATCATGGTAACACTTTATTCGTTGCTGAAGCACCTCGGGGGACAATAGGGACTGTAAATAGGATGTTTGTTTGTCGGAAAATCCTGAAGCAGGATCAAAGTTGTCAGGAAACATAGATTCGAACTCAGCAATGTCAATACCAGAGTCCTTGTCGGCATCGCCGATAGAGGCGTGTTTCAACGGCTCGAATGTCTCGCCATGAGTATTCTTCAGGGTGGACAGAAGGTCTTCAGATGACCGTTCTAGGTTCTTAAACCGCCTTCCGAGCTCCACGCGGTCTGACGATCTGACTTTAAGCTCATCGAACTGTTTCTGTTCAATCTGCCGAGCCTTTGCCGATTCACGAATCTTGGAATGCCAATGTTCGAACTTTTCTTGCTTCTTGTTCAATGACGAAGCAAGCTCTTTGTCGATACTGCCTAGCGTTTCTTGTACCATCGAGCTGATTTGAGACATAGTTGCTAGGAAGGTTAGTAAAAGTTTTATCAGTCGTAATAATAAATGTTGCTCACCATCTAAAATTTCCTTTTTCGTCTTCGCGAGTTGATCGATGAAAGTGTCGTTCTTGCCGGCTTGGAGAGCCTGCGAGTCAACCATATCTACCCCAACTCCGTAATCGGCAGGCCGCAGACCGGTGTGATTTGGTATGTGAGGATCAGCGCCAACCTCCAAAAGTTGCGGTACGAGCACAGAACGCGCCCGTCCGGCAAGATTCAGTGCCGTGTCGCCTTGGTCATCCCTAAGATTTACAATTTCTGAAATGAACCGACCCAAAGTTATCACTTCGCCTTGCAATGGAGTCGTCCCATTTTCCAAAGAGCCGTTGGCAGTCGGCTGGCTGGCCGAAGCGCCGCCGTGGCGCACAATGAATTCCAACAATGCTTCCAGATAGTGTTTAGCGGAGACATGACCCCCACCCCCGGTAGCTGCCATGACCGCAATGTGATGGAGAATCGTCCGCCCACTGTAGTCTACCATATCTATAGTCGGAGCCAACACTTGCAGAAGTCGGGGGAAACTCCGGTAATCAAGGTTGTTCCGCGTACCCACTGACTTTTGCAAAGCCGTTTCACCGGCTCCGTTGAGTCGGAATATGCTGACGCCTTTCTCAACTAGAGCATGAACCAGGGGCATGCGCGCCAGCATGGCTGCCCAGTGCAAAGCATTGTTGCGATACTCGTCTAGAGGTATCTCAAGATCCTCACCAGTCAGCTGCAGGAGGGCTGGATGGGTGGTGAAGTCCTTTGTCCGTTTGTCCAAAAAGAGGGTCATGATGAGCTTCATCTTTTGAAATCGCTCCGGGGTTGTAGCTGGCAGAAGAGGGTCGGTACCCCGGTGGTTTTCATCAACCATTGTGGCCGGCATGTCCATGTCTTGGTAAAATGAATCGTTTGGCTCGGTGGGCGTAGGCTCGTTCATCGATAGCGAAGGGTCATAGTTCATGCCGAATGAGTGTGCAAGGTTGGAGGACGACCGAATTCGTTTCCGAGGAGGTTCCACGGAATCGTCATGCTCAAATGATGCGGTATCGTTGGCAGCGTATCGTCCGTTGTTGTTGGGTAGGTTGCTGGCAAACCCACTGTCAGACGCCACGCTGTACATGCTTTGTTGACTGCCGAACGGGATTTGCGATTCGTGGCTACCCATCTGATTTGATGGCTTCCGGACGAGGCTTAATCGCCTTCCGTCCACACCCCGCGCCGCGGGAGAGTCAAAGCGAGCTTTACTCATCGCATTGACAGCCGTCGCTGCAGTCCGGGAGATATTCTGGAAAAATGTCCCCTGTTGCAGTTGGGAGACGCCCCGATTGTCCATGCCGCTATAAAGACGCTTTCGCTGTGCTGCCATCGCTTGTTCTTTGGTGGGCGTGTCGAGCGTATCATGCGCGGCGCCACTGGCACCATTGGAACCCATGTCGTACTCAAGGAGCGGTCGGAGCATCTCCTCAACGTGGTATTCTCGACAAAGTTCCACACCCCTTTGGTAATTGACCCACGTTCCTTGGTATTTACCGTATCCCCCTTGAACCTTCTCATGCTCGCCGGCAGCAATTTCCTTCTCGAGGGTTTTGGTACGTCGGGCTTTGTTGACTCCGGCAACTTTGAGGATCTGAGTAGCGTTCAACCAAGAATCCGAGCGTCGCTTCATTACCGCAACTCCGTTGACCTCCATTTCGTAGACGGAAACATTTGAGTAGACGGCCTAGAGAAAGGGAACGGTCAGCATGAGACAATCTAGGCAGTACATAGGACCGAGGTTGATACCCTGTAGATTTGAGGTTTGAACTCATCATGATACTGGACCAATGCGCCATAGTTGGTTATTTCTTCAAATCCTCCGAAACTTTGCCGAGAGCCATGGGTCGGGTTCTTCGAATAGTTGAATGAGGCCGGGGGCTGTTGCGAGGACCCCTTGGGGGGAGGTGTGGCCCGAGGGGTAGATGCCACGGACTGGGAGGCATTGAAAGAACCTAGTTGCGACTGCGAAAATGCCATGCCATTTGACGATGCGACGCTGCTTTGGGAGAAGGACGGCACCGGTAGGCCGTGTTGCGGAGGGTTACTAGGGTTGTGATTGGAAGACATGGCACCGGAGGATCGGTCCAGGCACTTTGCTCGTGGGACTGTGAAACGGCGTCAGTACAGGCGATGGACAGATCCCAGCTGCCGAATAGTCTGGCTGTCAACAAAAATTATCCCAAGACAGGGAGAGCGAGGGAGAGGGAACAAAGCATGTGGGGAAAATGCACCTTATGCTGGGAGGATCGGCCGGAAGAGTCGCGCGAGGCGAGGGCGCGTGGCTAGGCGCTCCAATCGCGAAATTGGGCCGATCAGACCGATTCAAAGTCAATGCGACCGAACACGGGTGGGGAATGCAAAACTGATGAACGGATGGCGGTTCGCGGTCCCAGACGGTAAGAAGCAGGAGCAGACAAAGAAAGCTGGAAGGCAAGACGAGAGCAAGAAGGAAGAAAGAAGAGTAGACGAAGTCGCGGGGGTGTCGTTGGCGCGTTTTGGGTTTAGCGCCGTTTTCGCGTGACCGCCCATTGCGCATTTCCCTTTTGGGTCGCCGCGGCCTTGCATTTCACCGTCCAGAAAGACCGAGAGGATCGAAGTTTCGAACCGTCCGCCATGGGCCCTCCTCTGCCACAGGAATGGCGTCACCTCTTCCGTGCCATCCTACGAGAATGCTCCTACCTCCCCGACCCCGTCGCCCGAACTTATCACCATCGCTTCGTCGTTCAGCGGTTCCGAGAGCTTTCCGAAGATCGCCGATTACCTCGACACCAAGACCCTTATCGACAGAACCAGCTGCGCAAAACGGCGACGCAGAAACTATCGCTGCTCCAGCGGGCCAACGAGGGGTACTCGCGACCGCTCGAAAAAGTGCTGCGGCTATCTTACGGACGAAAAGGCAAGAGAAGAAGGGAGTTGATCCAGACCCTGCTCTCCCCTACAGACCACATGCCCCTCGATGTGTTACTCTCCCGGCCGAATATGTTCAATGACGGATGGGAACCCCCTGCGGTCATGATCAGTCTGATGAAGTCGCAAAAAAATGGCGCCGTGGCCGCCCAAATGAACATCCGTGCTATCAAGAAGCTTGCGCCTGTCATCCCCAAGGAGAACAGCTGGGGACGACCGCTCACCGAGGCTCGTCGTCGAAGTATCCGGAAAAAGTGGTTTTATCATGTAATACCCAACTTGCTGCCTCCACTGCCGGACGCGGACGTCCAAATACTAGAGGGATTGATTTCCGGGACTTATCCGTGGACGGCACCAACACGGAGGAAAGCTGTCGGCGTCGTTCCCGAGACCAAAAGATCCCTCGTCACCGATCTTTTGACCGAAGGCCCGCAGAAAGGGGAAACACACAGAAAGTATAGTGCCGGTCGGCCACATACAATCACGCGGCGATTCATGCACAAACACTGGATCCGCATTTCGTCTCTAGTTCCGCGCATGACATATGACCCCAATACACAGAACCACAGCTTTACATGGGAAACTCTCTGGAAGAAGCCTGGGAAGCCTGCCTTGGAAGTGAAGGGGGGGGATGACCGGCTTTTTGAGGGCCTTGACGCCCATGGGAAGATCAATCTATAAATCACTACTTAGAAGCCTGTCTCCCAGTCCTCGTTTTATGGAACTATCGCAGCCATGCTTGTTTCAAGATCACCCGAAGAGTATCCCGCCTGTGATATTCTTATTATCCGCAGGCCAAGCTCAGTATCTCATGGCATTCTACCATGAGACAGTGGGCCATCGAACATTTCCCTAGGGACTCGAGCCCAGGAACTTCCAGCTCTAAAAATGATTTTATAGCTACTTGAACACTATTGTATTATAACAAATATAAGTCATACATAATCATCCCAAATCATGCCATCAATCTCCAATAATCATCTGTAGACCATATCTCACTGGACCGTCACCCTCCCAACTTATTAGTCTACGACCTTTATATGAAGTGTATACCAGAACCTTCAGATCCATTCATAGTCTCAACCATCAAGCCTTGCTTTGGAGGCCACGCGTCTTGAGTGGATGCATTAATATGAATCGAAGATAAAGCACTCAATAAAATTCGTTATGCAGTAGGACCGATATCAAGTCTATAAAAACAAATTCAGATGTCAAGCAGTCGTTACCCCATCTCGCCTCCATAATTTCAAGGGCATAGGGCCCGAACTAAAGTTCGTCGTCTCCCTTCGAACAGGCTCCCATTCTGGAGAGCGCAAGGCAAACTCGTAACGATAAATCAAGGATGCAAGTAGAACGGTCCGTTCAAGATAGCTGATATTGCGACCTATGCAGCCCCTAGCACCTGCGCTAAAGGCCACGAAATAAGGCTGGAGGTCCTTGCCTTCCTCGCCTAGCCAACGCTCCGGGCGATAAACATTGGGATCCGGGAATATGGTTTCATCTCGGTGCACCACGTACGCGGACATACTGACGGAAGTATTGCCCGCAATGAAGTTACCGAAAATATTGGCTCCCTCGGGAGGCGTGCGGCGAGGCAGGTTGAACGACACAGGTGGGAACATCCGCATGCTCTCATCGAGGCAGGCGCGGAGATACGGCAAATGTTTGACTTTATCGTAGGCGGCCACGATTTCATCGTCATCTAGGACATTGTCGAGCTCTTCCTGCAGCTTCTTCAAACAATGGGGGTTCCGAAGCAGGAAGAACATCACATTGTTCAGAGCGATTCCAGTCGTATCAGATCCCGCGTTCATCATAATACTCACTTCTGCCACAATCTCGCCCCATTCGAGATTATGCGGGGCCCCGGATTTGTCGGCCATGAGAGCGGTAAAAAAATCATCAAGTTTCTCTCCGGTTTCGTAGCGATTCCAGCGCGTGGTTGCTCGGTTGTACACGATTCCATCCCAGTCCTTGTTCAGCCTCCATTTCTGGCGGTAGGTAGAGGACACCAGTCCGCTCACTCTGCACAAAGTCTGATACCAATCGTACGACCAGATCAGGTTCGAAGTAGCCCACGCCGTAACATACAGACATTCTCGGAAATTGATCTTCTTAACAGCCCCTCCTTGGCTCTCCGAGGCAACCAGATCACTCCCCTGGTCAAGGAAGCGTAAGTCTTCACTTAGACCGATGTTGGCGATTGCGGCAATCGTGAAAAGATTCGACCACATGCGATAGTCAATCGTAAGATCTTTCTAATCGGGGATTTTCCCTTGAGGAAGCGGATCGGTGCATCGAGAATCAAACGCCTTGATGAGGCGGCGAGACATATCGGCCACCTTATATACCCAGTTTTCCAAGTTCTTGATAGCGTAGGCACTGGAGAGGACTTTGCGTTTCCGAGCATGCTCGCTTTTATCTACCACATCTGCAAGATAAAAGTAGGAGCCTGACAGCTCAGCATAGAAGATGTCTTTGGTGCATTTTGTGCCGTGGCCATAGATGTCCTTGATCGCGGCAGGGTCTGAGTAGGAAACGGAGTTCGGCCCTATGCGGATGACCGGATGATTCTTGTGAGCCTCGAGAAGTGAGTGGGACCGGAAACCCTTGTGTGACTCGTATATCAGAGGAAGATCCGATATGCCTGACCAGAAACTGAGGTTGGGGTATTTGCGGAGACCTTTGGGGTCTCGTATATAGTTGATCACGGGGAAGATGAAGTAATAGAGGACAAGGAAGAGAGATGTAGCTGCAAGGATAAGGCTATACATTATTCAGGGAATGAGCTCACACAAAAATCTGTCTCTCCATCATTGCTATTGTCGTGATACTTGATGTCTTCTTTATATGCGTCGAGTACTCAGTATGCAACTGAGAGTGAGTTTTTACTCCTTTGGGATGGTCGGCGACATGTCGATGAATATGGTTAGCGCCGCCGATTCCGTTTCCATTAGGCAGTGATCGACATCGACAACGGTGGGGAATCGCGCTTCGAAGAAACCGAGCAGTTGCTTCCTCCTCACTTTATTCCATTCAATCACACTCGCACAATGAAAAGCAAGAAATGAAGTCTTGCATCATAGGTGGAATTGATCACCGCTTGTGGTAAGCTGTCCTAATAGCCAAAGGCAATTCATTCATTGGCGCAACAGACTGCGCAAATCTAGGGTCCATAGTCCAATCCACCTGTTGACTTCTTGTCTAGATGCCAATGAGGTCTACAAACATGGATTCTCCACTCGATCCATCGGCACCCGTGCTGTTGTGCAGAATGTTGTTACCGAGAGTGCTGACCAGCTGATCCACCATATCCTGGTGGCTTATATTACGGCCTGCATCCCACTTGAACTTGGAAATTCTGTCCGCGTCCAGTGCAACCAACATGGCTACAGTTCAGAATCCAGAGTCCGCCCTACCACAACTGTCGACACATCTACCACATGGCCTGAGCCAGAATGGAGGTCGCGTTGATCTGTCTCAGCTTGGCTTCCTGCGACCCACACTTCCCAGCTTGCCTGTCGTAGAGATGCGCCGCAGACTGAAAGAAGACGGATATATTTTCGTAAAAGGTGTTATTCCCCGCGAGGACGTGCTGGATGCTCGCGAGAAGTAAGATTTACCGCAATCTGATCTGCGACACGAGACCTGTCTTGTCCTAATGAAACGAACGATGCAGCTACTTCCAAGCATATGCCGACACGTCTCTATTGCAATGGAAGACCCAGTTTTGCTCTGGTATCTGCCACCATCTCATAGGACGATTTAGTCGCCCCCTTGGATACATAACCAGGGTCCTGGTATATCCCCAGCAGGAGTACGAAGATACCCTCCAAAAGATAGAGGTAGCCACGGTGAATCGGCTTATGGAAAACGGCGAGTATTCGGAAATGAGGTTTAACTCTCTCTCGGCATATCTGTAAACACCCTCGCGTTTGTCCCTTGCGGCACTTGGAAGGGACAAAAAGTCTTCGAGAGACCATATCTCCTTTTCGAAAAAGGCCTGAACTCTTTCAGAAATACCGGCCAAAACATCGAAACTATAAATTCCACTGCAGGACCTTCCTGCGGATGCTGAGTGCCGCTGGAGATGTATCGGACGTCTCTTGACCGAAGGGACCGCATTCTTAAAGATTAAAAATGGGTCGTAGATGGGATCAGTTTGTTGATGGAGGTGCTGGAGGTAGATTTGATGGAGGTAGAGTGGTAAAGTTGACGAAGCTCAGGTTGATGGAGCTGGGTTTGACGATGAAGCTGTAGTTGATGGAGCTGGGTTGATGATGAAGCTGGGGTTGACGAAGCTGCAGTTAATGGTGCTCATGAGCAAGAGGCTGCTTAGTCGTAGAGGGAGAGAGGGGTTGCAACACGCTGCAAGTGAATAAAACTACGTGACGCGAAGGCGTACTGAGCTACTTTAACAGTACACCTTACGGTTTGCAGGACTATGTTTGACCTCTACAGTGCAGATCAAGTCCATCTCTCACCACAGAAAGAGCATTGGGACTCATCTATCCTTGGATATTGTGAGTAAGTCGGCTCTTCATTCTCACTTCTCACCATCACTCCGATTTCGAAAGCGTGGTGTTTGCGGCGGAAGTGACCGCTTTGGGCTGTTTGGTGTCTTGCCAGTCCTGGTATTTGATGCGATTACATTGAGCATGGCATAAGGGTGTCTCTTTATGCGTCAGGAAGGGAGACACCCTCGTCCCTCGGCTCCTTCAGGACCTTCGCGCTGTTCCGCCCTTGACGGCCTTGTCGGCGGTCTTGATCTTCTTCGCGTTCTCCTTGCCCTTCTCGTCCGTATGAATCTTAGGCATATCGATCTCTTCATTTTGTATAGGCTCTTGACTCGCCTTGGGGGTACTCGTAGGAGCAGAGGCTCCTTTTCTTTGTTGGTACATGTTCAGACTTCATACATGAAGCAACACCATGACCATGACGATCTTGAAATGAAATTGAATGGAACTTCGAATGAATTCATACGTTCATAACTTCTATAAGCAACATTACATAATCTGAAAGCAACTTTTACCGCCTAAAACTCCTCGTCGGAGAACACTTCCTCTCCACGCTTGCGGCGGGCAGCACGCTCCTTCTTCTTCTTTCGGAGCTCAGAGCCTGTGAGCTTCTTCTTCTTTTCGACCACGGTTTTGTTTCCGTATGCATCAACCACTTCCTCCTCACCGTCGCCCTTCTTGTCAAGACGAGGGCCAGAGCCTTGTCCTTGAACCCAGTTGTGGCCGGAGGGGGTCATCTTTCCGTCGACGACAGCCCACACTTCCTCGGTGAGGTTCTCAGTGAACTCACGGGAGTGGGTAATGATGACGACACCACCCTCGAAAGACTTAATAGCCTTGGACAGGGCACCAAGGGAGTCACGGTCGAGGTAGTTGGTGGGTTCGTCGAGGACGATCACGTGAGGGCGCTGCCACGAGCAGGCGGCGAGCACGACCTTGACACGCTGACCACCGGAGAGACCGCGCATCTGGGAGTGAGAGACCAGCTCGGCATCCAGACCGAACTGCTCGCAGTGGGCCTCAATCTCCTTACGGACCAGAGGACGGAACTGACCGCTGGCAAGAGCCTCCTTCTGATCGACCTCGGCGACCATCTTGGCATGGGACTGGATGATCTCGGTACGGGGAATCCAGGCGTTGTCGGCAGTCATCATAGGAGTCCACTTCTCGCTCTTCATGCCGATGTTGTCACCGAGCAAGAACGAACACTCGTACTCGTAAGTGTTCTTGAACTTACGACGAGAGTGGATACCGATGACGCGACGGGGAGAACCCTCAATGTTGTAGATCTTGTCCATGGCCTTCTCGTCCTCGTCGGTGACGATCTTGTTGGCACGGTCCATGGTCTCACGGTCCTCACCGGTCTGGAAACGCCACTGGATGTACTCGGAGGGAGTGCTGTCGAGGTGGTTATCGATGTGGGCGAAAGCGTGCTGCTTGATGTAGGCAATACGGATGTTCTCGTGCTGGTAGACTTCACCCTTGGTGGGGATCAATTCACCGGTCAGAACGTTGACCAGAGTAGATTTACCGGCACCGTTGGGACCGATAACGGCAATACGAGAGCCCAGCGAGATCTGGAAGCTGATGTCCGTAATCTGGGGACGGGGGGTGCCGGGGTACTGGAAGGTCATGTCCGAAACCTTAACGATGGCCTTGGCCTTGGTCTTGACACCCTCAAGGAAACCGGGCTCGGGGAACTTGAACTCCATGTCGCCGGCACCGAGCTCGTAGTAGGAGCGAGCAGAGGGAACGCGCTTGACGAACTCGCTCAGGGTACCACGGTAACGCTTAAGCTTGAAGCGCTCGTAGTGGACGACGTGCTGGATGACATTGTCCAAGAACTTGCTGTCGTGAGACACCATGATCGAAGTGCAAGGGGAGGTGCAGAGGTAGTTCTCCAACCAGGCAACGTTCTTCACGTCCAAGTGGTTGGTAGGCTCGTCGAGGAGCAGAATATCGGGCTCCTCGAACACGGCACGGGCAAGCGCCAACTTCATCTTCCATCCACCAGAGAGGGCGGTAATGGGACCCTCCAACTGCTCCCGGAGGAAACCGAACTCTTCGAGCTTGGCCTCGACCTCGGGCTGCTTAGGCTCCAAACCGACCTCCATAAGCTTCTTGAGGGTCCAGCCGATAACGGTCTGCTCAGTGTCGGCAGAATCCAAATCGTGCTCGACATAGACAGTCTTGACCTCATCCTTCTTGGGGAAACCCTCCAGCTGCTCGTTGTTGATGGCACGCATGAGGGTGGTCTTTCCAGTACCGTTGGGACCGAGCAGACCGTAACGCTGACCACGCTTCAGACGAAGGCGAGTCTGGTTAAGCAGGATCTTGGCACCGTAGGCCAGGGAGAAGGTGCAGTTGCAAAGATCCTCACCCTCCTCCTCGTCGGAGGGAAGGTCGTCCGCAGCCAGAGCAGCGGGGCAGGCCTTCTTGCGGAGCTCCTCGACGACTGCCGGGGCGTGCTCATCGCCAACGATGGCAGCGATGTAAGGGGAAGCGTTGCGGGTCCAGTTGATGACCTCGTTGTCCTGCTCATCAATGAGCTGACCGCCGATAGCACCGACGTAGTTGATGACAGCCTCAGCGCCAGCGACCTTGCCCTTGTGCTTAGCCTCCAGAATCTCCTTCAGGACACCGGCAACAGTGTCGATGTCACCAGCAGTGGAGATCTCGGGGATCTTGCCGTCCTTGACATCTCCGACACGGCAGAGAGTGTCCAAGGCCTGCTGGGTCTTGCCACGAGCCTCGGGATCGGCCATGGTGTCCCGGTTCTTCTCGAGACGGGGCATCAACTTGGGCAGGAAAGGAGCCACGATCTGGGGGTCCTCCACAAGCTTACACATGTTGTCGACAATGACAGCGGCCTTACGCTTGATGGCGGTTTGCTGGGAAGAGTCCAGACCACGGTCCAGCAGGGGCACCATGATAGCCAAGGTGGGGCCGGTGACATCGGAAACGAAAGTAGTAGCACCGAGCAAGTGAACAGTCTGATCAACCTTACTGGGGTCGGCAATACATTCAACCAAGGCAGGAATGAATTTCTCTGGAACAGACGTTAGTTTTAAGTTAAAACGCAAAGGAGATGGCGCACTGACCGATATCCTTGTTCTGAATCAATTTACAGACTTGGTTCATGACCTCCTTGGCCTCAACCTTGACCGTGGTCTTGGTGTCCCACATAGCATCGGAAACAGCGGGAATAATTTCGGGAACACGGAACGAAAGCTGAATCGCAGCATTCTTGACCAGAGAGGCAATGCAGTTAAGAGCGCACATCTTCTCTTGCCACTTCTGAGCGCTCGTCACGGACTCGAGAATGGGAGCAAGGACGGCCTTAACAGCGTTACCGCTGACACCGGTGACAATGGCCTCGGCGGCAGCCTGGGCGGCCTTCTGAACGTCGCCGACCTTATCACTGTTGGCTACCAAGACAGGACCAAGCAGGGTCACAAGGTGAGGCTCGACACCGGGAGCGATGGTGGGGTGGGCAGCGATAGCCCGGATGGCATCGAGAGCACGCTGACGGGCAGCGGCATCCTTCTTGTTGGCGAGCTGCTTCTTGAAAGTCTCGACGGCCCTTAAAACCAAATATCTGTTAGCATAATGTTCTTAGGGCTCAGTTTCCGGGGCTGAGGCTATTTCCCATACTTCAGAGGCAGAGTCTGCTCGGGAATGGGACCGCTTAGAAGGTGAGCAAGGTCGTTCGAGGCAGCGTTGATCTCGTCCTGAGTCGAAGAGACGTTCAGGGTCTTGAACAAGTCCTCGAGGACGGCGATCGACTGAGCGGTCTCCTTGCCGGAGACGGCAGGAACGGAGGAAACATCAACAGCAGGCATTTTGAACGTAAAGAATTCGTAAACGAGATAGAAAAGAGAAAAGATAAGAAGCAAGAACGAGAAAAAACCGTTCTATAGGGGTATCTCGAAGAGGTGTCGGCCCACGAAAAACTGCGTCTTATACAATGACACAGAAAAACGCTCTAATGTGGCCCAAGTAAAATCTGCTTTTTGTCCAGACAGAAGACAAAAAAAGAAAAAAGAAATGTAAAGAGAGGACCAGACCTCTAAGCAGAAGATGAGGATGGGATGGGAGAGGGAAGAGAGGAGGGAGGGGGGGGGGGAAAGCGGACGGAGAAAGATATTTATCAGTTTGTGGCCTCTCTTTTTTTTTTTTTTCGCCGCCCAACCCTCCTCCGTCACTCAGTATATTAGAAAAAAATTTTCATACCAATTTTTTCAGTTCCCTGTCCCGCACTAGACCCGGTTCCGGACCAGCGTCAAGGGGGATGGCTGTCCAAGCAACCAATCCGATAGGGTCCGTGGTTGCGGTGGGATCAATCAGTGCCCGGTCATTGGCCCGTGGCGTATGAAAAGGTGGGTCATCGAGAAAAACTTTGAATCGCTCCCACAGACAGTCAGACACTGCCCTCTGCCCACGGTGCACGGGAGTATTGCCTGCCTGATTCGGGACGGACTGTCCGAGAATGCAGCTGGAGATGCCTGATTTTGGGCCCACGGATACGGTTCGATGTCCAAAGACACTTCATGTTCATACCACATCATTATTTATTACACCGGTGTAGATATAGAAAAGAAAGAAAAAATCATATCATAAATTCGAGTCGACATAGGTTAGATTATAATCCGAACACATACTCTTTCCTCCCTACTCGGACAGCGCCAACTCCTTGCCAGTGCCAGAGAGGACTTACTCCGTACTTTGCCAATCAATCTCAGGCATAGTTGCTTATTGTAGACAGAAGCCAGAGCCCCTTTTTGAAACCAAGGCTGAAGGTGTCTGCGCCATATTCACTGTTCCTATCAATGTACCTGGGTGCTCGGCGGTTACAGAATTACGACTGAAGCTTTGGTACCGAGCTAGGTAGGATATGGCCATCCCCAGACTAATTTGCAGCGGTGGATGTTGCGCATCCCTTGATAATCCTTCTTTTCGATGGGCTAGAGTTCTCTACTAGTCCCTGGCAGGCTGTGAATCCGGGGGGATGTAAACAACGTTGCGGTTAGCCCCCTTCCTCCCCGTGAAAAATGTGTTGGGGCTGCAGATAAGTTGCTGCTATTTCTGTCGCCACCCTCAGGTCGCTCAGGCTTAGTGGCGCAGCCGAGAATTCAACTCGTTAAATAGGGGAAGGGAATTAATAAATATATAAATAAAATAAAATAAAAAAAACCTCCCTAATACGACGTCACTTGAAAAGGTACTTTATAGTTAAGAGGAGCCGTGGATTTTCAGCCTCTTCCGTTTCTTGCGCAGTATCCTTGTCGCGGACGGGTGTGGAAGTCTGGAATAATATACAAAGGCTACCGAACTGTTCAATAAATTCTGCATATATTTCGCCACGCCGCCACGCATAGCCGGTGGGGAGATCACCAGAGCCACAACGCTGGTGATTATTGTACAAATTGCTAACTGACAACTAGCTGTGGTGACATTAATTGAATAACACCTTGTTTGAGTTCTGGCCCGTAAAGGTGAGAACACCGCCAAGGATATCAAGAATGTGATGGTCTACTCGGTTTGCTTGGGGTCCGGATACTAATCGACGTGTTCTGAGGCAAGAGAAACCGGGCAGGAACTTGTCCGGGGTCAAATCACAACTGGATTGATTTGATTAGTTACTTGTCGCAAAACCACAACGGCTGAAACACATGGCTTGCTTCGGGATGCGACGCGTATCACCGCCATTTCTGATTCGGGCGTTATACTCCGTACACAGTATGATTTCTCACTACAGTAACAAACTATTTATATAGATGGCTTTGATATAACGATGTGAATCTGACAGAACCACTGCGGAGTAGTCTACTCAAAATATGGGGAAGGAAGAGACATAAAAATGTCAAGCCCTTATCGTGGACTAGTTCTTCTATTGCCCCTTATCGATTCTTGACTATCGGAATTTGAGTTTTGTTCCCTCCTTGCCAAATCTCCGGATCCCGCACCACCCTTTTGCCCCGCGAATCCCGAAGATAGTGTACTGTGTCGAAGGAAGGGTGGAAATAATGGCAACACATGCAAACCCAAAAAAAGAGAGGGAGTGCAGAATTTTTTCGTCCCGTATCCTAAAAGATCTTACTCCGTAATTTTTAATTTAAAAATTTCTTCTCTTCTCAGCCCTTCCTCTAATTCGGCTAGTAGTACGGGTCCTCCGTGTTGATAATCAGTCAGACTTTTCAATCTAACCGCCCTTACTGCTGCATACGTTGACATCCCCCGGAGTGCATCAATATAGTGTTCTTGAGCATCCAGGCAGCCGTCAATTAGCCTTTAATAATATATTCTGACCCCATCCGTGTTGAAACTTACGATGTACCTCTGCGCGATACTTTCTGACTCATATACACAACCACTCCGTCCATCCATCATGATCCCGTCATGTGTAGCGACTCGCCACTTTCAAGAGTCACTCATGAAGACCAATAGAAGCCAGAGCCGCGACTGATTACTAACACGAATCACAATCGGATTCTCCTTCGCGTGGCTACATCACCCATCAAAGAAAGACAGTTACTAATCCTTCGGGTCGCTTCCAAAGAGGTGGAAGTACATGTTGCCACTGCTGCCATTTACAGTCTCTGCTTTCGTCATGGCTTCACCTTTTCGCTTTACCCGCCAATAAGACGGAATTATCGAAGCCAGAACGTAATGATTGGCCGGGTCACCCCAATACACGTGTGAAGCTTTCGGGTTGCTGAAATTCTAACCTGTCTAGAGCTCTTGGTGTGGCGATTTTCTACTCGGGACTTTCTTGATGTCATACAATGCCGAGCATCCCGAGGGATCTTTGGAGTATCGCATGCTGGGAGTCTGAGAATTCGTCTGCCACAGGAATCCTCGAGCCCGAATTCTCTACTGCCTCGCAGTTTCTGATGACCTTACTGTCATGTGAGTGTGTATAAGCAAGCCGGGAGCGGGATCCGAGATGCCCGATTACAGCTCCTTTTCTGTGGCCGAGATCACCAATGAAGAAATGAAAGGCATTGTATTCGATAACTTTCATTTGATATGAATGAACAACGCGATAAAGAGGAATAGAAACAAGAAGCCAAGGAACTTGGACAGACGTCAACTTGGCGAAACGTAACCGTCCACCAGGACAACTTTCAAACCACAAAATAATATCAGTTTGCTAACGAACAAGAACTTGCATCCATCATCAACGCATGAACCGTTTCAAAGAAGAAGAGAGTCAAATGTCGACCCGAAAGCCGAAAAATAGCGGTCGCTCAATCGCTAGAGCTAGAGCTCGATGAGCTCGATGAACTCGAGCTGGAACTGGAACTAGCGTCGCGCTTGTGTTCCTTGTACTTTTTGTACTTCTTGTGCTTCTTGTGTCTGTTCGAAACCCAAAAAGTCAGATCGCTGAAGAAAATAGGAACGATGGGACAATCTTACAATTTGCTGGCCAGTCCCATTCCAGCCGCACCAGCCAGTGCACCTCCTGCTGTTCCCAATAGTCCACCACCGAGTTTATGGCCTACAAAACCACCACCAGCAGCGCCGAGAAGCGATGATCCGAGACCTTTCTCACCTTCCGGTTTTCCCGGAGCTGGACTGTGTCCTGCCTGTTGCGGAGGGCCTCCCGGCTGGGCGCCATAGAATGAAGCGCTTTCGCCCTGGTAAGGCGGTTGCTGCTGCTGCTGCTCCTGCGGTGGAGCATAAGGAGAGCGATAGTTCATGTTCTGGTCATAACCGTGCTGCTGGTCTGGATACCCTTGCTGAGGTCCACCATAGGGGCCATAGGTCTGCTGGTTGTACGGAGGAGGAGAACCGGAATACGGCGCATGTGGGTGACTCTCATAGGGAGCCTAAATGAGGAACGGATAATGTTGTCAGCTGAATATGTCGCCCAAACCCGCGGAAGACAAACCGGTAGGCCGTGGAGCAGACTTACGGGAGGGTTATAGTAAGTTTGTTGTGGCTGACCGTACTGACCCTGCGACGGAAGGAAATTGCCTTGCTGTCCCTGATAATATCCACCGTACTGATTGTTTCCAGCCTGGGAGGGGTCGTACTGGGGGTATGGATTGCGGTTGTAAGGATCGGACATGATGGGCAGGTGAGCGCGAATGAGTGTACCGATCTGTGTTGGATAAATGGGCTATTGAGTCTTCTGATAATAGCGTGGATGAGGGAGAATGTGTGTTGAAAATGAAATGATCGCACTGGTCGACCTGGTTTCACCAGAAGAATTGCTGACAGACGGGGAAAGCACCATGGCCAGCAACGGGAGGGTCAGCGTGGCTCAGCGCGTCACTTTTTGGCAGGGAGCACGGCTGGCTGGAACGGGCTAGCGTGGATAATACGAGGGGAGACATTTATTCGCTATCAGCCTCCTTAATATACAGTCCGCCACTCGGTCTATGTATTGATCTTAGATCATCAGAGTTTTGTTCGTTCCAATCTTTCTCTCCCCTTCGATCCAAAGTTCCTCGACACTAAAGCAAGACGCAGTCATGTTTATTTCTCCAACACTCCCTCTTGGCTCTGCTTGATTGCTGCCTCTGCAATCGATCGATATCGGGCACAGCATTGTACGAAGTTAGTGATATTCCCATCCGATTGGATCATAGAAATTTCTGAGAAGTAGTTTTCCACCGTAAGCATTAGCTTGATGTCTGTGCTCCCCTTAGCGACTTGTGGATCTTGCACAATGAGCATGGAGAGGATCATAAAGGCGAACATTGTACAGTAGGCGATAGAACTATTATCGACCATCAGTCATGTCTGGCGGTATATAAAGTGCCTAATCACGCGATTCTTTGAGGATGAGCTTACCCCGCGAATAATGTATGATCTCGTGGAATATATCGGATTAGTTCCATTAATTCTCGTGCAGCCCGCATACACAGCTGAGCAGATATCAAAGTTCGCGAATTTGGCGAGCGAAGAGATAAAGGCCGAATAGAGCGAGGATCGAGGTCCATTGACCATGTTGCTCGACTGATTGCTCTCCTGTGAATAGCCAAAACGCAGGCGTAATAGCTGAAATGCATGTAAAGAATGGACAGATGAGGATCCTTTCTGACGAGTTCATCAGGTTTAGCAAGCTCGGGCCGATAGTCGTGGGGAATACCGTCCCTCCAGTCTTGGAGAAGCGTGTCGAGCTGACCGACGATTGTAATGATCTCTGCATCAGTTCTGTCGCCTGCAGTGGTGGAGTAAAGCTCACGGTACACATGGCTTTTCAGATTGGTCAATTCACAGTACGAATCGAACAGGTCAAAGATATAGGAGGAAGCGAAATTATGCTTCGAAGAAGGGGAATTAGTGTTTTTGATGCGATCATCGAAAAGTTGTTTCAGAGATGCGTTTGGGATGGGCTGTAAAGGTGGCATTGCTGAAGAAAGTGAAATGCTTGAAAGGTTAGCGGGTAAGCTTCTTATAACTTTGTCGAAGCGAGGCTTGCAACGAAGAAAAAGCACTTACTCTATGTCGAGGTCGTAGGTAATTGCGAGAACCCGGCGGTATACCGGCGACCGCTCGCACTCGGCAGGGTTTAGTCCATGCAGTATGCGCATTGCGAGGGAGACAAATGTATGTGATGGGGTGGCACTGAATGTCCCAATGAGATACGCAGTCTAATGTTGGAGTGAGCACATGACCGGGCAGGTTGCATCGTTATAAATTTTTACCATTGCTATGAGAGCTTGCGCCGATGGCAATTGCGGCCGTCCAATGAAAAAGTTGTTTAGCGAGAGCGTGGCATTCTTCCAATAGAACCATGCCTTTGAGTGGAATCCTGGTTCGACAGCACATGAAAGCGCTATCGTGGCGTTTATACATGCCCACCAAGAAGGTGATGATTGAGGGTAGATAGGGTACTCTCGCTCGACACGGGAAACAAACTCGTCCTCGTCAAAAAAGGGACAAAATGGATTTATTTCTCTGAAGTAGGTGTTAAAAAGTTGCAAAGCTAGGTATTTTGGTGGTAATGCAATGAATGGCTCGTTTAGACGTCCATCCGCCAGGGGATCGTCATCAATGAATTTATTCTGTGGATGCAATGGTGAATCGAAGCCCTCTAGATCGACAGACCCATGTCTGGACTTTTCATATAGCCAGTGTAAACCCTCGGAGGAGAGTATTGAGAATGACGAGGAACCCGAATCGGCTGGATCAATGTTAGCGGAGAGGAAAAGACCTGGGTCTGCCTGTTCAATTACCCAGGGTTTCAGGTGTATCAACAAGGGGCCGCGGTATCATGAAGCACGGTGACGAGAAAAGCATATGATCCTGATTAGAGACCTCGGATGTTGTATCGAGGACTGAAAGTGGATCATAGGATATAGGACCATACCCCCCGCCGTCTTGAAACGGAAAGCCGATGAGATCGGGGTATATGGGAAGCGATTGGAACAGGCATGTATCCAAAGGTTCTATCAGTGAACCAAAGCGATTTGCAGGAAAGAGCGATTGTTCAAAGGCGGGGGATGGATTGATGATCCCGTGTTTATCAGAAATTTGGGACCCTGAGTTGACAAGCACACACTCGCTGCGGCGTCTCTCACATGCACGACATTTGAGTGCTTTGCTTGACATTTCACATTTTACTTTGCGGCGTCGACACGATATGCATGCCTGCATTTATTTTCAACTCAGTATTTGCGGTCCTACTCCGTAGGGAGGCCAGATGATGTGTGTAAGGAATAGAGTCGGACCTTGCCTGCGCCCTTGCGCTGATACCCCTGACGAGATTCCATGATGGAGGAGCTATGGATTCATAAAGTCCATCAAAGGTAGACCTGAGCATCGAGAAGTGAGATGGAGAACGAGAGGACGGGGGAGAATAGATAGGTAGAACCGTTGCCGGACGGGCCGAACGACTTGGAGAGGAGTGGGAGCCTGAGTGGGGCTTGATCGACCACCCACAAGGCGTCCCGAGAAAAGTTTCAACGCTAAAGTCCGCGTCTCCGAGCGTATTGTTTACCGCTGTCGAGCCCGTGATTACGCCGTCAATACACCCCCCGGGCCCCGGGCCCGGGACCGAACCTCCACTCTACAAACACAGACAACTACCTACAGTAGGTCTCCTTGAGGCTAATGAGCTACATACACGCCCCACGATGGAGCTAACGCCTCCCAATACACTCGGACAGCCACCCTCCGAGTTGTATCTTACATCGGGCTCGAGCTTATTTATCCTTGATTGCGAACCAAACTCCTGGAAGCGCAGGATTATAAATATCGTGCACGCCGATTGGCCAGATTCACCACCCTGCACCCTCCTTCGTGATGAAATCCGCATTTCTAGGCTCTATTCTGGAACCCTGCTCATGTCGACTGTGACCGAATCTCCACCCGATGCCATTCTCGAGGTCCGAGCCCGAGCCTGTCGGGCTAGGTACAATGGATTATGGAGTACTACTCTACGGAACGGAGGGTCCGGATCGGTGTTGACTATTGATGCTGCTGGCATTCATTACCGAACAGGTCGGAGAAATTGCAGTGGATAGCTGAAGTGCTATAAAGAGTTGTCTTATCCGCCAGAGTGGACATTCTGTTTCCCTGTTGATACACCCGTTCTCTGCTAAGAGACACAATTTTTCCATCCTCTTTCTCTTACATACCAGCAAGGCCCATGTTACAGACAGACTCCTTTGAATGTTACAAAAATGTCAACCCTTGGTGGAATGCCATCCTCGGATGACTCGCGAGACGACAATATCAAAGCCGAGCACGAGATGAGCGGTCAATATGAAACGGATACAGCATCGACTCGAACAAAATTGGATGGACGGGACGACAGCGAGAAGATGGATGATATGGAAGAGGAGGTTGAGCAGATGGTGCGGCAGCTCACCCGTCATTCTACCCGATTCTCCACAACCGGTGCGAACAATCCTTTCTTCGAGGAGAACAAAGAGTCAACATGGCATCCCGATAGTCCATTTTTCAAGACGAAGGATTGGATCAGATCGCTTCTCGCCGCGCAGTCGCGCGATCCGGAACGGTTTCGTCAGCGTAGTGCTGGTGTAGCTTTCAAAGACCTCCATGTTCACGGTTTTGGCAGTCCAACTGATTACCAGAAGGATGTGTTCAATTCGATCCTGGGTATTGGTGGCCTCGTACGGCAGGTGGTTGGAAGTGGTCTTCAAAAGGTTCAAATATTGAATGACTTCAACGGAATGGTTAGGAGTGGTGAAATGCTCCTGGTTTTAGGCCGCCCAGGGAGGTAAGTTCGTTCGAAGAGAACGCGGAACCATTCCCAAGAAGCTGATTCACGGCACGTCTAACCTGCAACTGATACTAGTGGCTGCTCAACCCTTCTCAAAACAATTGCCGGTGAAATGAATGGAATATATGTTCACGAAGATAGTTATATGAACTATCAAGGTATCATTCTGCCACGCTTCTACCTTCAAAAAGCGATCTAATGAAGGATGTGTAGGTATATCCGCCAAAGACATGCAAAAGAGATTCCGAGGAGAGGCTATCTTTAGCGCTGAAAACGACGTCCATTTCCCACAGCTTTCAGTTGGGGACACTCTGACATTCGCTGCTCAGGCGCGAGCGCCCCGCACACGGTTTCCCGGATTGAGTCGCAAGGAATATGCAAACCATGTTCGCGATGTGGTGATGACGATGCTGGGATTGCGGCACACTTTCAATACACAAGTAGGCAATGACTTCGTCCGAGGTGTTAGTGGTGGCGAGCGCAAACGAGTGAGTATTGCGGAGGCTATTCTCAGTGGCGCGCCTCTACAGTGCTGGGATAACAGCACCCGCGGGCTTGACAGTGCCAATGCATTGGAATTCTGCAAGAATTTGCAATTAATGAGCAAATATGCTGGCACAACTGCATGCGTTGCGATTTACCAGGCCTCTCAGAACGCATACGATGTAAGTGGGCTTTGTGATGTCATATTATAGTCAAATATAGGCTAACCTTTTTCACAATAGGTATTTGATAAAGTTGTTGTGCTCTATGAAGGTCATCAGATCTACTTTGGCCCGACTAACGAGGCGCGCCAATTCTTTACTGACATGGGTTTTGATTGCCCGCAGCGCCAAACCACGGCCGACTTTCTTACTTCCTTGACCAGCCCCAGTGAAAGAAGGGTGAAGCCTGGATTTGAAGACAAAGTGCCCCGAACCCCGAGGGAGTTTGCAGCGCGGTGGCGGAACAGCCCAGAATTTGGTAGACTCTTGCAGGAGATTGAAGCATTCGATCAAGAGTATCCCATTGGAGGTAGTTCCTATAATGAGTTTGGGGAGGCGCGACGATTGATGCAGTCAAAGCAACAGTGGGTTTTATGCAACAAAATTTAGAGCAGCTTTATGTACTAACCCGAACAGGCGTGCTAAATCTCCATACACACTCTCAGTGATTGAGCAGGTGAATTTGTGTCTAGTACGCGGTTTTCAGCGCCTCAAAGGAGATGCCAGTCTCACTATGACGGCGATCTTTGGGAATTTTATAATTTCCCTCATTCTAGGGAGTGTGTTTTACGACATGCCTTCTGATACGTCCAGTTTCTATTCTCGTGGGGTCCTTCTATTCTATGCGGTGTTGATGAGTGCGTTTAGTAGTGCACTCGAGGTTAGTCATGTCCCTGAATAGGTCCGTGAGTCGACTAACAGTTCTAGATCTTGACCCTTTACGCTCAACGTCCTATTGTGGAAAAGCAAGCACGGTATGCGTTTTATCATCCATTTGCAGAGGCCATCGCATCCATGCTTTGCGACCTACCGTATAAGATAACCAATTCGGTGACATTCAATCTTCCTCTCTATTTCCTGTCTCACTTACGCCGAGAGCCGGGGCCATTTTTCATCTTTTGGCTTTTCTCCATAGTAACGACATTGACCATGTCAATGATTTTTCGTTCTATTGGTGCCGGATCAAGATCATTGGCTCAAGCCCTCGTACCGGCGGCTATATTGATCCTAGGTCTGGTTATTTACACTGGCTTCATTATCCCAACCCGTGATATGCTGGGTTGGTCAAGATGGATGAATTATATTGATCCTATTGCCTATGCCTTTGAAAGTTTCATGGTTAATGAATTCGATGGCCGAGATTTTCCGTGCCTTTCATTCATTCCCTCGGGCCAGGGCTACGAAGATGTCGATCCCACCCATCAAACCTGCAGTGCGGTATCCTCTTCACCAGGACTGCGGAGCATCAGTGGAACTTCATATGTTGAAACAACCTACCAATACACTCGCTCCCATTTATGGCGGAATCTAGGAATCATGATTGGGTTCATGATTTTCTTTATGTTCATTTATCTTCTAGCCACGGAGCTTGTTTCCGAAGCTTTGTCAAAGGGGGAAGTCCTTATCTTTCGACGAGGTCATCAGCCAAAGAATACTCAAGATAGCGAGGCGCCATCAGATACTGGTTACAAAGAGGATAGTCCGATGGAAGGCTCTGCTAACATACAGCGCCAAACTGCGATATTCCAATGGCAGGATCTTTGCTATGATATCAAGATAAAGGGGGAGCCACGCCGAATTCTGGACCATGTCAATGGATGGGTCAAACCGGGCACAGCCACAGCATTGATGGTACGTTGGCTACTGTTACCCTCGAACTCTAACTCCTTACTAAAAACACATAGGGTGTCTCCGGCGCTGGAAAGACAACACTACTCGATGTGCTCGCCACGAGAGTGACAATGGGTGTTGTCTCCGGCGAGGTCCTAGTCGATGGCCAAGCACGTGATGACTCGTTCCAGCGCAAAACTGGCTACGTTCAGCAACAAGATGCCCATTTGCAGACTTCGACAGTACGCGAAGCGCTTCGGTTTAGTGCTCTGCTCAGACAACCGGCACACGTCAGTCGACAAGAGAAATTGGATTATGTAGAAGAGGTACTCGACCTACTTGGTATGCAGTCTTATGCGGATGCTGTGGTTGGTGTTCCAGGAGAGGGTAGGTTATCATATATTCAATTAACCCGTTCTATCCCCTTATCACGTTGAACATGCTGACAATCTGAAAGGCCTCAATGTTGAGCAACGGAAGCGTTTGACCATCGCAGTTGAACTAGCTGCTAAGCCGCAATTGCTGCTTTTTCTCGATGAACCAACTTCCGGGCTGGATAGTCAGACCTCATGGTCAGTCCTAGACCTCATCGAGACACTCACGAAGCACGGCCAGGCGATTTTGTGCACAATTCATCAACCATCTGCAATGCTATTTCAAAGGTTCGACCGCCTCCTATTCCTTGCTAAAGGAGGAAGAACTGTCTACTTTGGGGAGATCGGCGAAAACTCGTCAACGCTCGCGAATTATTTCATGAAAAACGGAGGGCATCAGCTTTCAGCAGGCGAAAACCCTGCGGAATGGATGCTTGATGTTATTGGAGCCGCCCCGGGGTCCCACAGTGATATCGACTGGCCAGAAATTTGGAATAAGAGTCCCGAGAAGCAATCCGTGTGTGACCACCTGGCGGAACTGAAATCGGCCTTATCCCAGCGCCCAAAGGAATCGGGCTCTCAGGATGATTTCCGGGAGTTTGCCGCACCGACCTGGGTTCAATTAAAGGAATGCCTTTCTCGGGTTTTCTCGCAGTACTGGCGGACCCCGTCATACATATACTCCAAGCTTGTGTTGTCTATCTTGACTGCGTTGTATAATGGCTTCTCCTTCTTCAAAGCCAAGAACACGCAGCAAGGCTTGCAGAACCAGATGTTCAGTATATTTATGCTTATGACCCTGTTCGGCAACTTGATCCAACAGATAATGCCGAACTTCGTGATACAACGAAATATCTATGAAGTGCGCGAACGTCCGTCCAAAATGTACTCCTGGCGGGTTTTCATGGCCGCCAATATTCTAGTGGAACTACCGTGGAACCTGCTGGTAGCCATCTTGATGTTCTTCTGTTGGTACTATCCTGTTGGTTTGTATCAGAACGCCGAGCCGACAGATGCAGTTCACGAGCGAGGAGCACTCATGTTCTTGTTCATACTTACTTTCCTATGGTTTACATCCACTTTCGCACACATGATCATCGCCGGTGTTGAGAATGCGGAGACAGGAGGCAATATCGCCAACCTTATCTTTGTGCTTCTTCTTTTGTTCTGCGGGTTTGTTTTATCCTTCTAGTCCCCTTATGTCGCGAGATGGCCCATACTGACAAAATGAACAACAGTGTTGTCGCTACTCCGGAAGCCATGCCTGGATTTTGGATCTTCATGTATCGCGTTTCGCCGTTCACCTATTTAGTGTCTGGTATGCTGAGCACTGCGGTCAGTGGAACCGAAGTGACCTGCGACTCGATCGAGACTCTGAAGGTCAATCCACCTCCGAATCAAACATGCTCCGAATATCTAGGGGCATTCGCGGCAGCAAGTGGAGGACGCGTGCAGAACCCGGATGCAACGAGCCAGTGCGCATATTGTGCCATGTCGAGCACAGACACCTTCCTGGCGTCTGTCAGCAGCTATTGGGGTGATGCGTGGCGAAATTTTGGCTTGATGTGGGTGTACATCGCCTTCAACATCGTGGCTGCTATTGGCGTATACTGGCTGGCGCGGGTGCCTAAGGGAAGCAAGACTAAGGGCAGCGCTTGATTGGCAGTCATTAGAATCAGCATTCCGATGTATGGAAGACATCGGATTATGCGGCGATGAGTGGGAAACTTTGCTCATTTTACGCCTTCCTCCTTTCTTTCTTTCTTTTTTCTTTCGCTCTTTCTTCTTTTTGTTCATCTTCTTTTCTTTTCTTTTCTCCCTTGTTCGAAACTGCTCTTTTGATATTATATACGTAGATTCTTATCGTCAGTGTCTTACTTTACTGATAAATATTATAATCAATATACTTTTCCTTTAATTCGGATGCTAGTGTGAATTGGTGATCGCGCATGATCCTAGGTAATAATTGAATCACTGCTGAATCACTAAAAGAGCAAAGTGATTTCCATTACCTATGATGTCATTTTTTAGGTCTGGCTTTTCTCTGACGCTTTTGGAGCTTTTGCTTTTTACATCATTCACCCCCATCGCACCAAATCTCAAAGTTTCGAATATTTGGGCAAATCGATGTTGAAGAGCACAATATACCCACAGAATCTCTTTGCGTGTCAAGGATAGTCTCTCCATTATATGTAAAACACTCTCCATGCTGTCTAAATATCTTGAAAATATAATGGGTATCAAGGTTGAGTTTATAGAAGATACAGATAAGCAGATATATGGTTCTGATCATTAGAAGTCCTACATACATGACATTCGTCAGTAGAGCTAATGCTGCAAACCGAAACTACATCACCAGATACAATTCTTCAGCTTTTCTCTCCAAAAGACTTATTATCTGTCTCCTTTGCCATCTCCCCCTTCCAAGATAGTCCATTCACCATCTCAAAGCCTCCGAAATCATCATGTAGATGTAGATATAGTGAAAGTAGTTCCTATTCACCAAAGGTCTTCTTAGTAGGCGTCTCCCACTTTCTTTCTCGATCTTTCCTCCTTTCTGCCTTCATCTTCTAACTTTCTTAATCCTGCGGATTCTCGCAGTTGTCCTTAGTACTCGTTCTCAATGGATGGGATGGAATATTCATCATCCAAATGTGGATGGTGTCGCTCTCAACCATTTTGATATTGTTCAAATCGGTTCTGGAAAACCTGCAAGGTTCGAAATATCTTGCGGCTCTGGTCTTGTATGCCTGCCTTCTATCTCAGCCCAGCGTTTGCCATGTATCCGAGGCACTGACCTGGTCTTGAGCCAGTTTGAAAAACCCGCAAGGCCCGTCTTTCTATATACGATTGGAAGATATTAAGCGATACATGATATAACACAATAAAGAAACGTCAGGCGGAGGAACAGTAAAAGATCCTGCAAGAGCTGAGGGACCAGGGGAGTCTCCCTCTCCGACACTGAGGGAGACACCCTGGCCCCAGACGCCGTTCCGGATGTCGAACTCTCGGAGGGCCAGAAGATCCGCCAGCTCGAGCTCATCAGCCAGCGTGATTGCGTAGTAGATCGTCAGAAAATAATAAGGTATGTATAGTTGCAATCATTTTTCAATTTTAGAATCATTTGATACTGACTTAACTTAGGTTTCTGAGGAACTTGGCCATAAGGGTGTCTCCCTTTCTGATGAGGGGGCACCCTTATCACCGACTGGTCAGAGGATGAGAAAGCTTGAGATCTTAAGCGAAAAAGGCTGCGTCGTTGATCGTCAGAAGAAAGTAAAGAAGGATGAGAGTATGGAGGAAGAGGAGGAAGTTGTGGCCTTGAAAAGGCTGGAGAAGACCGAGGAGGGGAGCATGGTCAATAAGGCGGAGATCAAGCAGTGGAACAGATTCATCTCGGGTCAAAATCTGGCCAGATTGAGCTACACTTTTAGTCAGACTGCTTCAAATATCGCCTAAAGAGACACAATGTGCGATTTCCGTAGCAGGTGACCGAGCATATATCTGTGCTAGCGAGACGCAAAGAGCGAGAAGGGGTTAAAGGAAATCAGCGAGGTTCATCAAATAGATATAACGAATTCCAAAGGATTGTTTCTTTTTGGCTACTTTTATCTTTGTTCCAGAAAATCAACGATAGGGAACTGTCTAAGGAGTCTACCTACCTAATTTAGAAGTCCGAGGTACTACTATCAAGCCATGGCCGTTGTATGCACAATTTAATGAAAGACATCTTCCTTCGTACATCAATCAATCTACAACGCTCATTCAGGTCTCGAAACAATCCATAAGATCTCTTTCTTATAAATATCCATTCCCAGTGGCTCTGCGCATCTGAGCTTCTGCAGACATGATATAGAATGTCAGAAACTAGAACATCAGAAACTAGAACATCAGAAACTAGGAAACCGATAGAAGATTTTCGACATATCATGAAGGGAATCCAGAAGTATCAAACCACCATATATCCAGATCGCATAAACTCTGGCCATGTAGCGTTCCAAGTCCATATTAAATTCGACATTGATTACACCAGTTGCCGTAGATGTTCCGAAATCCAAGTGGAATATAGTAGCAGTTTACTTTTCGGTAACATAAATTAATCAGGATGAGGCGTATGATGTATGCATGTGTATATCAATTCCTAATCTCACTCAACTCCTCTATAATCCGTGCTGATCTGCGTACATGGATGCTAAAGTAAAAATGCCAATCACTTCCTGGTCACGGAGATTCTATATCCAGGTTCCACCGTATGTACAGACGGGGAGTAGAAGAAAAGGTATAGTGATTGCGAGACGAAGATTATTAAGAAGGGGGACAATGTCCGTGACCTTCTAGAGCAAAAGACGGGATGATAGATAGGAGGAAAGCATTAATGAATGCTGAATCAAAAACAAGACGGGATATAAGATGGAATAAAATAGATCCTGTACAATAGGAAGATAAGACAAAACCAAACACCGCTCCATAGTGAACGCCGTAGAAGTATGATATAGTCTGAGGAGACGTAAGATGCAAGAACATAATGATATAGAATGGACAATGAAAAAAAGAAATGGGCTGAAAAGGTTGCTCCAGTCCACGAGAAAGAGAAATAAAACATGACAAGGCAATGGTATATGATATTGATTTATGGTTTTTTCTTCATGTAACTCCTTGGTTCGGAGGTGGTCTGCGTTACTTCGTCTCCTTCTAAGACTCGCCATAATTGGCGGATGGAGAAGCCGCTGCTGAATAGGTAGATCCCAATCAGCCAGGCGGCGAGAATGTTAGCGAGGTGATGGAGGAGGTAGGCGTATGAGACGCCGTAGACTGCCGAGTAGATGGCAATAGAAAAGAAGAGCATGTATGTGAGGTGTTTAAGCCTGAAACCATTAGTAAAGAAGCTATTGGGGATGGAAATCGGCGAGGCATACCGTGAGGTGACTCGGGGAATCATAGTTCCTGTAGTCATGGCTTCGACGAGGAGGATAAAGGGCATTATTGACAAAACATTATGATGCGATGAGAATGGCATAAACCAATGCACGACCAGATTATGAGCCCACACAAGAAGCACGAGGATGTTGATGGGGAGGATCCACAGCATAAACACGAAAATCGAATAACTGTAGTTGGCGAAATTGTAATGCGCGGTAGATTTCTGATGCTTGTTAGCAGTGCTACCACACGAGGGTTAAGGGTCAGCCCATACAGTTTCCTTGGCATGCCATTGGGCCCGGACGGCGGTTGCGAGCTGAACGATGCACGCCACCATGTAAGCGAACTGGTACGGGACGGCCGTCGATACGAGAATCAGCAGGATAACTGTGTTGATCACACGTCGTCTGGGTGTAGGAGACGAGAAGATTGGGAGATTCCTAGAGGTGCAAGGTTAGCGAGAACTTGATGTATAAGACACAGACAGATCTATTTACCCTTTGTCATCACGCCGAATATACCCAGATTTGCTCTTCAGAAATCCATAGACAGAAGTGAAGATCGAGATGAGAGCAAGGGCTGCGTAATTAACCATGACGCATATACCCACGCTGATTAGACCGAAGACAGGGACCAGGAACCAGAAGAACGAGTCCTGTGAGCCTAGAAGCAGGTCGTTCTTGGTGAAGTCAATCGGGGACTCGGTGGCATTCACGGGCCAATGGAAAGGGTCATCGCTCGGCGGCAACTTGCTGGAAGTTGCTAATGAGGAAGCTAGCAGAGACATGGAGAGTAGGAGAGCGGGCAAGGAAGATCGCAAGGAACGGTCTAAGCCCTCTCCAAATGTAAGGAAATAGCCGGTCTCGTCGTACACCTGAAACTGCTTTCGGAGAACCAGAGCCATAACAAGGACGGGAAATGCAGCAAAAACAGTTCGATAACGCATCACCAGCTCTCCCAGACTGCCGAGAATGTCCACCGACAGGGAGATATCGACCGTGGCGCCGCTGCTCGGATCCGTCCAAAGCTGAAAGGAAACACCGCCGTAGGTTGCCTGGTCGCGAAGCGGAGGGGGCATGAACGGTGCCATTCCGTGTAGATTCACGTTGACCTCCTTCACATTGACGAAAAATTTGGACTCGTGCGGATCCGGGATCGACTGCCGCAGGAGGGGAGCAAAGAGTTCCTTCTCGCCCTTGGGCCCTCGCTGGACGACCTTGAGTTTGTAGTCTAGCAGACTAGAATACAAAGCTGGTATCTTCACCTCCGTGAGCATGGGACGGTTGGCCGGCAGTCGCATATTCAATCCAGCACTGAGCAGACTGCCCAGGCCGATCCGAGCTCTGATGACGGCATCCGAGCTGTCCGAAAATTCGGCCAGCACCCATCCCTTGGTCGGCGAATGGGCCTTGTCGATGATTGCCACAAACTGATGTTCCGCTAGATCCTCCAGGTCATACTGGAGATAGGAGTAGGGCTGGACTCGATCATAGGGGTGATTCGAGGCGGGTGTCGACGCTGGCAGATGGATCGCATCGTCGGCGGCGTTCTTGCAGGCAAGCCGCGTAGAGCCCATTCCGCCACCGGAAAAGTCCACGTTCATGGAAAAGATGCTGGAGAATTTTCCATTCTGCAAGGGGAGGACACTGCAGAAGAGGACCTCAAGATTGCTCTGATCTCCAACTCTCTCGAAGGGCTGATCGGTGAGCAGGGTAAATTTCTTTCCCGGAACCCCCTGCGGAGGGACCGGCATCAGATGCACATTGGGACCGTTGCGATGGCCGAGTTCTCGGAGAGTAAGCCGTTGTCCTTGGGGTAATATCGCGTTGGCTTGATCCTCCAGGGTCAAAAGAGAGTTTGGCTCTGCAGGGATCACTGTATTAGTTTCGGTAGGAAGTATTAATAGAATTCGAGAAATGTTGGTACCTTTTTGTGGTAGAGTTCTCTCCGCCACGGGCTCCAATCCGGTCAGGTACCATTTCTTGAAAACGCGCATCCGCTGCGCCCTCGGCTTCGTCTGGCTGGCACGTCGCACATCGACCACTTCGAACAATGATTTGATAATCGCTTTCCGGAATTGATCGCACCAAGTGATAGACAGATGGTCCATCCCGATCCAGACGTCCGGGATGGTGGACGTAAACACGGTGAAGCCATGGGTCTCGGGAACGAGAGACGATATACTCGCATAATCCGAAGGGACGACCGTATCCCGTGAGCCGCCCGCAATCGAGATGAGCGTCACATGCCACAAAGGGTTGTTGTTGGCCCAGGTCTGAGAGTAGGCCTCGCGCCAGTAATCGTTGATTTGCTTGTAGGTTTGAACGACGTCGGATTCGAATGATACCGGGGGTTTCGCGTGGGGCGCAGACATGGTGACAATGGTGTTGACCGAATTGGCTTGGTAGTTCGGCATGGTCAGCGTCGTACGCGCGACGATACCTCCCATGGAATGTCCGATGAGGATGACGGAGCTGGGATCCGGGAGATCGGGGTCCCGCCACGACCGTCGAGGGTCGTGATAAAGCGAAAGGATATAGGCCACGGCCTCGTTGACGTATTCGGCTTGATCGACCAAGGTCTGTCCGTGAAAAGCCGCCATGTCCTCGTTGAAATCGATCATGAAGAAATCCAAGCTTCGGGTTCCGGTCGCCAGACGCTCGTGGTCATGGCGAATCACATCGGCGAAGTGTCTCGACGCTTCGGCGGCTAGAGATCGGACCTGACGATAGCTTCCGGCGTTTCCGGGGAGAAATAGGACGGGGGCGCCATTCAACTAGAGCAAGTAGAGCATTGAGTCAGACGAAACGGAGACCTAACAGACGAGGACATCGGGGGCAAGCTTACCCCGAGGTTTTCCTGAGTATACGGGTCGACACCCGCCTCTCTGTACAGATATAGGTTATACTTGCTCGCAAAGCGCGTATGTTCCGTGTCAAACCCCACCATATGGAGGAACGATGGGCTCATGACCGGTATACCACAGCCATCTCCACCAGTCTGCCGGGTCGAAAAGGAACGGAGGATGAAGAAGAGGAAGACGGAGGCGATGCAGGTGGTCACGGCGGTTAGGATCGAGCAGGGCCACGGGCTTCGGAGGCGGGACGGTCGAGATCGGGACTGGGCGTCAGGCGACGATTCCATGGGGAGTCGCTGCGACGCCAATGGCATCATAACGGAGGAGGATTTGGAGTCGGAATGGCCAAGACTCGTCGGCGACGCAACAGACACGGGCGTTCTCCACATACTCGAGTTCCTAGATCGCGGGGTGGATGCGCCGGGGTTGTCTCGACGCAGCTCAAAGCTGGTGCCTGTGCGGGCTAGCTGCGGGCGCGATTTCTCCGGCGAGTCGGCAACATTGGGAGCATAGCTTGATTCGTTCGGGGTTCGAGAAGCCAAAGATTCTTCAGCGTCGTCCTCGACAGGCGAGCCAGACGAGCGTCTGTGCATTGGAAGAGGCAAATGTCACGGTAATCATCCAGCGCGTTGCTGAGAGGAAGGGAGATCCGACAGATAGAAGGCGATCGCAAGTTTCGGGAAAGGAGGGAGGTTCTGTCTGGCGTCGGCGGTTAAAGGGGAATCCGATTGGATTCGATCAGGGGAGAGCGAGGTTCATCAAATGGAGGAAAATATCCGATGCTGTAGCGACTGAGATTTTAAGGAACGTGGGCTGGAAAAGAGGATTCTGTCGTTAGTCGCGACTTTTTTTTTTTTTTTTCCCTCTGCCTTGGAACTGATCGGCTCCTAGAAAACCGGGATGATAGGACGAACGAGCGACGAACCGGCCGGGCAAGGACAGAGGAGGGGGACAGGACTGTCGACGAGGGAACGGAGGAAGAGGTACGCACACGGCAGGGAAGCCCAGTAGAGGGATGGGCCGAGGAGGGAAGGAAAACGAGCACCGTAGCAAAGGATCTCCCGGAAGGGAAGAGGTGAGGATGGAACTGGAGATAAACTGACTGCCTGGGCGAACGTCGTCGTCAACCGCCGACGGAACGGGCTTGGCGGATGCGCTCGGCACCGGCGTGACTGGCCTCGACCTGGTCTACGGAGTCCCTACGGAGGTGGCTGCGAAGGTTCGGTGTCTAAAGATTTACTACTCCAAATTTAACTAGCGATCCACGAGCTATCCAGATTTAAGCTGCCACCTGAAACAAAGAAAGGCGGCGCGATCATGAATCATGACGGCGAGACGAGGGCCCCGGAAAGGGGAAGAGACGCCCCTTTCCGGCTTCTGGTCTGATATTCTTCATGGCAGACCATTCGGAGACTTCAATTCTCCTGATCATCTTGCGTGGTGACTGGGCCAATAGTGAGTGATAGACCGGCCTTGCTCTGGTCACTAAATCTTCCTATTGACTGCATTTTCTCCACCCGTCCATCTCGTCTGCCTTTTGCTCCGTCCAGCGCGCTCAAGGCCGTTGGGGACCGACGGTCATGTGATCTCTCCTTGACCGCCTTCCGAACCGGGATAGTGTCGTGCAGGTCGGTCTGGAGTCGGATGAATATCGCTCCGGGGGAAGATCTCCTTCGCCCATCGTGCTGTCGCTGTCAGTGTGTCCCATGTTACCAAGGATTAATATCATTGACTCAATGAGAGTAGTCTACACCGGAGTAGGACACATAAGGATAGAAGTTCTTGGCACAATTCTATCAGCGACAAGGCGACCTGACTTACCTACTCCATAATGTTTATCAGGCTCGAGACCGCATAGGCTGATTGCATGCCATTCTCTTGTGATGCATTTTGCAGTAACTCGGTGAGTCTGAAAAAGCTTTCTGGGATCTCTGGGCTTTCTTGGAAAACGTAGCCAAGACGGTCAAGAACTGCGGATAGTCTGGGCAAGCCTCAGCCAAGGTATCTCGCCGGGCATCAGATACCGAGGTTCAAGTCATCGCTTTTTCGCACTTGGCACTACGTAATTACAGCAGAAGAATGAGGATAGCTGATAGGCTCATATTCCACACTCGTCGACCGCAGCAGCCATTCTCGTAACTGTACACCGCACTCCGAGCACGATGACCCCACGATGATTCCTTCGCGGCAGGTGATGCCGGCCTAAAGTTCGGTTCACCCAGTCCCGGCAGAGCAGATGGGTCGCGTGGAATGAACACAGACCGTTGCTTCGAGTTCTCGGACAGGCTTGGGCCAGGCGATTCGACCGAAATGGATGAGGGTCATCGACTAGCGGTTTAGCGGCTTACCCCGCGACCGGGGGAGATGTGGACCATGGGATGGGCTGGTGATCGGTAAGCCCGAGTCAGACGAAGTTGCATTAGCGCAAAGGATGATAAGGGCGCACACAATAGTTCGGATGGAGAAAATGAAGCAGAAAACGAAGATACCGTTCTCTAAATTTGACACTCAGAGCGAAGACATTTGGATGAAAGATCTGGAGAAAGGAGAATCAAGCCTCAAGTGGAGAGCTCTCGGCTTGGCTTCCGTTCGGCCAGAAAGCTTGGCACGGGGTATCATATTCATGGATCGTAGCACTTCCGCGGAACTTTCTCGACGGAGGATTCTCTACGCAGTCTCCAAGGAACACCGGAATAGACCATGGCTCGTCGTCATTCGAGATCGGCACGCCATGGGAAAGGACTCTACGGGGTTTACCTGTTCTCTGCCTTAGGTATCGCTCGGCCTTTTATTTTCCCTGTTCTGCTTTTTTTTTCTTATCTTTTCTTTTTCTCATTTTTGATCTTTTCACTTGCCGAGTGTCGGCCAGGTCATAAAGGCTATAAAGCGGTGCTCCCTCCCATCGTAGTCTCTTGTCTCCTATTTTTGCCCTCTTTCCGTGTAGCTCTTTCCCTCTTCTTCGCTGCCCACCAGAACCCCTGAACCTCCGAGCGAGGGGAGGGCCCGCTTACTTCTATTCTATTCCCCGCGTAACCTTCGTCGCACATCCGGGCAATGGCGGACACTCAGATCGAGAAAGTCGACCAGGGAGTCTCCCATGCGGCGCCTCAGTATGAGTCGCAGCAGGTCACCTTTGCCAGCCTGAGCAAATACCTGGTGACGCGCTTGCCAACGCTAATCCCGCCGATGAACAAAGCCCCCAATCCGTTTGCTGCGCTTCGTCTCCTAAACGGTCAACAATGGCTTTTCTTCCTGGTTCGTTTCTCGGAACCATCATGCCGTCGATCGAGCTAACGTTGTTAGGTCGCCTTCTTTGGCTGGTCCTGGGACGCTTTCGATTTCTTCACCGTCTCGCTGACGACGTCACAACTGGCCGAGGAGTTTGACAAGTCCATCTCCGACATCACCTGGGGCATCACCCTGGTGCTGATGCTCCGATCCGTGGGCGCCATTTCGTTCGGAATCGCTTCGGATCGCTGGGGCCGGAAATGGCCCTTCATCGTGAACAACGTCCTGTTCATTATATTGGAGCTCGGCACGGGCTTCTGTCAGACCTATAAACAATTCCTGGCCTGTCGGGCCCTCTTCGGAATCGCTATGGGCGGTCTGTACGGAAACGCAGCGGCCACGGCATTGGAGGACTGTCCGCCGCAGGCGCGCGGTATCGTGTCTGGTTTGCTGCAGCAAGGGTATGCTTTTGGCTATTTGCTGGCTACAGCATTTGCGCGCGCCCTGGTGGACACGACGCCCCATGGATGGAGACCGCTCTACTGGTTCGGGGCTGGTCCTCCCGTCCTGATCATCATCTTCCGTTTTTTCCTTCCCGAGACTCAAACGTTCCAGGAGCGTCAGGCAACCCGGGAAAATGGCCAGGGCGGGAAGACCTCCGAATTTCTAGAGCAGAGCAAGGTCGCTGTGAAGCGCCATTGGCTGCTCTTGGTCTACTTGGTTTTGCTGATGGCAGGGTTCAACTTCATGGTCGGTCTCTGCTCCCCCTATGAATCTCATCAACTAACCGGTTATAGTCGCATGGTTCCCAAGATCTATATCCGACGCTTCTCAAAAGCGAGTTTGGCTTCTCTGCCAACGCGGTCACGGTCACGCAGGTTGTCGCGAACCTTGGGGCCCTGACCGGCGGTACTCTCTGTGGCTGGGCCAGCCAGATATTCGGCCGCCGCTTCTCCATCATCACGATCAGCATCGTCGGCGGCGCCCTTCTATACCCTTACACATTTGTCACCTCAAAAAACGTGATGGCCGCCGCGTTCTTCGAGCAGTTCTGCGTACAAGGCGCATGGGGTGTGATTCCTATCCACTTGATGGAGCTCTCACCCGGAGCAATCCGCACGTTCGCCGTCGGTACGGCCTACCAGCTAGGAAACCTTGTCTCGTCGGCTAGCTCCACGATCGAATCTACGATCGGTGAACGCTTCCCACTACCCCCGACAGAGAAAGAGGAGCACCGATACCAGTATGGCAAGGTGATCTGCATCTTCATGGGCTGTGTCTACGGCTATACTATCCTAGTAACCTTTCTTGGACCGGAACATCTCGGTCGGGACTTTGACGTCGCACACGACTCCGACATGGCCGCGATAGGGGCTCACCGCGCGGCCGCTAATGGAGAACATAGCGACCCGGAAAAAGGCACGGTACGAATTGATTGATGGACTACTGTGGAAGCCAATGAGGATAATTCTTAGATTCTGGATATCGCTATTGCTACCATTTCCCTTTCTTGTATGTAATTATCGGACTACTCGAGGCAGCGGGTGGGTAGTATTCGATGGGATCGGAGGGATGTGATATCTAGCGAGAGCAGCGAGTCATTAGCAAGTGCAACACAAAGAGCAGGACAATTTTCTGTTGAAAGGAATTTGCATCTGAGTCTGCTTAATTGTAAGATTGTATGATTGCGTTCATGGAACAAGTCACAATGAGGTAAAATGGTTTCTTCATTTGCAATGGATGGACGGGGATTCAAAGACCTCGAGATAGGTCGATAACAATGACGATGACAATAAAATATAGAAGAAAGTCTCACTCACCCAGTCTGCCTATACTCAGTTTCAAGAGCAAAACACTGTCTGTCTCACACAGTCTCCCTGATTCAAAAGAAGAAAGACAACCTCAGTCAGGGGGAAAATCCCAAACAATTTATAGGCATCTTGGCTCACGGGACACAACCCCGCTCGAGGATCGAATCATCGACGAGCGTTTGCTTGGTGGCGTTTTCTCGGCGGATTTGGGTTGTTTGCCTGTTTAGTGGTGCGGTGTGGTATGGTGTGGTGGGATGGGATGGGATGTTGATGTCAGTTTTTTATTCTTTGTTGTTGAGAACCGGTTTGGTTGTAGTGGGTTGGATTTGGTGCCTCAGATAGGATAGGCAGGTGGTGCCTGAAGATCGTCCCATGCTTGGGTGGGTTTCCTGCATTTGGGCTTGGGACTTTGGGTTGCCCCAGGCTCCACTTGTTTGGGTGCCTGAGGCCCACTTTTGGGGCTTCTCTGTGGTGGAATGGTTATGTTTAGGGGACTCGGATGCTCCTGGGGAATTATTTTACGTAGGTAATTAGGGTATTTGATTTTGAATGTGTGGTTTGCTGGATTACAGCTGCTTTACATTATATCTTGGACTCTATTTGTGTTTGGTGTCAGAATAATAAGTTGTCCCCCGCTTTCGCTGTGACGAGGGTCTATTAGCATTATTTTCCAGACTGTTAGTGCAGCTGGAATGATCTCGTTACCTTTGCATATCTAGTTTATGTCTCGAAAAGGTCGATATATTCTTACATTTCGGAAAGCTTTTCACGACCGATACTAGTAAGTGCTATATCGATTGTCGTTTCCGCACCCAGATACCGAGTATAGCTACTGTACCGAGAACAGCTGCCAAAGCAATCGGGTGGCTAGTCGAAAATTGTCGAATATTGAAATTGGCAGTCCGTAGTGACACAGACATGATTGTCTTGGGTGGTCGGCTTTCTCGTTTGGAATAGTGCTCTGAAGCGTTTCCGTTCACTTTTTCAACGGCAGTGGGCGTGGAATTGTGGTCTTCTACCGAAGGCAGGGCCACTGGAGTCTCAGGAACTCGTACTGTCGTCTTCTCTTGCTCCGTAGGCTGGGGAACATCAATGAGATTCCGATTGGGACGACTAGTATCTATAAGCAAAGGCTTCTTTCAGATTCAGTGAAACTCACAAATTTTGTTCCCGATTAGCATGCCAGATGCGGCAAAGTGGCCACTGTTGTAACTTTTCATCACACGAAAGAGGCTTCATCAAATTAAGCAAAAGCTTATTAAACGGACCCTCCTTTCCATCAACGACCCACTGGGCCCAGAACTCAAACAATCGAGGATAAAAGCCCGCAGAAGCCCAGCCCACCAAGCAAATAGAGCCGTCAGGCTTCCAGATGATATTTCGCGGCGTAACGTCCAAATGGCAGAGGACTAGATTATCATCTTCCAGCGATACGTTTCCACCTTCCTGGGAAAGTCGGCTGTTGAGCCACGACTCCAGCTGTTCTTTGCTTTCGAACATCACACTTTCATTGTCGGGCCAGAGGAGACCATGACAGGGACCTCCGCTGAGACTTCCGGGTTTGGTGCCTCGGATCGTGTGCAGGTAGTTCAGCACGTTGCTGAGTCTCTTGATCAAGACGGGATCGGTCAGTGGATCTATCACATTTCCTTCAACGTGCTCCACCACGATGTATCCGCGGCCAAGGCCGTCGGTAAAAAATCGGTGAGCACGTGGGATTTGCACACGGGTCTGGTCAACGAGATCATATGCGATCTGATGATTGAGGAATTCATCTTCCGAGATACTCATGCCGAATTTTATCGCTGTATCCTTGGAGACTTTGACGATGCGTGTGTCTCTGTCTCCGATGAGGTTGTCGGGTGGTCCATTCAGGCAGAATGATATCAATTCACTGTCGGATACATGGTTCATGCTGGTTTTGCGACCGATACTCCAGGACTCTGATCTGGATAAAAATGAAGATGGATGGAGATAAAATAGATTTCCACAATGCGGCGAAGGAAGTTGTTAGGTGTCTTTGAAGGCATTTCTTGCCGCTGACAGGTATGATTGGCCGTTGGTATAGCTGCGCGGTTAAGGAACATCGTTCATGTTCAGGCCAAAATCTTGGGCTCTTCTCCTTCGACCTAATTTTGCAAAGGCTCATCTGATCTGGCTAAGGCTTTGTGGCTTCCCCAATTTATGCAGTTTCTTCTCCTTCGTTTTGGACAGCCCATTTTATAGATAAGTTGACAATATTGACCTAACATGTGGTTAAAATTCTAGACTTAAGGAAACGCTGTGTTTGCTATTTTCCGAAATATTCAAGCTTCGCAGGGAACTCAGAGGACGCGGTCTACAGGCAAGAAACCACGCCTTTTCGGAGGGACTCATACATTTTTGACCTAGAAGGCCCCAAGGTGTGTTTTTTAGGAGTCAATTCGCTCCCGGGAATTGATAAACAGCACTAGCTAGTTCAAGCGAGTGATATGGTAGATTAAACCAAGGAAAGGGACCGATAAAGCAACAAAGAATGACTGGCCAGAAATCAGAGCAACAGATAACAAAAGTCAGAACACCCCCGCATACACGAAAAGAGTACTTTGGTTCCTTCCACCAGATCCCTGTCCTCCTGTGCAGGATACAACTATCACAGGTCCACCCCCGAGGCATGAACGTCATCATTCGCAGTGAAGTCAAGTTGACCGGTAATGGCAGATCCATCCGCCCACTGCCCCTTGATCAGGATGCGTTTCGAAAACAGCACCGTAGCATGATACGCCGGCGCCAGTATTTCGGTGGTGACCTCTTTCTCACTGTACTCGGTGTATGTAGAGGAAGTGGTGTGGGTGAATTGGTAGTTCAGTTTGATTCCCAATTTACGCCGACGCCACCGCTAGCCGAAATCTCGATACCAGTGCTATGGGCTAGCTCGGTTGACTCCCCAGTGGTGACACCGGTCCTGAGCGTTTTGGACCTCCTGATCTGCCCGGCAGTCCCGTTGGTCCAGGAGCCTTCGACGCGCCAGACAATCGCTCTGCTGGCTGTGCAGAAAGGCTTGCTGATGAGTCGGAGGCTCCGTGCGTCTGTTTCATCGTAGAAGGAGGTAAATGGCAAGGTGACCGCGCACTGCTGAGTCCATGTTTAAGTGGTGCCGGTGCTCGGGATGTTGTTGGCAGAGACCTTAGGTACTGAATCGGTAAAGTCCGTGAAATCTTTGGGGATTTTGAGGGTCGGGACGACTGCATATCCCAAGTCCGGGGGACTGGTATGGGATCTGGCACTAGCTCTGAAGGTACCAGCAACCACGGGAAGAAATTCAGACCCATTGACACTATTGGGATAAGGGTTTACCTCCCAGATGGAAACATCGACATCGGCCTTCGACTTCTGGTCGTCCCAGATGCTTTCGGTTGCATATTGGCCGTCGGCTGCAAGGTCAGATCGCAAGCACCACACCTTGCTGGTTGACGGTGCGCTCCAGCCTAACTAGACAACATCTCCCATCGATATGTAGCCAGCCGGTGCTATGGGTCTCCAGAAGGAACCATCTGCGTTGGCCTTGCTGCCCTTGTCGGTCCAAACCAGTTCATAGGCAGTAGGTTCTTTGACGGGTGGGTTTGAACTGCTGCTAGAATTTGCTCCGATTAAGAGCGCCGCCCGCTTGCCCTGCAGGGTTCCGTGGCTCTCAATGGCCATGCTGCCCAGGGGGCGCAGGCTTCCTTGTGCAAGCGGGTGTCAGAACCCTCCGTCCCTAATGGCACCACTGCCCTTGTCATTCCAGATGGCGTCAAAGCTCGAGGTCAAAGTGACGAGCAGGTCACCATACGTATAGGTTTTGTTCGACATTCTCGATTGAACGATTTCGGTAGGAGGACAATAGAAGAGACTTGATCAAACCGAGGGTTGGAAAGCAAGCGTGAGATTTGAATAGTTTCTGGATCATCTGCTGAGGGACAGGACGACGCATTTATGCCTGTGTGGGAGTCTGCTTGTCGAGCTCCCCTCCCTCGACATGGTGTCTCTCGGTCCAGCTTTTCGGTTCGAGCTGTCAGCAGTGTGACAATACTCACTTGGCAATCTGGCTGGTCCTGGGCAACGCATGAGATCCTGGAAGAGTCGGCGGCTTTGCTAGCTCCATTGCCACCCGGGTAAGACTATACCTGCACGGCCAGGGATGGGAAACAATCTCAGCGCCAAATCTCTTCCCCGACGTTACATTGTGGCAAAAGCATTCGGCACCGATCCACGTATATCATTATTGATCATGATTGCTTTGCATTAGTTGAATCCGAAGTTCAAGGATCCGAGTTGAGGGCAAACACTTGATGAACCCCTCCTTCAGGCTGAAAGATAAGGGTTGCTTTGACAAGAAGGAAGAGAGGGAAGGTGAGAAAAAAGAAAGATGTTGTACTTAGCAACCTGCATAGGTATAAACGAAACCGAATACCCCGTGGGCTGGCTACATATATGTACGCCGACGCCATTGCGCGTTGACAGGGAAATCAACGTACTGATCTAACTTTTATTGCAGCACTATTAAGCACTGTCATTTGCTGAGGGGATATGCGACAGAAAGGAAGCCCGGAGTCTAGACCCTGCAGCTCATGAGTATGTAGCGTCTGTGGATTGCGGCGCCGGGGTATCAGAATTCCCTTCAATTCAGTTCACTTAAAAGGGGGTGTAAACGGTGCCAGTTAAGTGTTTGTAGACACTTCCCAACACATGTGCTCCGATCGAATACTACCAGACTCGTTCAAGGCATGTCCAAAAAAAAAAAAAAAAAAAGGGTAGAATAGCATGTCCTGGTTTCGATCCAGGGTCCTCCGGGTTATGAGCCCGGCGCTCTTCCCCTGAGCTAACATGCTGGGAATGGTGGAATTGGACCCCGTATTTGATTATATAAAGCAAAATAAAAAAAATGATATTGAAATTGCTATCCAATTTCGGGTGCCCTGCGGTCTTTCAACCGGTGAAACTCGGAAATTCCAGGATTTAATCATTGGGACCGAAAGAACATACGGAGTACATCGAGGTTGCTATAGTTCTTTCGCTTTCATTTTTCTTTTCCTTTCTACTGAGTACGGTAACATACAAATTTCTGTTTTTAGCAAGGTGTTTATGCGTTGTGTAAACACTCACTAACAGCCTGGGTGTTTAACAATATATAATAATTTTCAACTCTATCGACGCGCTTTCATTCTAATCCCATAACACTGACATATATCATACGAGAAATTTATTTACAGAAAATGAAAACATGAAGATATATAGTACATGATGGTATTGTAAAACACATAGTCTTCGTCGTTTCAGGCTCACATTACTTACTGTTTGTTCATCCAGTAACCGGTCCAACACAAACGGTCGCTCGGTCCAACAACTTGTCGATTTGAGCTTTCTTGTCCGCCTCCTTCTGTCGCTTCTTCCTCGCCGACTGGAATCGCTTTTTCCCGCCGTGTCTCAGCTTCGTGATTAGATCCGTCGCTTGGCCTCTGGTGATGTTGTCTGCCGTGCTGAACTTCTCCTGCCGGATGTCGCGCTGGTTCAGAAAATCGATCTGCGTCGGAGTAGCCGGTCGCTGTCGCCAGGGCTGACTTGTGGAGATGTAGCGCTCCGTGAACTTAGACGCCGCAAAGGTATCGGCCGCGTGGACGGCGGACTCGAATTCCTGTGCGTTGCCGATGAGTCGCGGATACGTATACTGTGTCTTGTTGGTATCAACGGAAGTGAATTTGAAGACGTGAAATATGTTCCAGGGCGGGTCGTTGATGCTGGTACGGTCCTTCTCGATGGTGAGCCAGCCGTTGGAGTCGGAGAGGAGGTAACGGTCTTCGCCGACGCGGACCCAGGCGTAGCGACTGATCGAGCGGATGTGGCGCTCGGATTTCATGTCATGGATGAGGTCGTAGATGGTGTCGTATTTGGTGAAGGTGAGGTTGATCTGGTCTTCCGAATCGGGTTCTGAGCTCTCCGGCTCGGCAGGTGCCTCGACAGCTTCAGAGTTCTTGCGATCTTTTATGTCCTTGGAGCTTTCCTTGTTGAGCACTTCATCGGGGTCCAGACCGAATAGGGTCGGGGTGCATATAACACCCGTGTCCAGGGTGGCCACCATATCGATAATGTGACAGTCCTTCTTGCCGGGGTAGAGCCGTAGTCCTCGGCCGATCATCTGGATGAGGAGGTTGCGAGACCGCGTGGGCCGGGCGAGCAAGACACAGTCGATGTTAGGAATGTCCGTGCCTTCAGTGAATAGACCACAGTTCAGAAGGACCGGGAATTCTCGATTCTTGAAGCTGTCCAGCTGTTCATCACGCAACTTCTTATCAGTGCGTCCCGTGATGTACCGCGCATCGACACCGGCTGCGCGGAACGCCTCGGTGAGGCGCATGGTGTGTTTGACATCGACACAGAACACCAAGGTAGACTTGCGATCCTGCGCGTTGGCAAACCATGCGCGCACGGTAATGTCGTTGGTGGTCTTAGTGTTCACAGCCTCGGAAAGAGCACCGATGGCGAAGTCACCGAACTTGTCCTTCTTCACGCGGGCCAAGTTCGCATGCGACTGAACTGTGGTGAACACCGCATTCGCGAGCCACTTGTCATCGATCATCTCCATGTAATCCTTGTGATATACAATGTGGTCAATCGCACTGCCTAATCTTAATCCGTCATACCGCGAGAGCGTCGCCGACACACCGACAAGCACGGGGGAGTCGGAGGACGCCTCGCTGAGTCCGAAATGATTGAGTACAGTACGGTAGGACGGCGCAACAATATGGTGTGCCTCATCGACTAGAATAAGTTTGAATCTGCTAGGGTCAAACTTATGGATCCGCTCACCCGATGCCAGACTGCGAACAGAGGCGACGGTGATGTCTGCATAACCCGTAGCTTGTTCTTTTCCCATTTCGACCTCGATTGTTTTGTTTGAGCCGTAGGCGAGCTGACAGTGCCGGGACGCTTGGTCGACAAGTTCACGTCGATGGACAACAATCAAGGTCTGGTCTCTCTTCTCGTCACGCGGCGGAATACGTCCAATTAATTGAGTAAAGATCACCTGGTATCGTAGAAAAAGAAAAGAAGTCAGCGGGGGTAAGTTGCATTCGAGGTATTTGCAGGGTTCATACTGACAGTTTTGCCGGAGCCTGTTGCAAGAGAGACCCCCAGTCGCCTGTGGCCCTGGTCGACGTGGTCGAGGACCGACTGTATGCATTCTTCCTGGTAGTCGCGGAGAACTAGAGCATCGCCATGTGAGGTCGGAGCAGCAGCGACCGTAGAATTAAGACGGGCATGCTGTTTCGGCAGAGCGTAAGCTACCCGGAGCGTTCTCCAAGGGCCGCGAGACCGACAGAGAAGACGTGAGATGGGAATGAACCCCAGTGATCGACATATGCCCTCCATATACTCCGTACGGTGGATGCCATGAGGGAAGGGAAAATGACGCAGTGATGGAGTTGTGTTTGGGCCCGTCGAGGTGACTGATAAAGTGAGCAAACAGTGCAAACACCCGGCCTTATCAGCCCTCGACGACCGCCGCGGAACAATTTCTTCGTCTGCTTCTCCTCCGGGGAAATCTCAGTTCCTGCGGCTTGCGTACGATGTTTTTCTGATCGGTCTGATGCCGAGCATGTTTCCGACGCTTACTCCAAGTCCATGCATTTGGCGCGACGCCCTCTCGGACCTCCTTGCCCCCGACCATGAGCAGTTCAAGCCTTTACGAGCCCGAGGAAGACGAAGATGCGTCTGATTCCGATTTCGACGCCGGTCCAGCGCGGCGAACGAACGCCCCTCCTTCTTTCCCGCCAGCCGAGGGGCTGCAACAATCCTCTGGTGAAGCGAACGAACAGTCTCCGCTAGAGTCAATATCCCACACGCGGTCTCAGGCGCTCGAGAGCCTTCGCATGTCGCTAGCTCAGGAATCGGTCACGGCGTACGGTAACCTCTTAGATACGACACCCGATGATAATTCACCTATTCAAACCGGCGAAATCGTGTCAACGCCCGCAAAAGAGAAGGATTACAAAGGGATTGTTCTATGGACACCTACTGAGAAGGAGGTGTTCTTCAATGTACTGGAAAGAAAGGGCAAAAATGGAATCACGGAGATTGCCCAAGCGATTGAGACAAAATCGGAACTGGAAGTGCAGGAGTACATCAAACTACTACATGAGGGCTTAAACGAACGGCATCAGTCTCAAAAGGAGTTCAAACCGGTCATCCTGGGGGAGATCCCCGCAGCGGCCGAGATCAGCCCAAAATGCTGTCATGCGCTCGACAAATATGCAGAGCTACTGCGGCTTGAGGAGCAACTTTCGGAAAACGTGGCTGGACGACACAAGCATTATGATATGTGGATCGTCGACCAAGGCGTTGCGGAAGAACTTGACGAGCAGATCCAATCGCAGGATGAAACCTTCGCCTCGGGTAGCAGCATTCACCATACAGCGGGGCTGTTGAACTTGAAGTCCTGGATCCGACTCTCGGAGCGGTTTTTAATGAACTTCGGCGGTCAGAGACTCGACGACAACTGGACTAACGTCGCTTTCGCCGATGAGACGCCGTCGGTAACCGCGGACGCCTTCGCAGATTTCTACGCCCTGACGGTAAGCGTCACTCGGCGCTTGATTCATTCGGCGCTTTTCTTCGCCATGTCCCGGCTGCACAGTATGAGAGACACTGGTAATCCCAAAGCGCAGGTTGTCAAACCGCGTGATGTTCGGACCGCGCTGGACGTGCTGCACATGAAACACGATCGTTTCGACTATTGGGTCGGATTGGCGCGAAGGTGTCACTTGGACGTGGCCGATCTTCGCCACCGCAAAGGCTGGAACTCAGTACATATGGATTACAACGAGGTCGAGGACATACTATCTGACAGGGTCCCGCTCGACCAGCAACCCGGTGGAAGAAGTATTTCGAGGCACCAATCACGGGATGGGGCTAGTGATGACGAAGAAAATGACCATGCAGCTGGTGTCAGTGGTAATGGTCCTGTTCATACATCGGAGCAGCTGTCAGATGAGGAGGATGACCACGCAGAACAAGTCGACCAACAATCGAGCCTTCTAGAAGAACAGCAGATATGGCAAACATTGGGCCAGTCACCACCCGCCTCCCTCCAATCGCGCATCGCGGAGGACCACAAGCGAGCCTCGAAATTGCGCAGGCCAATTGGAGACCATAAGACGCCCGAGGAGCTAGTCGACTGGCGTAATAGGACCCTATACCGGGGAGACTGGGAGGAACACGGCAATGAGGTATTCGATATCTACGAAGACATATCCAAACATCGACGGAAACGCCGTCGTATTGAAAAGCCCGCTGTGTCGCTAGATGTAATCGACTCATCAAACGACGAGATATCCGAATCCGATTCCAATTCCGACTCAGATGCTGCAGATGGCGATGCGGACGATGTTGAAAATCAATTAGACGCTCCAGCAGATTCAACCGCCGGCGAAACCGATGAGATGGAGATCGGAGACCCTGAACCCGACCTACCAACACTTCAACAAACACCTACCAAAGACTCCCTCGCAACATCATCCCCTTCACCAGTCCTCTCTCCCTCAAAACACAGCAATATCTCCATCAAACCCGACCTCTACAACTACGATCCGAACAAATACCAGGATCCCCCGTCAAACTCCGAAGATGATCTCCCTGCTAAACACGAACGACGAAAATCATATTCGTCATTTGAAGCCGAGGATGACATGGATGGAATACCGTTGCATTCGCAACCGATGAGCCCGACTGACTGGCTGTCGGAATAAGAGTCCATTCCTATCCCGTCCTTAAAAAAAAAGCTTGCTTTGAGCGTTGGAATTCCCCCTTTTGTTAATATTATCTGCAATGCGGTCGAGTTATGGGCCTATTGCTTGCTGTCTGTATTATTTGTATTGGCATTATTGGTGTTTGATCTATAGATGGAATCGTTCGGGTTATTTTCGGGTTGCATATTTGGCATCATTGTTATATATGGACTTCCTTTTTGTTTTTTTTCGGGATATACTTGCTATGCATTCTCGGGGCTAATAAAAAGCCATCATTCTACACGAATCTACCAATTCTCTAAAATGAAAACGAGTCTTGAAAGTGAACTAAGTAAATTGATCGCGAACATATACTCTAAACTCCGAGACAAGAGCGCCTTTTCCTAGCAGCCCAGACGACAACAAACACTAGTATGGAAAAAAAAAAAGAAAAGAAAGGAAAAATCACAGAACCCAAACCCCAGGCATCCGCCCATCCATCACCAAAACAGCTTCTCCCCAAGTCAATCACAAGCGCATCCGATTTCTCAAATTGCTCAGCCATCCTGATGCGATAGAATAGTAGATACCCCTTGACTTCCATGACCCAAGGATAAGGTATTGTACAATACATAGGATATTATAATGAAATCAACTTTAGAAAAGAAAAAAAAAGTTTCCTGCCAGGCCGTGGTAGACAGAGATAGAAATGAGAAGAAGCAGATGTACTGGTTATGTTTTTTTGCACTTTTTTGGGGGTCATTTTCGTTTTCCAATTGGTTGGATGGTTGAGTTGAATTGAACGCGCGTCCATTAAAAACATTTCATTTCATTCTTTGTGTTTTGTTTGCGGCATTACAGGTCCAGCGTCTTGTAGTCGGCGCCGGCCTCAGCGCTGAGCGGTTGAGCATCAGCTCGGGCTTCACCGGGACCAGGCTGGAAGTTGAAGCGGTTGCCAATGCCCGTCGTAGCGGCATCGGCAATCATGTTGTTGGCCTCCTCACCGGGCCCCTTGAGGGTGACGGCCTGCAGGTTATCTTGGACTTCCTTGACTCTCTTCTTGAAGGCCATACGGTCCAGGAAGAGCTGTTGGCGAGCCAATTCAAGCTCGCGGCGCTCGGCTTCGATGATCTCCTCCATCTCGTTGAATTGTTGCAGCTTGACTTCGAATTTCTGCAGGGTAACGTTGACGGCGGCAGAGACCAGGCGGGTCATCTCGCGCTCTTCGTGCGAAGCAAGAGCACCAGCACGAGCAGCGGAGGCGGCGAGAGCGACAGTGGGCAACGAGGACTTGGGCTGGCCTTCGGAAGCGGCGGATTCCACGAGCTCTGCAGGCGCATCCTCGCCCACATCCATAGAGTCCTCGGTCTTCACATCAGCACCTTCCTTCTCCTTGCCCTTGTCTTGGCTCTTGTCGTCTCCCGAGCCCTTCTCGAGCTGTTTCCGGAGCTCCTTGCGGATCTCTTCGACGGAGCGGCCAGCGGCGGCAGCAGCCACAGCGGGCTCGGCCATCTGGGCCAGAAAGGCGACTACCGACAGAACGGGGTTCTCGGCCTGACTGATGGGCTCTCGTCCGGCTCCTGCTCGCACCTCCGGTACATCTTCAATGTATTTGTCTTCGATCTCCAACTGTAGGAACTTCATCACACACTCTTCTCGCGTCCGGGTTCCGACGTGGCTAGCGATCTGCTCCCAGTTGTCGTCAAAATTCTCCAGTCCTTCGAGCAGGAGCACCAGTTCCGCATCCGACCAAGGTGCATCCTTGTCGGGCACAACAGAGTAGCCGCTGTCTTCGAGCTTGACGAAATCCGAGGCACTGTGGCTGTTGGGCATCCGGCCCTGCAGGAAGCAGTTGGGGCACAGGTCGTACTTGGAATCCGGGGCAGCCGGGTTCGCAGCCGGGGTCGACTTGGCGTAGTGGAATCGCAGGCCAGTGCAGTCGATACCGCACGAGAAGCAGTGGAACTTCTTCCGAGGGTCCTTGGCCGCGGATTCGATCGCCTTGGTCGAATCACCTGCCGTTCCGTTGGCACCCGAGCCCTCTCCGTTTGTTTGCTTCTCCTTGTCCTCAGCGGCAGGTGTGATCTCCTTGCCCTTATCATCGTAGACGTTGCGCCGGATTTCTAGGTTCAGGTCGGCCTTGGGTGCGGGGGTGGACGAAGCGGCACGGTCGGTGGCGGAGAGAGGCTTTCCAGGCTTGACAAAAGTGTTCGGTCCAGGCTGGAAAGACTGAAGGCCTCGGGGTGTGTCGGCAATGACTCGGAAATGACCAGTGAACGGAGGTCCGATATTCGACGGCCGGGTTTGGGGATCCACCTGGAAGGCGATCTCAGTTAGCTCGATTCTACAAACTAGCACGCGCATAACTACTCACTTGGTAGTTGATCAGACCCCACTGCTCAAGGAACGAGTGAAGGCGCATGATCGCACACACATCTCCCGCAAGGTTGCGGCGACACGCGGTGACTGTGAGATACTCGATGGGGTTCAGTCGGTAGGTGTTGATCATGAAATCACGGTAGTCCTTGTAGACCGCGGGTGTCTTGCTTCGGTTTCTGCCGTTGAAGAACTCCGCTAGCGCCTTCTTCTCGATTGGATGAATCGTGTGCATGTCGAACCAGGTGGAGTAGCTGGGGAGAATGATGGCATGTGTCTGCGAAACGAGTTGCGAACGTGCGGAGTTCTCAACCGACGCTTTGCCCTGCGCGGGCTGCTCGTCGGCGGTACCCTCAGCGCCCGACTGAGCAGCAGGGTCGGCGAGCTCGTCGCCGCCGTCGTTCTCTTTCTTCGTCTCGGTCTCGGTGCCGCCCATTTCCTCGTCTTCAAGTTCGCCATCGGCATTCTGCGCCTTGGGGGAGGCGGGGGCATCTAACGGGTTATCAGTTCCTGAGTCATTCTTGTCAGGAGACTCTTGACGCGATTGCGATTCTGATTTTATGTTTGCGAAAGGTTGGCGAATGCCATGCAGCGTTGTCAGGGGGGTGCGTGAAGATGGTCAAAACTAACCGGAAGCGTTGATCACATCACCGGGGGCATCTTGACCCGTGGTGCCTGCGAGGGAGTCATCGGCAACGCCGCTAGAGAGAGCAGTGTTATCCTCCATCCTGTGGTGTTAAGGTTCAAGGATGGATGTTGAGGTTGCGGACGACGGCGAGCAAGGGTCTTTGCCTGGAGCGAGCCGACGTCAATGGGAACGGGGGAGGGAGGGTATTGGCAGGGTGCGGAGGCAACCCTGTGAAGGAATGAAAGATCAATGAACGGAGCAGGCAGGAAGTCCGGGATGAGTCGGGATGAGTACGACCATACGACGGACTGGCGGAGCAGACGATGATGGGGTTTGGAGGTGACACCAACTCGTCGCGACACGGACCTTTCCTCTCGCTCCAAAAACTCGCGCCAAGACCCTCACGTGCACTAGCCCGGTCGGGACTAGCGTCGATGCCGCCTGACCTCCGTCGTTCGTTCCACTCCGTCTCTGGTCATCAACACTCCCCATTCATTGCATTCATTGCGATCATTTCACAATCGCCCTTGTCATACTGTACCGACTCTTCTAGCTTGGATTATTGAAGGATTGGTGACTATGGAATCAACACTACGCGAATGGCAACTGCAAACATGATCCTAAGGGGTTCCCCTGGGATACTCGATTCATCACTATGTGCTATATCAATTACAAAAGACACGCGCAAACAACATGACAATAGGGAAAACAACACGTGTTCCAAAAACTGGAGTTTAATACCATCCTACTTCGGCTGGCTCGAAGCCGCCTCTGCCCTATCCTTCTGCATCTTGGCGATAGCAGGTCTACTGTTCAGTCTCTTCAACCAGGCGTCAAGATTCGGGAAGTCCTTTTCGGCATCGACGACATCGCTAGTTAACTTGCCCATGGTCTCAAACCAAGGCAGAAAGGCTGCATCCGCGTAGCTGAACTTTCCGCCCACCAACCACTCGCGACCCTCCAGGAACTTGTCGATCACTCCGGACACCCTCCGGAACTCGTTCAGATAGCGCTCCTGCGCACTGGGGATCTTCTCTGGGTGGTAATACGAGAACCACACGAACTGGCCGAAGTACGGTCCCTGACCGGACGTCTGGAATTGCAACCACTGCTTCGCGTGGAAGTATTCTGGAGTGCCGGGCTCGAAGCTGACCTTGCGCTCTTTGTCGTAGGTCTCGACAAGGTACTCCAGAATGGCCCCGGACTCCCACAGGGTGATGTTTGTGTTTGGGTCCTCAATGGCGGGCACACGGCCATTGGGGTTCACCGAGATATACGGCTCTTTTTTCATGTTTTCGCCGAGGACAAACTTCGTCTCGTAGGGGATGTTCAGCTCCTCGAGGATTGCGGCCACCTTCCATGGGTTGGGACCACTGGAATGGCTGTAGAGGACAATGGGCTTCTGAGACATGGTGGTTGTGTGTCTGGTTTGATCGCAGTGGAAATCGTAGCAGTAGAGACAATTGAGAAATGATTTGATTCTGGAAAATAATCTGCAATCATCGAACAGCTCAGTACCGCCGATTTATATAGACTCGAAACCTCACTCTTAATAATTCCTCGACATTCGAGCATCATCTATAGTGCTACTCTCGGCATCTCCTGGGACCGAAGTCCGTATCTCACGGTCTCCGCTGACAAATGACCAACTCCGCTCCAATTGTCGGCAACGTTTGCCCTTGGACACGGGATATCCTGGCATTTCGAGGAAAGAGATTAACAATGTCAAGTCAAGGGGCTGGGGCCGCCCCGCTGTTAACGGAGCTATGTGGTTGCATCATAATTCAAAGGGAAGCTGGTCGCATGCCAAGAAGCTTGAATGAGCGGAGTTAGTTACGGGATTAGTGATGGCCTTCATTAAGTCCGGCTGGGGACAGTGGACTTGGCGTTGAATCACTTGGGAATTCCAGGAATAGTCACTGGTTCTATACTCGCAAAGTGGAAGAGTACAACAGACAATCATCTCATCGCTGACCTGACCATCTCCAGCCCTGTGCCAAGCCTCCACGTGATACATACCCTGACACAAATGAAGCTCTCTCTCCAGTCTCTATTCACTTCCATCTCGTCTCTCTCATTCTATCGTCGTCCGTCGACGAATGCATGGATCGCTCCATCGCCATGATAATACCCCAACTCCAGTCATCACGTTAGCCATACCCAGCTATAACTAGACTCGACGATCTTAGAAGCCCCGCATGCCTTCTACCAGGGCGAATGGCGTGATCAGGTCGAGCGGTCCTCGTCCCGCCTGCGAGCGCTGTCGAGGCCAAAAGCTACGCTGCGTTTGGGAGAACAGTTCGCAACAATATCGCCGCTGTACCCGGGCCAAGACCATATGCACTATCCCGCGAGCTCGTCCGATATGTCGTCCACTGCGTCGATCGTGACAACTCCAGTTACTTGGGTTGGGAGGATGGGCACACGCAGTCGCTGGATGAGGGCCCTAAGCTAGGCTAGCAGTCGACAGACGAGTCTATGCCGGTTAATGGGGATAGTGCCCAAGGGTCTCGGTTATGGTGGGCAGGGCGCTGGTGATGATCGTGCCCTCAATGGCGGAGCAGAGGCACGTGGTCCTTACACAGGGAAACCCGAACAGCTATCTCTGATCGCAACGGCAGAAACAGAGACACAGAAAGCGCAAGACTAAGAGTAAGAAGACTTGTTGAGAGATCGTTTCTACAGAAAAAAACAAAAACATACAACAGCAGGGATTCGCTGGTGGTCACCCACCCAACTACTAACCTGCCGGCGTGTGGCTTAAGTACGGCTGAGCGGACGGGAAGCCCTGTTCTCCACACCCTGTGGTCGTATGTACTGAACTTCAGTTTAGATATGGGCTATAATGCATAAGACGAAAGAGCAGAAAGACTTGAAATGAGGGAGATTGGAACGATGTTGATGCCTGAGACATGAGAGTATCTAATGATGACCATGTCATGACTCATGCCTATTTCAGATATACCCATTCGACTATGCAGCATGTAGAACTAGTAACTCGGCTTGAGTCTATATGTTGCACTTTCGTTTGAAAGAATGCTGCCAAAGTAGCATCAAGCTAGGAAGTGCTGCTTCAAAATTCAAATATACAACCAAGTCGCGAGCCAGAACAAAGCTATAAAATAAAGATGCCTCTCTGAAACCGGCCGCTGCCCATTATGTTTTGCTGCTACCGTGGGTCTCAGAACCCCATTCCGAGGATCTTGATCAAGTAGTGACCGTCGGCGAAAGATTTCCTATGGCCTCATAGCGTACCAAATTGGCAACCAGCAGTTAGCCACAACCGCACTCCATAAAACCAGAATAGGAGGCCACGCAAAATGATTCAAGATTCCTCCTGTGACATCTTCGCCAATACCCTCGACCCATACCTGGTTCCGGTATAGTGAATTGCAGATTCCGATAAGGGCCGTCGTCAGAATGGCAAGGTGTCCCAAAGCGCGACATTCGATGAACATAAACTTTAGTCGTGATGCCAACGAGCCTTGTTTGTTTCGGTAGAGAGGGGAGTCGCTATGCATCGTCAAACCATTGGGCAGGCCACATACGTCCGTACCAGAAACCAGCCTCTTCAGAAGCACTTCGCATCGGTATAGAATTAACCATAGTTCCGAAAGATCAGACAGTACATAGGTCTGATGGCCGGTACAGGATACCTCGGTAAATCCATACAGCAGCTGTGTCCCGAAATCTATGAGGCCAACATGAAACAAAATCTTCATCTGATGCCGGTCATGAAGTTGGATCAATGGCTTAGACGACAGTAAAGACGAGCCAGCAGACAAATGGCCGCCGTGATGAAAATAGGTTCGACAAGCTTAACTATAAATCCGAATGCTAAAGCCACGCGTCCCTTGTAGTGCCGAACATGAGGTCCGAGAAGGTATCTAACCATGAATGGCATACTGATCAAGGCGCGTTGCTCGTTTTGAATTGCGCCCTGATATGTGTGCGGCAAGATGCCCCACTGGAGCGCTTCGGGTATATAAAGCACCTTCCAGTTTGGAGAGCATAACTTAATCGATGTTAGAGCGTCTTCTTGCATCGATTCTGTTGGAAAGTTGTCAATATCCGCAAGAGCAGACCGACGGGCAACTAATCCCGGGCCAGTGCAGATGGAATTATCCGTCGAATCTTGAAGAGGAAGTAAGATCTTGGTCACTAGCTGGTTTCCCGAGACTAAGGTAAGGGTGTCTTTCTGCGGTATATCATGGAAGATTTGTGGAGGGTATGCGAGTCCAGCCTGGTCATCTTGGAGCAAGTGTGGCAGAAGGACACCGAGCCAGTCTTTTTCTGGAATCATGTCGACATCAAGAACGGCAACGAACTCAGAATTGCTGTGTAAGAGAGACTGGCAAAGGCCAAAGTTCAGGTTGCCGGCTTTGGAGTGTGTGCGCAAAGCCAGCCCACGGTTGGCATAATGAAGATTCTGTAATCGTTTCTGAAATCCACAGACTAGATCTTTCACATCGAGACTCCCGTTATCGTCTAATACGTAGATGTGGTATTTATCTGGCGGGTAGCCCAATGTCTCTAGAACCAAAGCTTTATAACCAACAATTTGGTAAGAGTTTTGGTCCTTAGTCTCCCCGCCATATCTCAAAGATAGAGCTGACTAGATTGCGTGAAAGCTATCTCGTTTGCAATTCTCTTGCCATGGGTCACAACTCATGAATCGACATTTCCTACATTACACAAACTCATGGACTTAACAAATCCGTACCAAGCGGCTATACCCTACTTGACGGCATGGGAACTTTTGAACTCGGTCCTTATTTCGTCTTGTGTTTTCACAGCGGTGCGGACGGCCATTTTGAACATTCTAGTACAGTCTATTCAAAAGTTGCCCTGTTTTGACAGAAAGACCGCGGATTCGAATGCCCGACTGGCATGGACCACAGTCTCGTATTGTTTCTTTGCCCTGTAGGGATTAGTAGGTTTTGTATTGCTCATGCTCTTAGTATATGACGCAAATGCAGAGCTAACATGTTGCCGATATTGCACAGTGGCTCTGGCATCATGCCCCATATCATCAAGATCTCCTAGACATCACTATAGAATGGCCTGTGTCGCTGAGTTCCAAGCCATTGGCAAACTACCTCTTCCTGCAGTTAGCATTTTACATTCATCAAACACTGGTGCTATTGATGGAATCTCATCGACGCGACTTCGGTCCATTAATTCTGCACCATATTTTGACCATAGGCTTCATAGTTGGGATGTGCTATTTTCGAGTCTACCATGTTACGCATATCGTTTTGTTTGCGTGTGATATTTCGGATGTCATCCTCGCAGTAAATGATCCACCCCATTCACTGATTAACATAAATTATTGATCCAACAATAGGTCTCAAAATTCCATTCATACATGGGATGCGAGAAGGTCTGCAAAGCTATCATGCCCTTATTTGCTGTGTTCTGGATATCTACTCGACATGCCCTCGTCTGTTACATTACGTGGATCGTCAACAACACCATACTGAGCCGCTTCGATTGCGACAGTAACGTCACCAACAGAGGACTTATGGATCCATTTGCTGAGATGGCAAATACGACATACCTGGTAGGGTCGGAGTTCTCGGTGCAGACGGATCCTGGAAACATGTGTCCTCCTTCTAGTATGAAGGTGTTTATATTGGGTGTCTCGTTTGTATTCCAGTGCCTTTTTTTCGTGTGGACCATAAAAATCATCAGGATTGCGATGGATCTTCGGAGGGTCAGTAAGGAGGGTTTGGCAGATGCTTAAATCGTCATATATGTTTGGGAGATAGTATGTGGTTCATGAGTCACTATTTCAGACATAACTAGCATGTTTGTACCTCATCATCCCCGAAAGCTTTTTTGATTCATTGCGGTTGCATTCCCGCAAAATTGCGGAAGGAATCCAGGACAAAATTTCCACTAAATATATGATCGTGGAGTCAGGATCAATTTGCGGAGCAGTTAGTCCAAGTTGCTACCCGTATTTACATTTCTTATCTAGCCTTTCTCTTCCGTGGGTATAGGTTTCATGGATGATCTTTATGCGATAGAACAACAGCCAAAACAACGAGTGACCCTTACGCCGGAAAAGATAGTTCTTTTGCGTAAAACTAACTAGCCACACCGCACAGTTGACACATCAACTCTACATAATCAAGATAGAATAAGTAAATGATCATGTCATTTTCTAATCGGAACTTATGTGGTAATCGGCCCTTGCTTTAGAATTCTTCAAGTTAAAAGTTTAAGTCACTCTGCATATAGGCAGTAGAGCTTAAGCCACTTTCAGGCACCGACAATTAATGTGGAGGAGATAATCATACTTATCACGGCCCTTAAATAGCCCGGGCTACGCGAAGCTCAGAACTAAACACACCAGTAAAGGAAACAGGTCAAGTCAGTGACTTATTCATGGGATAGTGTAGTGCGGCCTGCGAATATCCCAGGTAAGGACACTTCCATGCCTCAGGCATCAACATTAGGAGTAACTCTCCCTCATTTCTTCTTCGACCATATTTCCCATAATTAATTAAGAATAGTACATAAGACTACGGGGTCTGGATAACAGGGCTTCCTGTCTGCTTAGCTATACTTGAGCAACCAAGGTAGAGGATTCTATAATTGATATCTATTGTCACAACTTGACCATTACACAAACTCCTTACTGCCTCCCTTACTTGATAAATATACATATATACATAAAATCTTCCCAAAAGAAAACATTCCAATACATACAATCAATTATCCCCGGTCTTCGATATCATTCTAGAAACAAGCGAGTCCCCAATAAAACCGGCAACCTCGGAGATCATCTCAGAGTGGCGAGAAATAAAATGCCCACCCCCAAAGTACCGAACCTTCTGGATCTGGCACTGCTGGGCTAAACGCAGGGTCAACGGCTCTGCTATCATGCAATCCAGCTTTCCGACTAAATGCAGAATAGGAACCTGTATCTTAGGATAGTATAAAGACTTGTAGATCGGATGACCCAGCATGAAACCACTGTATGCCACAACGAATTGAAGGGGCGGTTGTTGTACCTAGAATATCAGCCAGAGTACACAAATAATAGACGGCGATGGGTATATACAGCAAAGGGCTGGGAAGTCTCACTTTAACATTGAACTCCGTGTGTCTATTAGGGTTCTCCAGTAGCGAAGCAATAATAACTGCCAATGCCGCTCCAGTCGAAAACCCCATGATTCCTATAGATGGGCCCTTGTTCTGGATAACGCTCATGATATGCTGGATACTATCGTTTAAGCCTCGAACCCCAGATTCTTCATAGCTACCGTATACCAATATCCGTGTATCATAGTCACCCGGAATTTGACAGATCGGAGCGTCGAGGTAAACAAACTCAACTGGTTTGTTCGTTAGAGAAAGAATTTCTTTTTGAATCGCTGCATGGAAAATGCGGGTTTTGTAGTAGAACTTTTGACCCGATTGTCCGTGTCCTAAAGATTCTTGCTGTCAGTTATTTTGGTTGACATGATATCAATTTGGTTATATAGCTTACCATGAAGCATGAGTATCTTTAGAGGCGCTTGTGGTTGAATCTGATCAGCGAACAGCCAAGGAGATTCCGTCACAAAACTTCCATTGAGCAAGTCACTTCTGTTTCCAGGCACTGTGTAGACAGTTAAGTGAAAGGTTGTTTCTGAAGCAAAAGTATAGATTGTAGATATATAGATGTGTCTTCCTTCCCAGGTCAGATTCCAAGATACCCCTTTTATCCCGCACGCGGATACTCGGCGGTCATAGCACCGGAGCCGTAGCCTCACGCAAGAATGCGTACGTACACCGAGCAAGGATGTGATGTGTCAGTCACTAGCGATGAGTTACCGCTAATCTGTTCTGACCGGAGGATTTATCCCGACACTATTCGCTTATGAAAATGGGTTTGTGGCATTAGAACAATAGCTAAAAATCTTGTTTTCTTTCTAATCTAATCTCATAAGCCGACTAGAGTTTGTTTTTTAGGGCAATTTAGAGGTTTGTGATGCTAGGGTCAAGCACGAGATTATTTATGGCCAGTGCTGGGTCTTCCAAGGTGAGCCCTGGCCGATCGTGTAGCAGACCATGTGTCTGGTTAGATGATGTTAGGTGGGAAGGAAAAAGCACATAGATAACAGCTGTCAGCACGAACTCTTCAATACCTGGTCGAGTCTCCTTCACTGACAAGCCTTCGAGGCGAAATTCTAGTAGGGTCAATGTCAACCTCACGCAAGTAAGGAGGTCCGCTCATCAGGCTCATGTTCATCTTGTGGATAGTAAGCTCCCATTTCAGCCAGCACCTTTTTATCAAACTTAGGTCCTGTGAAGACTGTCCTCCGAGAAAAAATCCAACCAAGCCATGTCAATGTCAATAGAGTAAGGGCCACCAAGCTGCAATTGAGTTAATAAACTTGACTCTAGATGATCGGAAAGTACAAGCATTCATACCTGTTGTAATTCATGTTGGAGGCAGTAATAGGATATTCTGTCGGCAGACAACAGGCAACGAGAAGTACAGCAGCGGATAGGGTTGATGTGACGTTGACAGCATATCCGAACTTCCCTAAATTAAAGGGTCGCTCCGGAAGCAATTTTTCTCTGCCAACAAACACCAGAATTGCCTGAGGAACAATGTATGACCCGACTAGGAAAATGACCGACGCGCTGACCATGAGCGAAAACGCAGTTTCGGATCCTAGAAACACCAGGCCATAAACCTAGGACCTTTGTCAGACTTTTCAGATTCTCAGTGGGAATACAATATCGTACAATTGAAAATATAGTCTGCAGGAATACAGCATTGGCCGGCATTTCAAACCGCGGATTTATTTTCTTCAAGATATCGGAGCGAGGGAAGCATTCGTCGCGAGCTGCGGACCACAACGATCGAGACGATCCTGTCACGTTGGCCACAGCACAAGCGAAAAAGCAGAAGGTAAAAGCAACCATCAACATGACAGTAATTGCTCTGCTGCCAGTGGCCTGGTGGTATAGTTGGATTAGTGGTAAGCCACTCGGCGCGTTTAGTATCTCATCGAGATCTTTGATCACAAACATGCAGACACATGCAAATGGCAATACTGTAGGCAAGTCAGTTTTATGCGTTAATACATATGCCGCCGCCTGGTTCGCTTCACCTGTAAGGAGCCCAATCAAAACCGGATACATCTGTTCATGGCAACGTATTAAATTAGACTTGCGGAGATCCGAAGGTTCTTATGACTGAACTTACAATGACCTTAGGCCCATTAACGGACGGGTTTGGAATCTCTTCTGTCATGTGAACACCAGCATCTGTACCAAGAAATCCATACAGACTGTTGACCAAGCAAAGTAGCCATGCCAGAATATGGCTGTCCCATCCACTCGATATCGTGGTGTCAGTGAAGACCCATTGCGCTGAGTTGTAATTGGGATAGGAGAAGTATAGCATCAGTGCCATTGTGACGAAAAATGTGCCCATAGAAAACCAGACTTTTGAACTTGTCAGTCGTATTACTTGTGTAAGGTTTGTGGTGAATATTACTCACAAGTGAAGCGATTGAGGGCAGGGAGTCTGCGAGCGCCATAGATATTCACTGAAGCCGCCGTTAGAATGACTGTAATGTAGACGAAATATTTGTGCCACGCTTGTATCACATAGTTGGGATAAATAAACTGTGCAATAGACAGTATCATCCCCGAGATGAAATTGCAAGTGCTAGCTCCGCCGAGCCAAATTCCGATAACACTAATGACTGCCGTGCTATGAGACCAGCTTCATTTAGCCAACCTGTTGAGAATGTACAGCCAAAGCTTTAAGTATCAAGCCACATACCTATATGAAAGAAATGGTGCATATCTCGGAGGTGCAAGAATGAAGGCCCAGTAATACTGCCCGCCTGCAACGGGAAAGGCCGACGTAAGCTCCGCCATGCCTAGCGATATGATTGCAATCACGCTGGCGGCTGGAATGAGCATGAATATGCTTCCGGAGGAGGACCCTTGTCTCAGTCCATTACCGAGGGCACTTTCAGTAATCAGCTTCACTGGAAGTCGTTTCATGCATTGGTATGAGCCTCGGCTTACCTTGCAAACCCATTCCAGGTACAGATCAAAGCGTATGCCAGGGCCAGCAGAGAGAACATTGAAAATTGTCGGGGCATCTCTCGCGTATACCCTGATGCCTCTAGCTCAGCATCATCCTGGCTGACCCTGGTGTCGTTATCCCGGTAGGGAATGCGATTCTTGGGTTCGAAATGTGATCTGGTAGGATGCATCATCTCGTCGGTGTTGTAAGGAGAATGAAAAACATCGGTTATATTTTTGGTGAATGTAGTTCTTGAGAGTCATAGAAATAAGTAAGTAGCCAACTAGTTTCCCTGTTTGTAGCCAGACTTTCGTATTTCAAGGGTACCTGGCTAACGGAGTAAGGCACATAGAGGCACTGAGCCCCACATTCGGGCGTTAGAACAATAGGATTACCATTTACCAGAATGCGTATTTCTATTCTATCTACTTACCTTTTTGGGTAATTCTATTATATACCCTTTCGGGTAACTCAATCAGATATTTCGCTGCGATCGAACCAGCACATTGTACTAGGTCTCGTGATTTAGTTTTATTTGATGAGAAACTTTACGCAATCACGGTCAGGAAACCCTCTATCAATTTGTCTCCTAAGATGCCTTCCCCCCATGGGTATGACTCGATTACGACCTCGTATGAATCTCTTGCTGAGAATGGTGCACACCCAGCGATCATCGTGACTGCTAATTGTGAAGAATCGCAAGGTGATACGGAAGACAGGAGAAGAAATCTCTCCCATCATTATCGATGGCGGCTCATCTCTAATTGCTTGATGGATCATCGCACAGGCTATGACCCAGTGCCACGTCCTCCTGGCAACGGCGACATATCTCCGGAAATTCAGTCTGCCACGCGGACCACCACATCAAAGACGACCCAATAATTCTTCATTTTCAATGCAGAAAGTGGCATCCGAGTGCTCGACAAGTTGGTGTACTGACAGCGTGGCATTATAGGGCTCCACAACAACATTTGATACCTTCGGCGAAGGCAGGACCGAAAAGGTCGCCATCATGCGATCCGGGAACTCCTCCCGGAACTTAGCAATCAGGAGAGTCCCAAAGCCTGATTCTGTGCCACCACCAAGTGAGTGCGTGATCTGGAAGCCTTGCAGATAATCGTAGGCCTCAGCTTCACGGCGTACAACATCAACCACCTTCTCCACCAGCTCAGCGCCCTCCGTGTAATGGCCCTTGGCCCAGTTGTTTCCAGCGCCGGCTTGGGCATGGACGAAGTTATCAGGACGGAAGAGCTGGCCGAAGGGACCACCGCGGATCGAGTCCATGTTGCCTGGTTCCAGGTCGACGAGGACGGCACGAGGGGCATACTTGTTTTTATTCGCCTGGCTTCATTAGTCTCGTGGAGTTGGTGCAAGGATGAAATTTGCGAACCTGGCTAAATTATACATTCATACGCTCCAGCTGGAGGTCCGAGGTGCCATTATAGCTAGTATAGATTGATTGTCAACAGCTGAATGCAGTAGGGTTCTGAGAGGGATACTAACATGCCAGAACAGAATAGTCAACGCCATGTTCTCCCGCGATGGTTTGCCTGTCAGAAAGTACGGGAAAATTAGGAGACTTGTATCATGTGTTAAACATTGAAGGCCTATGGCATTGAACTTACCAAAATGCGCTCCCAATTTGGTTACCCTATCCAGAGTCAGTCGTGACCAACATAAGTTTCAAGGTTCGACTTACACACTGCCCAGTTTGAATATGAACCTGGGATTAGCATGATTAGTATGTATAATGTCATAGGGGATAGAACGGAGATTCCTGGATTTTTGCTTTCTAGTGAGAAAGACCTTGATAGACATACAATCTCCCGCATTTCGATGCCGGTTATTCTACTGTGACGCCAAAGTAAACACCCAGAAAGGTATGGATGGCCACAATACAAGTTTCGACCTTTCTTGGTAAAAGAGAATTGGTCGGAAGAGGATGCACGATGAAATCACCTAAATGCAGAAAAAGTAACAATTTTTAGTGGAGTTATTTCACTAAACTACGTAGTATTTACCTCCTGGGCACGGCATGGACCAATAACGTTAGAAGCGTAACTTCTCCGTTCTTTTCGTTCGTTTGGCCGTTTGGCCGTTCGTATGTATTCGTCCGGGAAAGAGCTATTTTATGGGTCGCCCGGAGGCTATATGAAAGAATGTATATTGGTTATTCAAATAATTGATTTCAAATCTTCTAAAGCTTGTAAGAATCACGCAGTTCAATTCCAATGGGGCTTTGTCCCATTATCTCGTTTAAACTCCGAGTTAGCCCAAGCAAATTCACACACATTGAGACGCTCCTCAAGACACAGGCGATTTTCATCCGTGATATATTGATCGCCAGGTGTGCATTCCGGATACTTGCCCTTTTCCTTGGACTGTTCCAGGGCACCATACATTTGAGCATGCATAAAGGTGACCCATGCCGTTTGATTGCCATATGTTTTGATCCACGTGTCGAAGTTCTTTGTTGCGTTCGTGCTTGGAGGTTCTCCCATTGTATCATTTAGAATCTCTTTGATATATCCGTATTCCGGGACATACTGGTGTTGGCCGATGTCATTCTGACCGTACATCTTGACCAGAGTGCTGATGATCGGGTCGCGCATGGCGTCGCACTCGGCTTTGGTGTATAAGACCGATTCAGGTGCACCGGTTGTCGAGTTGTCTTGACAATAGCCCTGGAGGATGATTTCCGGGTTGCCGGATTCCGGGTAGTCGGCAGTCGTCAATCCAACGACACAGTGATGTTTCTTGTCGTTATCAGAAGATTGGGCCCAGATGAGATTGGTCAGGGCTAGTGTGAGGATGACAATGAAGAACTTCATTGTGTCGAACTCGATTTCGAGTTGGAACAGGTACAATGCAGCAGCAGGTGGCAGTGATAAAGGCGTTCTTTGTATGTAGACGGATCAGGTGTCAGGGGTAAGCCTTTCAAATGAATAAATCTTTTGCACTGAATTGCTTAAGATGATATTATATCTACTCGAGGAAGAAGGCCCTTTATATAGTCAAATACATGTGATCCTCATGGCTGATTTCTTGGAAATTCCGCTTGATTCATGGATTTTTCCAATGATGAGCGAGACAACACTCTATTAGCGGATGTGAAAGTATGTATATTGCTCTTTGTATTGCTTGGCCTCGGATCTTATAGTGCTTTGCTTAACCCCTCATACTTCACGGTCCAACTTCCGTCTTTAGGAAATCCAGGTGCGTGACCGTGAGATCCGTTCCAGCCAGCAACCATATATGCCACTGATATCTGTCAGCATTGCCGCACTATCACAATACCACAAAAATGTTTTGAACCCACCTGCGTATAGGAAGCCTGCATTTCCGGGCATAAATGGAGGAGGGGTACCCCCTGATCGAAATACTTGTTAGTTTCATTCAACCCTTCCAAAAGGAAATATAAGAGATAGAGAAAACATACCATCACCTCCACGGACGGCAAATCCTAAAATAAACCCATCCCATTAGCAATTAACATTCAACTACATCCAGCCCCGTCGAGGGAGGCAACAAATAGAAGAGGGAAAACATACCAGCATCATCAAACTTCCAATACTCGTAAGCCGTGAGATGATAGATGGCTCTTTCGGGATTCCCAATCCTCGCGGAATTAATCGCCAGCACGGGTCTTCCCCATCCGCGGATCTTGTCATCCGTCCAAACTTCATGCACCTTGTCGGCGGTTCTCAAGGCTGTTTTGGGATCCACGGCCGGTGTGTCGGGAAGGATGCCCTGGAGCATGATGAGGCTTCGTGGGTCACCCGTTAGGGAAGTGTCGTTCCACCAGGAGCTGTTGAGACCTTGGTAGACGGCGTAGAGGCCATCTACTTGCGGGAGGGGAGCGAGGTTCTTAGATATTTGGGTCCATTTGTTAGGAAGGGGCTGGTTGAGGCGAGATTTCCATTTAAGGGCAACGGAGAGGCCGTAGTGCCAGTATGCGATCTGGGCATGGGGATTAATTTCGAATGATTGTTAGGAAGGTGAGGGAAACATACCTCGTAGGCTAGGTTAAGTGTCTCAGAGGGTGGGGTGTTCTCGGTGACTCCGTATGATCTGCAATAATTAGCCAAATTTGTTACTGTGTTATTCTGAATTGATGAAGTACGGTGGCCCGAGATCATAATATCTTGAGGATTCGTTCTTCCAGGCGTATGAGGCCATGTAATCGGCGGTGGCTGACAGGACTTTATCCCATTTCCTCAGGGTTGCTGGTGTTGGAGAGGCCTGATAAGCTAGTTCGGCCAGGAACATAGGATGAGGCTACGGCCTGGTTAATTCGATCGGAGACAAGGTGCATTTTTCAACTTACTTGCTGCCATAAAAGAAGCCCATTGATGCCACCTGGAGAACTGACCCCGGTGTTGAGTTCTGTCATCTTCGGCCATCTACAATTGTCAGCCTCGACAATACCCATAGTGTCAAATAATACAGACGAACCTGGCTCCATCCCATCCCATTGCCTTTGCTCTTGCTATTGACGAAGGCAACAAGGTCTCGTAAAGAGCAGGAAAGATATCGTTGAACTGCTTCTGACGTCCCCATGTAGCCCAGTGCGCATTATGCCATACCACCATTTCCATGTGGAATTTCCCTAGATCAAGTCAGATAAACTACCAAAATGATGGCAATTACCGTCAGAGTAGCAACATACCGTACCACCCATTATTCATTAGTCCACTCTCCTGCGGAGATTGGCCCTTGGCTGCACTGTTCACCCGGACATGGTATTGAGATAGGATAATCCGGCGCTGAAGCTCATCTGCTTTGGGGTTAGACGAAGAGGTCAGATCCACAAAACCACCTTCTTTCCAGTATTTGTTCCAGTCTTCGGTATTCCGTTGCTTGATTGAAGACGGTAAGTCTGGCACTTGCTTGTCTGGGGAGAAATGAGCTGTGAATTCTATGGTGGGTGACGATGAGGTGGACGCGAGTGAGTAGCGATGTCTCGCCGTCTTAGTTGTATTATTTGCTCGAGACAATCGAAGATGAGAGCTGGACGGCCATCGCAAGTTGAGAAAGTAATTTGTTTCTTGCAGTTCATGATAAATATGGGCTGAATTTTCTGTGGAATCATTCTCGATGGTAGTGGTGTGGTTTGCGGCAAAATCGTCAACACCCACAAACACCTCATACTTATATTTGGTAGTATGAATTGGTGGATATGGGAAGTTCAACACCACAGACAGATCTCCTGAAGCAACTAGCTTAGACTCGATCTGGAAAGTAACCCCGTCGGACTCGAAGTCGCCCTGTGTCACCACTTTGACTTTCTCGTTGTTGATCTTGAATGTCGACGTGATGACCCCATTCCAGAGATCTAGCGTCTGGATTGGATCTGCAATATCCGACGCCGATAGATTGGCGCCCTCATACTGGAGACCGATACGGCCCAGATTAATACGATTAGGGTTTGAAATCAGCCATTGCGACGCTTGCGGGAGATTCGGATCAGGAATATCGTAGGACACATTCCTGCCGTGGGTCATTCTCCCTACTCCGTGATAATCACTAGGGTCTTCCCTGGCCAGATGTCAATTATACAAAGTGCGAAATTGTGGCAGAGTAGAGATTACCCATTCTCCGGTAATGAATCATTATGCCATGCCCAGCTAGATAGCGTATTGAACGGGAGAAATGACTGGATTGGGTCAGCTGTATGTTCTACAAGGAGACGAGACACCTACTTGCATCCCCGTATTATCCACATTGAATGCAAAATTGCCATTTCCGACTTGGAGTGGCGTAGTATCCTGATCAATGAGAGCTGATCGACCGACATTGTATCTGGAGACAATCCGATGCCTGGAGCATATTTAGCCTGATCCGGGTAAATCTAGAGGGGGCATGTAAACACGCACCGATCAATCCGCCCCTGCACTGGGAGGGATAAAACTAGAAGGCATAATATTTTGATGAGCATTATTAAGACCACAATGCATTCTTGTCTGTGTGAAAAGACCAGATCGAGCCATGTCGAGGGGGTGGGATCTTTAATAGTGCTTCGGGACAAGAGAGGCCGAAATCTGGGGAAGGAGAAGCCCCTCTCGCAGAATGAATTGCCAAATTATCGCACCAATGCCTGTCCCTAATTCTGATGTCACTCGTTCTATGCCCTTTTCCCTGGAATTAAGCGCTCTCATAACGACAAATAATTATAAACACACTATGTCGGAGGGTGAATATCAACTGGCTCTCCTTTCGCCTAGTCATTTAAGTAGGTCGTAAAATAGGCAATCAGTATATTATCTGATGCCGATAGATCCAAATAAAGTCAATCACAGAATTTCTAAGGAGACAATGTAATAAATATCACATACAGATAAAGCTGCAAACAGTAGCCTTCATGTACGCAGGACAACGATAAAAGAGTGTTCTGTTCACCTTTTCGCTGCCAATCCAATAATTCCAGCGTAGAGCCTACATCTGTGGTCTACCGTTTCTTGAAACCCTCAATCTCTTATCTCGTATATCTCCACTAAGAATGGCACGAAGCTTAAAAAGGACTAAAGCCTTAGTCTGTTGGTATAGCGGCTGCGGAACGGTCTGATTGGCGAAGACGATCTTTGCCGCTTAGAAATCCAATGAATGACTCTTATCGCCCTTCGAAATTTTCTCCTGAATCCTGCAGGGATTCTTGCGGGCCACGGCCTGCGAGTCAAAGTTGAGCTGTCAAGGGGGCTGCTTTGTCTTCTTCCTGTCTTGTCTTTGTTATTGCGCGGCAAGATCCCAAGGTTTGATTCCAACATGGAGAAATCAACAGACCCTAAGCTTGAGATGGCCGCCACAGCGAGCGAAACGCTGGAATGCTCGGCAGGGCAGGTGGACCAAGGCATGCGAGCCTGGACGGTGGTTGCAGGAGCGTGGTGCTGTCTGTTTTGTAGCTTCGGCTGGGTCAATGGTGAGTGAACCTGCGATAACAACAAGCCTATGGTACTGACTGAATATCAGCAATTGGAGTCTTCCAGGACTATTATCAGAAAAATCAGTTGCACTCCTACACGGCTTCCAGCATCTCATGGATTCTGTCTCTGGAGCCATTCGTCCTTTTTGCTGCAGGGATCGTCATCGGCAGGGTATGCCTGGTCTCGAGACTTCGACTTGAAAAGATCCCACTCGCTAACAGTCCCAGTTATTCGACAACTACGGCCCTAGATGGCTGCTTCTCACGGGGACGTTTCTCCATGTTTTTGGCTTGATGATGACGTCCATCTCTAGCGAGTACTATCAATTCATTCTGGCTCAAGGGATCTGCAGCCCGCTCGGTGCCAGCTTCATTTTTTATCCTGCACTCTCCTCCACTGCGACATGGTTTGACAAGCGACGGGCTCTGGCCTTTGGAATTGTCTCCAGTGGCTCGTCTCTGGGGGGGGTTATCTTCCCAACCATGCTCTCTCGACTTCTGCCCAGAATCGGATTCGGCTGGTCTCTTCGGATCCCTGCGTTCATAGTGCTTGCGCTACTAATCGTTGCTAATTTGACTGTTCGATCCCGAGTTGCGCCGGTTCTACGACCGGTCAAGCTCAACGACTATATCGGCCCTTTTTCTGAGCTTCCATTTATTCTGTTGATGCTGGCAGCCTGTTGTGGTTTCTTCGCCATGTTCGTGCCCATCAATTATGTGATCCTGGAGGCCCAAGAAGACAGCGTCAGCCGCGAATTGGCCAGCTATCTGCTAGCCATTCTGAATGCTGCAAGGTACGTATCAATCCTTTTGAATTACACCCTTGGATATTCAATAACTCCCGCAGTCTCCCCGGTCGCATTCTTCCCGGGTATTTAGGCGATAAATTTGGTCGATTCAACGTTATGATCGTCATGTGCACACTTTCTGCCATCGCCATCCTGGTTCTCTGGCTTCCCGGGACTTTGCTTGCGCCCGGATCCGCTGCCATATACGTGGTGTTTGTTCTGCTATACGGATTTGCCTCAGGTGCCTTCGTCGGCATGGTGCCGGCTCTTCTCAGCCAGATCTCTGCCGACGTCTCGAAGATCGGAGTCCGTCAGGGTGTCCTGTTCACTTGTCTTAGCATCGCATCTCTCACGGGGAGCCCCATCGCAGGGGCCATCCTTAATCGCCAGCACGGGACGTACTGGGGGTTGCAGGTGTTTGCAGGTGCGATGATGGTGGGCAGTGTATCCTTTTTCATTGCAGCTAGAGTAGTGCTTATCGGGTTTTCTTTGAAGGCTAAGGTTTAGAAGCAGTTCGAGATCGAGCCGATGTGATGATATCCGCGAGCAGTTGTGTATAAGCAAGAAGACAATGAAACTTCATCCAATAATCCATCCCCTTAGCTCCTTCCTATCCGGTGATTGATGAATGATCGATGAATGTCATGATCTTGCAATATCATCTCGCATTGTAGAATATGAAATTGGGTTTTGGTCGACAGACAAAGCAGGAAGAGGAAGCATTCAGGTCAATCACAGGGCGCAGGGCGTGAGGCACGATAAGAGGCTTATGTAACACTCCACTTAACTAACTATAACAAACTACCCCTCTTCGTCCTTAAATTCCTCCTCTTCTACTTCCATCTTGTCTCCCAGTTCAATCTTTCTTCTCACTGATTTTCCTTGAGCACGTAATATCGATCATCATGGCGGCAGCATTCAACATCGCCGAGGCGCCCTCTCGCTTCCCCGCTCTAAACCAGCAGCAGGTCTTTATGGACAATGCCGGTATGCTTTGTTGACTTACCCCCACGATACGAAGTATGCCCCGGCTAACTCACAGATAACAGGGGGTAGTCAAGTGCTTGGCTCTGTGATTGAATCGTAAGTCTTTTCTGCTATTGAAAAGTGGGATTCCGCTATTCACACAAGATCAGGATCAAGGCCTACCTCTCCAACACCAATGTCCAGCTCGGCGCCACTTATCCCGTTGCGCAGTCGTCCATGGACGCGTACGCCAAGGGCTGCAAGGCAGGTGCCGAGTTTATCAATGCTCGACCAGAGGAGGTTTGTACTTGCCCTCTCAGAACGACTGGTTTTAGAGCGGCAGTTCGGTTAATCCAGTCGATTTGTGACAGATTTCCATCGGTGTTTCAACCACTCAGAACTATCTCAACATCGCCACGGCCTTGTCTTTTGAGCCTTTGGACGAGCTGATTATCTCGGTCCTCAACCACGAGGCCAATACTAATTCGTGGGTGCGGATCGCAAAGCTATTAGGCCTGACTATCAAATGGTGGACGCCTAAGAACCCCACGAATCCCGATTGCGATATTGAGACTTTGAAGCCCTTGTTGTCTGAGAAGACCAGATTGGTGGCTTTCCCACATGCCTCGAACATCACGGGCACGATCGCAAACGTGAAGGAGATTGCGGATGTTGTTCATCAGTTCCCTCGGGTAGGTTATTTACCTTCCTGACACTCGTCGGGTTGGATACAGGCTGATAAATGTCAAACACTAGGCTCTGGTTTGCGTGGACGGTGTCGCACTTGCTCCGCACAGACCGGTCGACGTCAAGGAATTGGATGCCGACATCTATGTAAGTTATATGTTATCTCAACCACCTATTGATCCGAAACTGACGATCTGCAGGCTTTCTCCTGGTACAAGGTCTACGGACCCCACGTTGCCCAGATCTACTGCCACAGCCGCATCCACGACCAGATCAACATGCTAGGCCACTACTTCAAGGCCTCGGAGCCGCAGACCCTCGAGACCAAACTCACCCTCGCCTCGGCAAACTATGAACTTACCCAGTCGATCCCGGAAATCACAGCTTACTTTGGACCGGACCGCGCGTCGGCTTGGAAGGCCATCGCGGACCACGAGGAGGAGCTCCAGGCCATTCTCCTCGACTATCTTCGTAGTAACGACAAGATAACTATCATCGGAGAGCCGTCGGCGGACCAGCACCGGAGGGTCCCGGTTATTAGCTTCCTGGTTAAGGGATGGAAGAGTCAGGCGATTGTGAAAGAGGCCGAAAAGCGATCGAACTTTGGGTTCCGTGCTGGGCATATGTACAGCCACCGGCTGTTGCATGGTGTGCTGAAGGTTGAGGATCCGGATGATGGGGTGGTGAGAATTAGCTTCTTGCACTATAATACCGGTAAGTCTCCGGTCATTCTTCTGCTCTTTCATTTTGAGACTTAATTGTTGAGATGTGATGCTAATTCTGTCTTAGTGGACGAGGTCAAAGGTCTAGTAGATGTTTTGAAGGCAGTGCTGGAGGGATAAACGAGCAATCGTGTCCCATCGGAAAAGTAACACTAGATATATGAGACGACCAAGACGTAGTGCTATGTCAATATACAGTAATTGAATGACGTTATTGATCTGATTCATCTGCTAGCAATTAAGCTGAGCCATGGCGTAGGAACCATAAAACCCGATATATGAACAACGATTCACATGATCTACCTATATCAGGAGAATATAAAGTAAGATAAGCTATTTAAATACCAATCTCTTTCTCCATTTACCTTGTCCCGAAGTCAAGTGCTGTAAGGGGCTACGTTGCACTGCATGATCGGACCCCCAGCTTACATTGTCAACGCACGACTCACAACAGCAAGGATCATCCCATTCCATCGTCTAACTCACCGCTATGTGTCGTCAGTAACGAAGGGAGTTGAGATCGAAGGGTGCCACGTAAGTAAAGTACCTGGGATGCGTCCCGTCATCATGATGGTGGACAGGCGGTGAAAATCGGAATGTAACCTTTCTTTCGACATGGTTCCCAACGCAAAGCACTCAAATATTAACACATTCGCGGTCTTCGCCCCTTTAGTATGGAAACAGCTCACTCAATGATCCAGGAACCTGCCACCGATGCCATCAAAGTACAAATAATTGAATCCATTCAACCAGTCCAATCTACCCAGACGCACCCATTGAGCGGCCCCCTGCGACTCTTCGAAGATGTACCAGGTGCGTATGAGCCTTTGACAGGATGGCTAGACGGACATGCACCCGTGCATCCCCATTTCGAGAATGCCGAACGAATCCAGTTCTGGACGAGGAATGCGAAAGAGCCTGTCCTGAGATATATTCTCGAGGGATGCCAGATTCTTCTAGAGCGAGCGCAGAACCAACGCCTGTTACTGTGCCTGCGCCAGCATGAACTTCTCTGGAAAGCGGCCGTCTCGCTTCACAAGTACGGTTCTATCTATTTTGCCAGTCGATCCGAGTGTCGCGACGATTTTCTGTCTGCGGTGGAGTCCAATCTTCGTACGTTCCATGAAATCGATGCATTTCTCTCTGCGGACAAGAACGCCATCCGAGCCATTAACTATGGCGTGCATCAACTGGTTCGCAGTGGGGAGTTGATCGTTGAGTACCATGCCAAACTTATCCCTCCGTTCGGGATATCAGCTATCGGTGTGAATCACGTCGGTGGACGAAGGCAGGATTTCGACGGGGACAGCATGAGTCTACTAGATCGCGAGGACGCCATCTATGATCTTCATGACTTCGCTCACATCACGGCCGCCTCCTTGTGTCCGGCTATATACGGGTCGAAGTACTTTTCCCATTTGATGAAGCTTCCTCCCGATTTGACGGTACTTATACGCAGTCCTAAAAAGGATAAGGTTTATCCTTCACCGGCGTATTCTGACGGGTTGATCTTCGGCGAGCTGCTTCCTGTTCTGTTCAAATCGGAAGTGGAAGATAGAGGGAAAGCACATACGTATGCGTCTCTCACGGAGGACATGGCGGATTCTCTCGCTGACTATTTGATGGGTCGGCGAGAGCTCGAGCACTTGACTACGGGCCAAATACTGCGGGTCAAAGAGCGCATGACGGCCGTCGAGCTGGCAGTGTTGGTGCAAAACAAGGTCTACGAGTTATCTGCAAATGAGCTGGAGCAGAAGGTTCTGACGAGAGGAGGGCCAGATGGAGACCCGAAAGACGAGCTTGATGTATTGACTACTCTGGAGAGGGTTAGGGCTCTGGCGCATTGTCGGAAATGGCTGTACTTCGAAGTGAGAAACGTGATCATGCATCGTGCGCATACACTGGCGTATCAGAAAGTGGCCGAGGAGATGCTTGCAGATGGATCTATGTCAGAAGAAGACGGGTTTCTACTGCAAGATATCCTAGATCATTTGCAATATCGGGGATGGGAACGTGACCAAGTTGTTAACCTTTGGCAAACTCTCTTAATGAGGTAGTCTATTATATTGAAGGCATCTAGTACGGTTATTTTGATTGCATCTTCTATCTACTAATAGCAGCAATGTCTATTAATTTTTATGGCCATCCTTTTGTCATTTTCTTTGCCCTATACAACCCGAATTTTTGAGCCAACCACCGACAACCCTGTAAGAGCTCTTTACAGATTTCATAACTATATATGATCCTTGTAACAAAACCTGCAGTGATTGGATAAAAGTAAAATCAAATCAGATGCCGCTAGGTCGTACATGACGTCTCTTCCTCCGTGGTTCAACCAAACTCCCGTCCCGCCGGGTCTCCGCATCATCGACTGCGCCCTGGAATACAACCCTACTTCTACAACTCCGGCCCTTCCGCGCCTTTTCTACCTGACCTTTCTCCCATCTGCTCATCATGGTCCTCTCCACGCTACTACTGCCTTCTCGTGCTACCCCCGACAAATGACGCGGCATTAAGCCCGCCGTCGCAGACACAATGAATCTACTCACTCGGGCTCTGGCATCCCTGCCCACCGGAGCCAACGACACCGACGTGCTCATCAACACCGTGCACTTCGATCGCGATGCTCTAAACCTATACAACTACACGCTCTACACCAACGGTACTCTCTCCAACGGCACAGAATGCTACCTGATCTTCGACCAGTTCAAGCCCCATCTCTTCGCGGAGAACGGCACCGTCGTCAATGGAACCTCGTGCTATGCCCCCGTCAACCAGATCGGTCAGCATGCATCCATCGGCATGGCGTTTGCTTTGATGTTTGCACTCTCAATCTTCTTCACTCTGATCAATGTGCGCAAGCACGGGCGGCAATATCTGCCTGTTGATCCTCGTCGGCGCGTCCTGGGTCGGAAGATGAAATGGTATTGGTTGTTGGTTGTCGCTGTCTGCGGCACGATTAGCTGTTTTATGAGTATCGATGTCGATCGGAGTTATTTGCAGAGTGCGCCGTTGATCATCCAGAGCGTGTTCTATACAATGCTCATGCCGGCGTTGATGGCGGCTGTTTGGGAGGCCGTGAGACAATGGTGAGTTCCCCTTTCCCTTGCTCAGGACTCACTATGCTGTCCCTTTGCACCTAGTACATTAGTGTACTCCATGTAGGTAGCAATTTACTGACCTCCATGAAAACAGGGGCTCTTGGCAAGAGCGTCAAATCTGCGATCGTGACCCTTACGTCTTCACCAATAAGTCCAACAGCAGTGGCAACCGCAGCCGCCAATGCCAGGAATTCCTCCTCCCGATCCTCTTCTACGCCTTCGCGCTAATCAACTTCGTCCTAACGATCCCCCGCTCCTGGTCCCCCATCGAACACCAACAGAGCCCGGAGCAACAAGAACTCGACGCCCGGCCCGTCGCAACAGACACGCGGTTCCGCGTCGCTGCATTCACTGCCCTCGCGGGGATGCTCGTCATCTGCTGTGCCCTGGAGCATAGCATCTATCGCTACAAAGCCCGCCCGGCAACCATCCTCGGCCAACTGCTCTTCTACTTCAACGAGGCGCCGTCGCAGTTCCTGGTCCTTATTGCGCTTTTAGGCGTGAAGATCGGGTATGCGATTGCTTCCGCGTTTGATTGGTCGGTGTCGCCGTTACGGTATGATGTTGATGTTGGATGGCTTTACGGGCTGGGATATACGCCTGTTCTATTGGTGATCGTGGTCATGAATATGTGTGGATTCTGTGAGTTGAACGAGGATCAAGCGTTGATTGCTCAGCGGGGTGATCTTGAAGCTGCGCGTGCCAGCAAGTTCGGTATCGGGAGGAAGAAACCGAGTTGGTGGAGTAATGCTGCTCGGTGGACGACGTTTGCGAGGGATGGTGGAGATCGTCCTTCGTCGCCGGATAAGGGTGATTTGGATCATTTTGTCGAGATGGGTGTTATTAAGCCGAGGGCGCTGGATGAGCAGCAGGAGGCTGGGGAGGAGAAGAAACCGGGTGAGGGTGCTCGTGTGACTACTCGTACGGCTAGTCATGGGAGTAGTGAGTTGTCTGGCACGGAGAGCGCGTCGGGGGATCGGATGGAGGTTGTTGTTCAGGAGGAACAATCGGGGCAGTTTCTCGGATGAGACCTTGACGGAGAATCCGTTGCCGCCGATGGGGAGAAATTATCACTTGGATTAGTTGGGGATGGTGCTGTATGAGCTTGAGTTCGATGCGGTTGGTAGTGTGGATATGGATATAGATATTGGACACTTCCAGGAGTATGTATGTATGAGCAACTAAACCTGGAGGCATTGTGAGTTGTCCTTGAGTTATACTACAACCCCATATCAAATATAAGGATTAGATACAGAGAGCTTCCCAACGATACCTCTCTATCAAATCCCCTGCCTATCACCATCAAGACTCACGCGGGTACTGTACATATTGTTGACATTCCAGAGACCGAGTACACCACAGCGGTCAAAAACGATGAAATGAATGGATGGAAGAATTTTCTGCTCAATACTGAGTTAATTGATTGATTGATTGATTGATTGGTTGTTTGTTTTTTTGATGTAGGAAGAATTAAGGTCTTGCAGGCTACATAGAAGGTGCCTCGAAGGTGTAAGCAAAATCCGGTCTCGGTCCATGAACCAAATCCGTGAAAAGTAAGCTTAACAGCTCTACCAGGTCTCAACAGGAAGGATGGGGGCAGTGTCCGGTAGGTAGGTCGGTAGGGTTAGCTCGACAAACGAACTAGTAAACCAACTCATGAGATTAAAAACCTACCAGGCCAGTAGACACCATCGTGCAGAAAAACCAGTCTAAGCAAATCCTATCCAATCCAGGTGTCGACCCAGAGGAGCAAAAAGCCATAGACGCCCAACTTAAAGTAGGATAGGATAGGATGGGATAAGGTAGGGTAAGTTCAAATCCCTTACCCAAAAGCTTCAAGCTTCAAGCTTTATCCGATCCGCCAGCTTTCGGTGAGCTTAGTAGCTGATCGGAGCTGAGCTGAGCTGTCAGGTCAGGTCAGATTAAGCCATGTCAGATCAAGACCATGGAAGCAAACAAACAAGCACAAAGGCACAAGCAAAGGCCAGACCAAAGCCCGAAAGGTCAGCAGTCATGACTCACACCTTCAACTCAGCCACCAGCCACAGCAGAGACCGAGAAGCCAATTGAATGCATGCAAATCCCGCAAAAATCAGACTTTGGGAAGAGAGAGAGAGAAGGGCACAGGGGTGCATCCGGACAAGCGATCTGAGCCATTGTTCGCTTTTACGAACTTCAAGGCGGACTGCGCCACGGGACCGGTGGTTTTTTATTTTTATTTTTTAATCTCGTCTCACGATCTTTCATCCCGGTAGGTGGCATGGAGTCTTTTGAATGCAAGGATAGAGGGAGGAAGGGGAAGAGGGAAAAATGAAAAATAGGCAAAACCCCCAGAATCGAACCGGACCTTGATTTAACGTAATCTCTAACAATATAGTTTAGATGAGAATATGACATAACCAAATGTCTAGATCAAACCATGACGAAAGGGTTCATAAATTTCAGATTGCTCGAAAATTAGAGAAAAAAGAGAGTTTGCTCGGGATCTGGGGGATAGTTGTCCATGGACCATTCGCCCTAGGATAATGGGGAGTAATGGCTTTTACTAGTGTATGAGTTTATTCAAATCGGAAGGTTGTACCAAGTATCAGGTAAGTTAAGGTAGGGTAGGGGAATTGGAGATCGATGGAGAACAATGATTCAGAAAGAGAAACAGAACTCATGGAGTTTCCACGTGGCAGGCCAGGCATGTTTAACGCAAAGACTAAATGGCTCGAGGCCAAGATTTGGAGAACACTTGGCGGCTTGTGGTCTTGGGACGAGAAAGAAGCTAGGCAGAAGTGTTTTGATTGTGTATTTATGCTTTTCGTTTCGTATGCGCGAAGGAGTGTAAACGCTATTCGCTTGATTTGGTTTATTCGCCTATTCTGCTCCGTTCAGGCAACTGCTGGGGCCCAATAGCTGGGGATCGCCAAGCAACCTATCCATATCTTCGGTGCGCAAGCCAATGACCACGTCCACCCCGCTCTCAGTCCAAGATTGGCTCTTGGATGGCGTCCCGCGCGCAGACGGAGGCGCCTCTTTGATGAGGATGAGCCCGTCCATGGCGGGAAGCACCCCGTCGGCGTAGCGAACTCCGCTTCCCAGGCCAAGATCAATCTCGTAGAGTCCGGCGCGTGCCCAGGGCGTCACCATAATATGGCGTCGGCCCAGGAATCCCTGCCAGATGCGTTGTGGGGATTTCTCATACGCCAGGCTGTGCAGATGCGCCGCCACCGTGTCGGCGCGGCTCACCTGACCGATGGTCTCGCGGATGCGCTGTGCGATACGCCGCAGCGACCCGAGTTGGCTCGTACTAGCCGTCGCCTCGTGGCCCGTCATCTCGACGTTCATCATGATGGTGGGTGACCCCATAAAATGCTCGCCGAGCTGGAGAACCGGACGCTGCCCGTACGTGAGATCGCAGTGGACCGGTCCACGGTCTTGGTCTAAATGCCGGGCGCGGTTGATGCAGGACCAAATATGGGCCAGAATCGCATCGTGCCGGCTGATTCTCCCGGGGGATGGCGCTGGTGCTGGTGTGTCAGGAGATTCCGTATTTGCCTCCTTCCAGAGGGCCTCCACTTGTTCGGACGTCAGATGCACCTCGTAGACTGACGCTGGCTCTTTGAAATCCCATTCTGGCCATGGAATCGGCTTGCCCGCGGGAGTCAAATCCTCGTCTTGAAATGCTTTGGGAATGCGTGGAGGTTTGTCGCAATTGGGGTTTTGCGTCCACCAGTCGTATCGATGAAATGGCAAGCTATGCGCCTGATCGATGATAGCCTGGTCGGCGGTTGGAGCGTTGATGTCACCGGCAGCACAAGAGTCGAGTACATCGGGCTGAAAAAATGGGTGCAACGACAGCAATTCCGAACCAGCAAGCAAGGATCGACTGACACTCGCCACATCCTTCACGAAATGTATCAAGGAATGCGCATCGGCTAGCGGATGCGCGCTCTTGACAGTGAGGACAAACCCTCCGCACGCCAGCGTCGTCAGCTGGATGGCCATTGTGGGCGGTAGAAGACCCGCATCGTTGGTAACAATGGGCTGGAAGAGATTTTGGAGCGCTGTTTGAGGGACGAACTCTGCAAAGGGAACTTTCAATCGGTCCCACAGACGGTGAGATGTAGTTCGAGAGGCGGGACAGAGCGCTTCCACAGTAGCTTCACTTCTTGCGACGGCAAACTCGATGCCGGGATCCTGAGACGTCCCATACGACACGCGGACTCGGCCAAATCGTCGGGCATGTGGCGGGATATGCTCTTCTTGTGACGACGGCGCATTGGCGACGATGTTGACGATGCTCAGCAGCCCGCACCATTGCGGATATGCGTCCAGGGTGATCCGCAACGACCGGCGCAGATGATCGGACAGACTAAATTGATCTGAATGTTTTGGCTCGGGACAGTCGAAGAACCAGGAGGCACAAGCGGCCTGGAAGTCTACTGAGGTTGCATCCAGCAACGACAGAGGTGTAATGCGCTCGGTGGTGAGCCTGTGCTGCGGGAACAGCCTTTCCGACTGAGTGATCGTAGTCTGAAACAATGCCATGGTTGAAGTATACTCTGAACCGGGATACTAATCCCCGAAGAAAACATTCTCTACTTAATACCTTTATTTCTTGCAGGGATAATGACCCTTATCCAGCGCAGGATTGTCTTATCCTGAGTTTCAGCCACAGTTAGTCACTCTACAATGTAAAGATGAGCTATCATGAATCGAGTCCTGTTTAGCGCTAGCTAGCGCAGTCAACCTGAGTCACCATGAACTAGTAACTACTGTAACTAGGGGACGAGAAGGATCGCCAGTGCAGGTAAGGAGCGATGGTGGACGACCACCGCATATTTCTCATCGAGACGCGTGATGGCGTCAGGCGTCTTTTGAGGGATGGAGGTCGAGACATCGACCGTCTGTACAGACTACGGAGTAATTAAAGAGTAAAGATGGACCACGTGAGACCAGGTGATATGAAGCGGTGAAGTTGGGCAGTACCGGGAGGCTGTTTCCCTTTCCCTTTCCCTCGCTCGGCCTCGTCTTGTCACTCTTGCCGGTCGGCCTTCTCCAGGGGCCAAAATGTCTCGCCCCATCTCCAACATACGGAGTATGCCTAGCCAGAATGCAACTCTGGAGCTCGGCTGCGTATGCGTCAACCGGAGTATGCGACGGGACAAAGAAAAGTGGGTTTGGCAATCCCAAACAAATATACGAGTTACACTACGGAGTATGTGAATTACGGAGTACTCCGTTCATTGCACAGTATAGGCAGGTGCAAGGAGACAGAGACAGAGTAGTGCCCCGGAATGGACGGACTACGGAAGTTTGGATGATTTTCTTCCATCTTCGACGAGAGTTTCTGGAACGTCGGTCGTGTTTCTCCCCGTGTCCTTTCGTCTCCCCGGCTTACCGCGGAAGGTTGCGCCCATGTCCATGCGATGAGCCATCCCAAGAGTTCAAGACCCAAAAATCCCACACGGCCAGAAGCGGGAAGGCTGGGAAAGCAGGAACACAAGACCTGAACCATTTGAACCCGGTCCAACTCTGACTGGCTCCATCGGATACTTTAATCCCTCCAAGCTGCGGTCTGGGCGGAGCCTCGCTACGACGGTTTGACCCAATTGGGCTGGAAGGGGCGCAAAGGCGCGCGATCCACATCGTTTGGGACGGTCGGAAAAGAGAGATGTCCGACTTTTGTCTTACTCCATTTTCATTTTCCATAATCCAGATGGGGTTCTTGACTGGCCGAGACAGGCGAGGATGGGCTTGGACGGAGTTACTGAATAAAGCCTGAAAGGAGACATATCCACGAGACCATCCTTTCTTTTTTTTTTTTAAAAAAAAAAAAAACTTGAGCGCCACGAAGTTACACCCTACGAAGGATGCCCGTATTCGATCTTCAATTCGAGGGAATAAAGCCGTTCAGACTGGGTTGCCTCGCAGAGTTCCAGGACCAAAGAGATTGCGGAGGATCCTACGCGGGGAGGGGGAAGAAGATGCCAAGTTGCCAACCTTACTGGTGTTAAGCATATTCTCTCGGCCTTTTCCC